CGAGCAGCACTTTTGCCGTGGCATCGTGAGCTGGCGTGGTTCTGCTTCATTCGTCACTAGATGATCTCGTCGAAAGCTTCAGAAAGAGAAAGCTGTGGAATCAATAGCAGGATCCTTGTCGTATGGACGCATAATTTCAGAATCGTGAAACATTTGAGCCATGCTACTTCTCTGCATGGATCTTACATTGAACATGTTTTCAATCCGTAGATCCCTGTATGAGAACCGGGTGCAAGTTGTGGGTATCACGATTGCATTCATGCGAGTGCATGCGGTTGATATCCGCCAGCCACGCACCCCTGAAACCTAATCCACATCCTATTCTGCGCCCACCCCAAAAGGGAACCAGTGCCGCAGACTTCTAGAGTTGCTCTCGAGACTGCTGAAACCTAGTCAATGTGTCATGGTCGAATGCAAGGCAGAAGGACGCCACGCCGACCACTTTCGTTAACAAGCCCCAGGGGAGTCCAAGTACCGACAAAAGCAAAAAATGAGTTGCTTTGTTGCTGTCTTGCGGATGTGTGAGCCCAGAACAGAGTCCCAGGGAGGCATGATTCTTGCTATGAGGACCCTGATAAAGGATCCCTCATTCAAGAAACAGGATGCTTCCTAACGACTGCAACATCTTTCTCCTGGGTTGCGAGGAGGCGCAAATACTAGTATTCAGGCGCGGCAAGGATTTGTTAGTCGTGTAATATAAACACACGTTTGAGGACCACTTTCGCTGCCACTGCCGCTGGTTGTGCTAGTAATACAATACCAGTACCAGTGCCACTACCAATACCAGTACTACTACTACTACTACTACTACTACTACTACTACTACTACTACTACTACTACTACTACTACTACTACTACTACTACTACTACTACTACTACTACTACTACTACTACTACTACTACTACTACTACTACTACTACTACTACTACTACTACTACTACTACTACTACTACTACTACTACTACTACTACTACTACTACTACTACTACTACTACTACTACTACTACTAGTACTACTAGTACTACTACTACCTACTACTACTAGTACTACTAGTACTACTAGTACTACTACTACTACTAGTACTACTAGTACTAGTACTAGTACTACTACTACTACTACTAGTACTACTAGTACTACTACTACTACTACTACTACTACTACTACTACTACTACTACTACGACTACGACTACTACTACTACTACTACTACTGCTACTACGACGACTACGACGACAACAACAACAAGTACTACTACTCACTCCTGCTGCTAAAACTATGACGACGACAAACGTGCTACTACTTCTTCTTCTCGACAAGTGCCTGAACACTACTTTCTCTTCAGCTTCGTGCCTAGATGAGAGTCGGTGTCGGAACTTGGACCGTCAGCCAGTGCGGCTCGGCTTCTCTCTGCGTGATCTTCTCCACAAGCGCCTGCACCAAATCTTCTTCGCGTTTATCTCGTGCAGGATGCTTACGCTCAGAAGCCAAGGCTTAGTCCTAGACTCGAGCACACCAGCGACAAGGTTTGAAGTCAAAGTCTGCAGGGTTTTAGGAGCATTTGCTGCAAGATTATTAATTACTCATGAGTTCGAGGCCTACTGCAGGTCTACATAGGGCCTAGAGCTTTTCTTGCCTCATAACTTACGAGGTACGACTTGAGGATACCTGCATATTATGCAGCAGCCAAACCCAAACACCAACCTAAAAACCCCTGGCCCTGCACTCTATGAACAGTCAGACACACGACCTAGAGGGTTGATGGCAAGCATTCCGGATCTGATCATCGTAGCCCACATCCCACACGCCTGAACCCGGTCCATACATCCCTAAACGCTGATCCAGAGTTCAACGGGCATGGGGCCTACGATTTTAAAAACTGAAATCTCGGGCCAAGCTGAAGTCGAGACTCTTATCCTTTGACACTCCGAACTGCCGTCCTGTTACCCGAAAGGATCAGTTCCAAAGGTTTGAGTTATGACATCCTTTCCTCGGTCCTTGGAGTCGTCCGAACCTTCTTCCTCACCTGCAGAGCTCTGAAACCCGTGGATGTAATGTTCAACATAGAGTTTGTATGGGTTTAGGGTTTGCGTAGGTTTAGGGTTTAGTCTGGGGTTTATTCGGGTTTAGGGCATAGGATTTAGTACAGGGTTTATAGGGGTCTATAGGGGGTTAGATTTTAGCAGAAGGCCTCTCGGGGGTAAGGATGTAGGGCTTCGAGCTAGGGGGTTTAAGGTTTAGGGTTTAGGGGTTCAGGGTTCAAGGTTTAGGGGTTTAGGGTTTAGGGTTTAAGGTTCAGTGCTTGGGGCTTGGGGCTTTGGGCACTACGGCCATGACGCGATTGAAGGCCTACGGCACGTTCTGGTTAAAGGATCTGGGTTGAAGCCTCGGCTGTCGCACAACCCATGTTCAGCCGCATAATTCTGGCTTGGTGTAGGACGAAGACACAAGGACTGGACCCACATATAAAATGTCCCCAAAGCCGTACAAGCATGGTGGGCAGTTTTACGAGTTCAGAGTTCAGGGTGCTACATGACCGACAAATCCAAGGTACATTACGGGTTTGGGTGTACATTATATAATACACATAATAAGGAACCTGCCAGAATAGTGTTGGTAATTAAGAGTTAATTAGGCCCCTAGATTAGCCGCACGTCGTATCGTCCGTGTAGGTCTCTGCAAGTGGCTTCGGGCGCACGCGTGCTGCGGGGCTGAGATGGCTCATCCTTGCTGCCAGACGGAAGTAAGTTCGAGGCTCTTCTACACCCAAACACAACTATAGCGCTTGCCATACCTCCTTAGTTTATCCCCAAGCACAGCTATAGCACCTAAAATACCCCAGCCAAAAGTCTAAAACCCCGAGCAGTGGAGGCCGAAAATATGCCTTCGCCGCCACCGGGATCTTCGAGCCGTGGTTGTTCGAATTGACCTTTTGAGGGATTTAGGGGTTTGGGTTGAGGGTTTAGGGTTCAGGGTTTGGGGTTTATGGTTTAGGGTTTGGGTGTCCAGGGGTTTGGGGTCCAAGGCTTACGGTTTTGCGGCTCAAGCTAGCAGCGTTCAACGCTAGACGCACGGCTCGCCGACCGAGTAAAGTTTATGATAAGATGTAGGGCTGACGATTCAAGGGGAAGTCGAGGGTTCGAGGTTGAGGTCTGAACCTAACACTCCAAAACGCACCAAAACCTTAAGGGGACCTGCCATTGCAGCCGGCAGGGACAGATGAATATGGGAATCTGCCTTGTTCCGCTGGGCAAAAAAGCATACTCCGGAGCTTGCTTTCAGTGGTCTACAACTTGTCCTGGCAAGTTCATCCTAACCCTAAACCCTAAACCCCAAAACACCTAGACCCCTAAACCCCTAAACCCTAAATAGTGGACAGATGAATACCGGGATCTGCTTCGTTTCCCTGGGGCAAGAGAGCCTCCAGTGGTCTTCAACTTCTGTGCCGGTTTAGGGTTTAGGGGTTTAGGGTTTAGGGGTTTAGGGTTTAGGGGTCTGTGGCATGGACCTTTAGGGTCTATTTGGCAAACCTTTTTGTTTTAAATACAAATACTTATATTTGTTTATTTTTATAATAATACATAGAGGCCCATGCTACATATATATGTGTGACATGGAGCTTAGGCTTCTTTTCACCCCTCGCGCCTGAGTTGGTTTGGTTAGGAGTTCCATACGGATTTCCTGCCGCTTAAACCCGGCCTATGCCTAAGGAATTTTACAGTAACTTCCTTATACTAATTAAGCGGCCAGGGTAATCCGTATGGAACTCGTGGTGAAGTAAAACTTCGCTGCTACTGTTGGTGCTGTTTGTGCTGGTGCTGGTGCTGCTGCTTGTGTTGTTGCTGTTTGTGCTGGTGCTGGTGCTGCTGCTTGTGTTGTTGCTGGCGTCGTCACTCGAGGTCGGGCAGGCTGGCCGGGTCGAGCAGGCTGTGCGCCTTGCGGTGTTTGTTTCTGAGTCTAAGGAAAGCTCGCAGGTGCAAGCTGCCTCCACCAACTTTCGCAGATCATCTTCGCTCCGGATCGCATCGCCATCCTGCGAGGATCTAGGATCTAAGACTGTTTAAGAGTTGGGGACCAAGGACAGCTGCCTCCACCAACTCTCGCAGATCATCTTCGCTCGGGATCGCAGCGCCATCCTGCGAGGCCGGGCCGAAAGCATTTCCATCTCCATCCGTTGCATGTCTGCCTGGAATGCAGAGTGACTGCGAGTCAACCGACAGTCTTGCTCACCGCAGCGTGCCCGAATCCTCGTAATATAGAGGTCTTAATAATATAGGTAATTATTGAAGCCCCTATAGTATTCTGCCCCTACGCTCTGGACCCTCGTCCCGTTTCCCCTCAAAGCCCCGTCCTCTGAATCCGTAAAGCCCCAACCTGGATTGTATCCGCTTGGAATGGATGACCCGTAGAGCAAAGACACTACCCCAAACCATGGGCTGCAAGTGGTTCAAATAATAGGTCTTCAACCACCTAATCCAGAAACTCTGTAACCTTTACAAGACCATGCCCCAAATCAACGAGCCTGAACCCGAACTCAACACCCGACACACAAAACCAAGTAAACAAAAACAACTAAACACGAAATCGTGTTTCCCCTTGTCCTCAGCATGGTGGTTAGAATTATCAGCAACAGTGCCCCTCTAGAGTCCCTGTATAAGTCCACAATACGCCCAAAGCCCGATTCCGCATGATTATGAAATCCTGAAGACCGCGACTTTGCTCTGTAAAGCCCTACGGCCCTATGAAAACTATAGACTCCATTGTTCCATAGACTGAGGCCACTACTATATTGAGCCCCAAACTCTACAACCTAAAACCCTGAATCTTAAACCCTGCATTAAGCCCGAAACCCCAACGAAGCTCCACCTCGGATTAAACAACAAACCTTAACCGCGCTACTATCTAAAGCCCCCGGAACCATGGACGCTAACCCCAAATAAACCCTAAACCTTGTACTACCTAAAACCCCTAAACCGTGGACCCGCCCGCCTTGTTCGGGTTCTCACAGATCCAAAGTGCCGTACCTCAATCGGCCGCGCAGAGACTCCAAAACCCACTGATCAAAACATCGAGCTCACATCACATCTAAAATTCTCCTTTACCTCGATTTAAGGAATACATATATACGTATAAAGCTTACATCAGATAAAGAATCCACTAAAAATGTAAGGTACCTTCCTGAGATGATTTTTGCGGAGTCCTTGTTTTGAGAGTTTATAGCCCTTCATAGGGCTTTGGAAAGCCTTTCTAGCTGTTTAGTGGGTTTTGCAAACTTGTTGAAATTGGTATAACGTTTAACGGTTTTGCTAAGGGCGCGCTATATACGACGTTTTAAGTTAAAGAGGGTTGTATGGGGATTGTTGGTCGCGGTCAACGAGAAGAATACTGGAGTTCGCTGTGGCTCTATACGGGTTGTTATGGCTTCATAAGCATTCTATCGGGGTTCTGCTACCCTAAACCTAAACTCTTAACTGTGCCCATTTTCCCAGGATTAGGATTTACTTATAAGTAAGCACCGAAGGACTGGCAAACTTTGCGCAGCCTGGCCGCCACACAACGTAACAGCTCGGAAGCAGACCTCCCACTCCTCAACCCTCAATAGCCGACACCTCCAAACACTCAAGCACCACAACCTTGGAGCTTCAAAACCAATAACCCCGCCAACAGTCTTGCTTCCCCAATGCCCAAGTGAACGATTAAGTTTTCACAAAACCAAACACAGGACTATTCCCTAAGGGTCCATGTGCCTATATACTATTTGGGTACATGGGCCCTTCGGGATTATGGCAGTTTGCGAAAATGGGGGACCCTAGTATAGTACCCTAAATAGTAGGATTCTTATTCAAGGACCCCAAAATAAGGTACCCCCTAATTTTCGGAAACTCCCTCATCAGTCTTAGCACCACAGAAGTCCAAAAGAAGTTCAGGCCCAGTGACATGCGTGCCGCTGAGCGGGGCTGGGCCTGCAAGATACAGTTTTAATGTAGGGGCCTTAGAGCCTTAGCGGCTGAGTTCATAAGCCCCCCAAAAGTGTACACTTTCAGTTTTATAGTGGTTCATATTATCCCAACAAATGTACAGTGTATCCACTCAGCTACTAAGAGAGTAGTTAGAACAGGGTTCCTTTAGAGGGCTCCTTTAAAGGGATCTATATAGGGATCTGTGGTATAGGGACCTCAACAACTTGAATAGGGTTCCTTTAGAGGGCTACTTCAAGGGATCTATAACAGGGATCTGTGGTATAGGGGCCTTAGTGATTAGAACAGGTTTTTGGGGCCCATTTCGGGGCTCATTATCCTATATTTATAACAAAGAACCTGCAAAATAGTATAGGTAATCATTAAGGCCCCCATGGTCAGGTTCCGGTGTTGGGGTCTCCAGGGGTTTAGGGTTTAGGGTGTATAGAGTGCGTACCTGTTTAGTTTTTTTGGATGCTTATGGTCTAGTTGAGGCTGACGTTGGGGGTTAGGCTGAGACTTCGCCTCCTAAAGCAATGGTCTTAGGGATAAGGCCCAGGTTTAGGACGTTCAGGCTTTGTGCATAAGGACAGAATTAGGCTCACTATTGATTGGGCTTAGCCGTCCTACGTCATCGTCGTCGTTGACGATGTTCGGTGTCTAGCTTCTTCCGTGTTAATTCACCTCGTGATGCTGATAGATGCCGTAAAGCTCGCACTTGTTCGCTAGCCTCAGTGTGTTCGCCAGGTTGTATAACTAGCTCATGCATGCTTTTATTCGCTCAAGAATCTGTGTTACATGGCGTTAAGGCTAATTTTGCTGCATTCGTGTCTTCGGCTTGTTCACTAGCTAGGGTTGATCAAGTAGTCTGCATCACTTGGCTATCTGTCTGTTTCTTTTGCTGCTGCAGTTTAGGCCAAATTTAGGCTATTACATGAAGTCGCATCTGTCTCTGTCTGTTTGTGCACATACATCGCTGTCAGTGTACCCTGCCACGCATGCTTTCATGCACCCGAGTATACGTGTGTAAAAGTGCGCATCCATCTAGCCATGTATGTGCGTATGCATGAACGTACAAGCGCACGCAAATAGATGCATTCTTGGACGTATGCATGATGCATCTATGTATGTACTTATGTAGCTGTGTAGGTATGTAGGCATGCCCGTTTCTAGGTATGTACATACGGATGCATTCATGTATGTATGCACGCATGGACGCATTGACGGATGGATGCATGCGCGCATGCACACATTTATGTATATGCATACATGCATGCACATATGCATGTATGCAGGTATGCAGGTGGTATGCAGGTACGCAGGTATGCATATATACGTGGGTAATTATACAGTATGTTTTGTATATGTGCATACATGTATGTATGCATGTATGGATGCATGGATGTATGTATGTATGTATGTATGTATGTATGATGCGAGGTTATGTGCAAGTGCATTCAAGCCTGCACTTGTCTGTGCATGGCTGTGTAGGGCTTGTCCATGCATGCAGATACAGCATACCACTGACAACATTCACTACTACTCTGGTAAAAAAGGGTTTCGCAACAGTAGTGCATGAGCTCGCCGAAGTTCCTGAGACCAGGTGGAAAGCCCAAAAAGTCCAAGCAGGATTCGGCTTAGCCTTCCTATCCAAGCGAAAGCCTTCTCGCTTTTTCAAAAATTTCACACGCTGTTTACGGAGAATACGGCGCAACAGTTGGAGTCATGGCTTCGCCAGCACGCCGAAACCCTTAAAGGAATCCTACTTCATATGCTTTCAATGATGTCGTCGGGGGAGCCTTGCAGGAGAGTACACTTCTACCTGCTACCCAGAGGCTCCATAGTAGTTCCTCTTTGGGACTACCTTATAGGATTGTAAATATGAACCCCAAAAAGGAACTACTATGGCCTTAGGGTACGGCTTCTATGTCTTATGCTGGCCCTAAACCAGGAGGCCGAAATTGCGCAATGAAGGTTTTTATTCCAGCATACATATGACGACGTGTGTACACATCGGCATGTGAGTACACATGCTGGTGACCAAGCCTCCTACCCTATGTAAATCCTAAAATCGTCGACATCTCATGTTCTACAGTTGGGTTCCTGAGTAGCCCCTTTATACTAAGGGTAAGCTACCTTTCTCCTACTATTCGGTTTGGTAAGGGGGCCCTAAAAGTAAAGCGCAAAAGGGGTACTACTCACCTATAAGTCCCAAACCCCTATAGATCCCTTATAGAACCCTTCACGGATCCCTTATAGAACCCTTTAAGCAACCTTTAAAACGGGAACTACGTCCAAAAACTCAAACATCCCCAGCCTCCTGGCCCGAATCCTACGGTTGCTGATATAAATCCTGCATTACCCATGATAAGGATTATACCATAATTCCCATAGTTTAGGGTCCTTAAGGTAATGCAGGATTTAGATCATCAGCCGTATCAAATCCTCCAGGTGCCTCCTCCCTGCGCCGAGTGAATGCGGAGGTGAACTCCACTACTGAGCCCATCTCCGAGACTGCCTGTGCCAGGGTTTGGGGCTAACCCTAAGGCACCAAAGTAGTTCCGTTTTGGGGCTCATATATAGAATCCTATAAGGTAATCCCAAAAAAAAAACTACCTTGGGGCCTATGGGTAGGGTTAGGGTCTAGGGCAGGGTTTAAGGTTGGGAGTTTGGGGCGTGGGCCGGTTTTGGTTTAGGGTTTGGGGCTTTAGACTGCCTGTTTTCAGAGGGCCTTGCAGAATTTTAACAAGGCGTTGGGATATGCAATACTACCGTTATCATAAGGATCCGCAAGGCATTGCACTAGCAGTTAAGTTGGCTTTTATGTTTGGGTTTGAGGTTTCATTCGGGTTCTCAGGTTGGTTTGGGGGCATAACATGCTGCTGGTATGACTGTGCTCTTCGAGGTTCGGTTCAGGGGTTTAGGGTTTAGCACGCTTAGTCTTTCAAGGCAGCCCATCGAGCTCCTTCTCTTGAAAGGTGTTGCTTAGAAGCTGCCCCCAACCTGTAATAGCGGGTATGATAGGAATATAATAGGGCCCTATTATATTCTTTATAGTGACTATTACAGGGTGGGGGCAGCTTCTATGGTGTTGCATGTATCCTCTTTCAAGACAACCCTTCACGACAAGCAGACAGTTTACCTAGTTGTTGTTTTTGGACAGGCGGTGAATGCACTCAGCCCCCCATGACAAACAATGAGCTTAACCTAAGACGGCTTTCTTTGTTTGACAGGCTGAAGACAAAAAATGGTGCTAGTAGATGCTGGCTTTCCTGTCGCACGACAAACAATGTGGCTAACAAAATAGGGCTTTCTTCTTGGACAAGAATCGCGTGAATGTGTCTTTCAAGTGAGCCTTTCACGACAAACTCTGAAGCTAGCCGTTTGTTCTGACAGCTGCTGCATGTTGGTTCTTTCAAGTGGTGTGGGTAGGGGTAGGGTGCTTGTTGATGTTGGTATTGCTGGCTGTTGTTGTGGCTCTGGTTGATTTGGTGGAGGCATGATGATGATGTGGTCAGGTGGATGAAAAAAGCCGGCAAGGGCTGAAGCTCTATGACTGAATGCCCGACACCCGAGCTCTGCTTGAGTGCAGGTCCGTGCGAGGCAGGTACACGTAGCGATAAACTTAGCATGTATTTGTCTGGTGGGCAACGTCACTGCCTGTTAAGAGCTCAAAGAAGTTTTGCGACTTTTGACCTGCGCGCCGCTACGCTGGCGAACCCCAAACTTAAACCCTAAATTGAACTCTAGAATTAAACCCTAAACACAAATCCTAAAGTCCTAAACCCTATAAGGCCTAAACCCTGAACCCTAAACAGAAATCCCAAAGTCCTACACCCGTAAGCCCTAAACCCCGAAACCTAAATCCTAAACCTTAAACCCTCAATCCTAAACCTGAACCCTAAACCCTAAATCCCAAATCCCAAACCCTAAATCCTAAACGCTAAACCCTTCCTAACTCCCAAACTGACACGAGGCCCCCGGCGAACTCTCTGCCCGTGGCAAACTTCTGACTCTGCCGCTCCAGCAGGCCACCGACCTCCTGCCTCGGTACTTGGAGGGGCAGGGGACTTAGTAAGTAGGTTGTAAGTAGGGTTATAATTGGGGTAACTCCATTTAGGGTACTTATAACTCTACTGATAACCTACTTACTAAGTCCCCTGCCCCTCCAAGCAGGCTAGGGCTCCTTCAAAGGGGTCAAGGGCTCAAGGGTTTAGGGTTTAAGGGCTTAGGGGTTTTAGGCCAGGGCTCCTCTAAAGGGTTTAAGGGTTTCGGGTTTAGGGGCTTAGGGTTCAGGTTTGGGGTTTAGGGTTTTAGGCTAGGGCTCCTTTAAGAGGTTTAGGGTTGAGGGTTTAGGACTCCTCTAAAGGAACCCTTGAAGCAGCACAGGAGCCTTAAGACTTACCTATACTATTCAAGGGTTAAGGCTTTAGGGCCAAGGGCTCCGTTAAACCTACGAGTACTCGTCGAGTATCCTGGGGAACTAAAGGTTGAAATTTAGGACTAGATTGGGATGTTTAGGGATTAGAATACCCTACCTTACTACTGAGCAAAGGAATCCTTCAAGTAACACAGGGGCCTTAAGAAATACCTGTAGCATGTCGGGGGTAAGACTTATTATGATTTTGGTATAATAGACCCCAGAACCCTATTCCAATTATTAAGGCCCCTGTGTTACCCTGATTGGGGTCTAAGGCTTAGGAATTATAAGGTTTATATACGAACCCTTATTGGGGCTTGGGGCTTAGGGGTTTTAGTAAGGGTTTCAAGCATGCCCTCATAGGATCCATTGAACGCTTTGGATCAAGGCTTAGGTTTAGGGATGCTTTCAGGTTCCAAGTCCCAGAGACTCCAATATCCCCTAATTAAGGAATATATCTTAACTTATAGTAGGATCCCTAATATGATTTAAGGAATATTCCTTAATTAAGGGATATTAGGGTCTCTGGGGTGAAGAGGGCCTTGACATGCCACTATCAAACGATACGGTTGGGAAGGCGGATATATGGGTTAATGTCGGAACCTGATTAAGAATCCCTGGGCCTATAACCCCCGAAATAGTAGGATTCATACAAGGAACCCTAATAAAGGTCCAAGGGGTTCCTACATCAGTGGCCAAGGACCTCCCCAGTGGCCCTTGTCCTTCAGCGCCTCGGAACTTCAAATTATCGGGGCTGCTGTAGTATAGTTGCATGGTTCAGGGTTTAGGGTTTAGGGGTTTTATGGGTTTAAGGTAGTATCGTTACGTTACGTAATAAGAACCCGAAGGAATAACAGTTGCAATGCAAAACAGCTTCCGCTACTTTAAAAGTACCGGGTATGTAAGCCGCCACCGATCGCCACCGTCTTTAATTCATGTGCTTCGAAAGCTCGGAGCCCAGTAACTGTAACTGAAGAGCTGTGTGAGTGCAGTACAGTAGCACATGCTGCGCTCTGCTGTACTGATCTGTTTCCACAACTGCCAGCCCGCCTGAAGGTGGTAGCCCCTGCCGTATGGCCGTAGGGCCACAGGCAGTGGTGAGCACCACGCCGCCAGACTGTTGCAGCGGTCCACGAATGTGGTCAGCCGCAACCTGCCAGGCCTCAAAGGCGACACTGCACGTACTGTACCGTGCAGTACAGTACTGCAGTACAGTACTGCATAGTACGGATCAGGGGTTATAGTACGGTGTGGGGAGGCTTAAACCCTAAACTACGAACTGAACGACTAAACTGAGCTCTAAACCCTGAAGCCCAAACCAATCGTGACCACCCCGCCAGCCCAAGCCCAGACTTTCCGCATCCGGTTGATCATCCATCCGATCCTGGACTAGGGTGGGTAAGTTTTGGACATAAGTCTATAAAGGCCTGTAGCCTCGACCTCTTAATTGTAGCTGCTGGGGAATGCCCGAACCTTCTAACATCCACAACCAGCTTTTACCTTATTTGGTCCATGGCTAGACCTTTGTTGAATCGTGAGCCGGATTGCATGCCCAGCCGAACCCAAACTAACTAAGCTCTGGACAGCCGCCCCAAACCGGCTCTAAAAAGAGACATTCTTCGTCCGGGGCCCCCGACATCAAGTTCACGAACCACGCCGGCCGTGCAGTGAAGAGATAGTAGGCCAGCACCACCAGCATGATGAGCCAGAAAAGCCTGTGCATCAAGAGCTGTACTGCATCAAGCAAGTTCCGGCATCCGAAAGACACAATGCCTATTGATTCTGCGCTGTCTCGCTTAGGCTGCACACGGATCCTACTTGCCTACTTGGAAGTTCATGGGCACGTCTAACCCAGTTTAGGTCCATTGCCCGGAGCACAACTGCCCGGTAAGCAGCCAGATCAACAGCGGTTGCGACTTCCGGATTGGGCGAGACTTCTTACAATCCTACAGGCCCTTAACCCAAGCCCTACGGCTTTGAACCCCAAACTCTCAACCCTTTTAATCTTTAGAGTTTGACGCTTGGGGTGTTGGTCCATGCTCCAGAAAGGTGCTCATGTATGTCTGCATGCGATTAAAACACGCTTCTTCGAAGTATCCTGAAAGGAGAACCCACAGCTGCACTCCGAAGTGCCCCTGCAAAACCTTCATCGGCTCCCATCAAAGGCACATGTAAACCAAAACGGCAGCATGTGATCCTTCAGACGTGTTGGTCTTAGGGTGTACGGTGTAGAGAATCAGGTTCCGATTAATTTCAGGCTCAAACTTCAATTTATAGACGCTACGCACTTCAACTTTCGGCGCCAGCGCGCCAAAACCTAAGGCCCCGGCATGCGGGAGGAAAGCAGGCCTTCCTGGATTGTTGGACAAAATACGGAGACATGTGAGCTCAGGTGCCAACACGTGGACAGGGACTAACGCTGCGCTAACACCTACTCTTCGGCACGCCCGCTCCACATGCCTGCAGAAAGAGCGGAAACATACATGTCACTGTCGGAGCCTGTATAATCAGATTGAGCGCCCATCTTGTTCTACAGGGAATTGCGATTGCACCGGAGTTGCACAACTTTCCGCCGCGGTTTTATCGGCCACAGCAAGCACGCTGCGTTTGTTTTACGGGATGATGTGGATCCCGCTGATTCCCGCTGAATACACACCTGCTCGCACTAGCATCAATGCGACGACTGCAACTGCCAATAGCACTGGAAACATTACTCGCTGTCCTGTCACGTGCTCGCCTTGTTCAAAGACGTACTCGCTGCTGCAAAACATGCACTCGTGATGATTGTGGCAACATACGAAAATGCGATGAAAAAGGCTGCTACCGGTGCTGAATCATGCGAATGATGGCAATGTGCCGATGAAAAAACTCGAGTGTTCAAACGACGACAGATACAAAAACAACAACATGGAGTCGAAAGCAGCAATTATGGTATCTGGGCCACCTCTGTTACTGGGTTGTCTGCTACGTGTTGCTGCTACCACTGCCGCAGCTGCTCTGTGGCAAAATGTCACTAACATCAGGCACTGCATGTTGTGGACGACGAACCGTGCACTGTGTTGTTGATTAGATTTCTCCTGCACCTAAAACCTTCACGGACCTGAATACTGTGTAGAATCAGCGGCTTGCTTTACGGTATATCTGTGTTGTGGTCGTGCTATTAAGGGATGGATGTGTATGCGCATACATATGCATACAGATACCTAGATGATAAACAAATTTCTCAATCATCCAGATACACCCTGTACTAGAAGACAATTGGCCCGAAAACATCATCAGCGAAGAGTGTTGCGCTACATCATAGAATCCAGTGTATAGGGTCATAGAGTCACCGAATCAAAAGCACGGAGTCACAGAGTCGGAATGTCACATACAGTCAAGAGTCGTACAAGTCATAGTTCATAGAGTCATCGAGGCATAGAGTCGAGTACATGTCAAGCACAAGTCATAGTTCAAAGAGTCATAGAGTCATATAGAGTCATAGAGTCATAGCGTCAGAGTGAGAAAGAGTCATAGAGTCATGGAGTCATCATCTATGTACCACGCACTTGACTCGATGTAGTCCACTCTATGAACACTAACGTTTAAGCGGGTTTAGGGTACAATCCAACATGGCGCAGAAGTCTTCTTTTCCTAGCTCCGGAACCTCACTATATAGACATCCCTGATTACTGTGGTTTCAACGTGACTCTATGACTCTATGCATGGTCACTTTATGCCGCAGCAGTAGTAGTTGCAGTAGTAGTAGTAGTAGTAGTAGTAGTAGTAGTAGTAGTAGTAGTAGTAGTAGTAGTAGTAGTAGTAGTACTCCTGTAACAGCAGGACCCAGCTACTCAAGGAGCCGGTGGAGATTCGATCGAGGCAGGCGTCGAGTGCACATGTACCTTCTGAAGCTGCTCACGAAGGTTGCCAGGCTAGAAACAACAAGCAAGCGATCATTGGAACACTCGAGGAGGCCAATCCCTCTCAAGGATTGTGCGGGGCACCTAAAATGTGCAACTTTACCTAGCGTTTCAACGCTCGACCAAGCCAAGCCCTGTGAAGGGTTGCGCGGGCACCGCGAAAAGTGTAACTTGACTTCGCGTTCGCACACTCGACAACGCCAATCTCTGTGAAGGGTTGCAAGTTTCACCTCAATGCACATCAAAAGTAATAACTTTACCTCGCGTTCGTGCGTTCGACCACGCCAATCCCTGTGAAGGGTTGCAAAATTCATCTCAATGCACATGAAAAAACGCAACTTTACCTAGCGTTTGTGCATTCGACCATGCCAATCCCTGTGAAAGGTTGCAAATGCCAATCCCTGTGCAGGGTTGCAAAATGCACGTCAATGCACCCAAACCCTGTGAAGTCGGCGCCCGCAAAATGTGTAACTTTGCCTAGCGTTTGAACGCCCGAGGAGGCGAATCCCTGTGAAAGGTTGCGCAGCGCCCGCAACATGTGTAACTTTACCTAGCGTTTGAACGCCCGAGGTGGCCAATCCCTGTGAAGGGTTGCGCCGCGCGCCTAAAATGTGTCACTTTACCTACTGTAGCGTTTGAACGCCCGAGGTGGCCAATCCCTCTGAAGGGTTGCGCCGCGCGCCTAAAATGTGTCACTTTACCTAGCGTTTGGGCGCTCGAGGTGGCCAATCCCTGTGAAGGGTTGCGCCGTGACCGCAAAATGCGTCACTTTACCTAGCGTTTGGGCGCTGGAGGTGGCCAATCCCTGTGAAAGGTTGCGCCGGAACCGCAAAAATGTGTCACTTTACCTAGCGTTTGGGCGCTCGAGGTGGCCAATCCCTGTGAAGGGTTGCATTCCCGATGGACGACGACGGTGCCACCCCTGGCTTTAGAAGAGAGATTAGATACCGAGATGTTAGAGTCAAGTAAGTAAGTAAGTAAGTATACAGTCAAGTAAGCATAGAGTTCAAGTTCAAAGTTCATAAGTAACAGTTCATAAGTATGCAAGTAAGTAAGTATAGAGTCAAGTACGTAAGTATAGGTAAGTACAGAGTGCAAGTTCATAGCATAGAGTCAAGTATCAAGTGTAGAGTCAAGTAAGGTATAGAGTCAAGTAAGTAAGTCAAGAAAGTAAGTAAGTAAGTATTTCAGGTATAGCATCATAGAGTCAAGTATCAAGTGTAGAGTCAAGTAAGGTATAGCGTCAAGTAAGTCGGTTCTATGTCTGTCATCTATGTACTCATCTACCCGGCTCCGCACGGAAGAACCCTTCGCGATGCTTTCGGGAATAAAAAACATAAACGGACATATACAATGCCGTCGCCATCTCCATAAGGACCGAGATCGAACTAGAAATAGAGGATAGGGATCGGGGATAAGGACGCCGGCTACCGGTAAGCCTTCGGGCTTGATTGCAAGGCCGAAGCCGCCAACGGCCAATTGAGACCAAGTTTCCGAGGCGTCGTGGTGGTGGTGATGGTGAGCGGTCTTCTCTAGCTCTTCACTGAGCGGAATCAGCCTCGAAAACTGAGAGCCGCTGTCACTTTGCTCGTTTCGTCATGGGAGAATATAATATGTCCCCCAGGCTCTGGACTACTTGTTCACCCTGAATTAAACTACTAAACCTTATAGTAACCAGAAGCCCTTAAAGAACCCATTCGGGTTCCTGTGGATGCTTGCTCGCAGTGTGGAGTCTCGCGTGGAGTCTGCTCAGGGAGCTTCGGGCTCAGGGTTCCAATGGAGGTTACGAAAAAAAGAGGGCGTGAGTGTAAGCCTTACTACAATGGGCTAGGGCGGCTAGGGTTTAGGGTCCAGGGTTCAGGGTTAGGGATCAAGGGTTTAGGGATCAAGAGTTTGGGGTTTAGGGTAAAAGGAGCTTGTGGAGTTTTTTGAAGACTAACAAACCTAGATTTGTAAGATCCCTGACTATGATTTACAGTTGCATTTCCTTAAGAAGGGGTTCAGGCATGGCATAGGAAGCTTACGTTTTAGGGCTAGGTTTTGGGGCTTGGGGATGCTGTTCTATTCCAGGTTTTGCCCTAACACCTACACCCTGGACCTAAACTTACCTTTCTTTCGTTAGTAGGGAATGGAAGAATGGTAGTAATAGTATAGTCATCATAATTGTACCCCATTCCTCCATTCCCTACTAACCAAAGGTAAAAAAAAGGATTAAATTAAGGCCCCTAAATTATAGTACCCTTATGGATCCCTTATAGTAACCCTTATAGACCCCTTTATAAGGCCCTTTCCATTCCCCACTAACCAAAAGTAAGTAAACCCTCAAGGCAGTATTTTCGAGCTTCGGGTGGACGGGGTTCTGGGTTTGGGGCTCTGGTCACAGGGCCACAACCCAAGGGTCCAACGGTTGATGGTATAAATCCTGCATGACCTTAAGGACCCTAAACGATGGGAATAATGGTATATTCCTTATTATGGGTAATGCAGGATTTATATCATCAACCGAAGTACCTGATAATCATATACTCTCCAAAATCCTTAAACCTACATGGCTACTATCCTAAAACCAAGTACCTAATTATCGAGTCCTTTGGGCCCTTGGGGTGAGCTCTTCTGAGACGTCCTCACAACCACGAAACCAAGCGAAAAGGCATCTTTGCATCCAAGGCCTGCAGCATCCATGCCTGAAGCCCTAAACCCTGAACCCTAAAGTGTTAAAGCCCTCAACCCTGAGCCCTGAACCCTAAACTCTAAGCCCTAAAGCCCTAAACCCTGAACTCCCTAATCCCTAAACCCTAAAGCCCTAAAGCCCTGAACCCTAAACCCCAAACCAGCCGGAGTTGCCCGGCGACTTCAGCGCGCAGCCCCGAGGAGTGGGACGACCCTGTGGCCGGGGGCCACAGCCGAGGAGGACCTGACCTTGGGGGGTTTAACGGTTTGGGGTTTAGAATTTAAGGTTTAGGGTCCAGGGTTTAAGGTTTAGAGTTTAGGGTTCAGGGTTTAGGGTCTGTACCTGACCTTGGGGGTTGAACGGTTTAGGGGTTTTGGGTTTACTTAAAGAACCCGTGGACTTAGTAGGGTCCCTTGAAGGGATCTATAGGGGTACTATAAGGGTTTAGGGTTTCAGGTTTAGGGTTCAGGGTTTAGGGTCTGTAGGATTAGGGTTTAATTAAGGTTTAGAGTTTAGGGTTCAGGGTTTAGGGTCTGTAGGATTAGGGTTTAAGGTTCAAGGTTTAGCGTTCAGGGTTTAGGGTCAAAAGGTTTAGGCGTTGTTCAAGGTTTAGGGTTCAGGGTTTAGGATCTGTAGGTTTAGGGTTTAAGGTTTAAGGTTTAGGTTTCAGGGATTAGGGTTTCAGGTTTAGGGTTCTGGGTTTAGGGTCTATAGGGTTAGGGTGAGGTTTGAGGCTTATACGGCCAGATAGGATTTGGGGTTAGGGCATGGGGAGGTGTGTGAGGGTTTACAGTTTCGGGTTGAGGCTTTTGTCTTAGACTTTATTGAACCCTTACTTACAGGACCCTTGTAGAAACATTATACAGGATCCTCATAGAGGCCATTGTAGAACGGTCATAATGGAAACCTTGTAGAATTCTTGTACAACCCTTACAATAGAAAAGTCTTATAGAGCCGTTTTGGAATTTATCGAACCCCATAAGAAATCTTATTGAGAACCTTTGTAGAACCCATCTAGGCATACAAAGCCTTAATTTAAGGGTACCCCCTAGGAACCTTTATAAACTATGAATATCTTACAGGACGCCCACTAGGAGGCCTACTTGGAGGGTGGGGGAACTTATTAAGTAGCTCGTGTTTATTTGTATATAAGTATATATATATATACATGTACAGACAGCATAATCGCAATTAGGGTCCCTTGTAGGGCACTTATAACTCTATAAACTAACTACTTACTAAGTCCCCCGACCCTCGAAGTAGCGTCGGCAGCCTAAGAGCCCGGCAGAGCAGGAGGCGATTGGCCAGACCATGGAATGCCTCTTTTTCCCAGAGGCGCCAATCCCTTAATTCAGGAATAGACCTCCTAGTTGCTGAGTTCGCAATGCCCCCAAAAGTGTACACTTTCAAGTTTATACTGGGCAATCTTATCACAAAAAGTGTAAAGTGTATCCACTCAGCTACTGAGACCTTAAATTAAAGTAGGATCCCGATTAAGATTTAAAGGCTATTTCTGTATTGGAGTCTCTAGGCTGGCTGCGGTAGTGTCTGAGTGTACAGTTTAGGCTTTACCGGGTTTCGGGCTCTGATCTGTTTTCAGGGTCCTGTAATTGATAAGGCTCTTGTAAGGATGGTTGGGTCTGATCTATGAAGCCCCATACTATGCCATACTACGAGTTCTATTGGGGCCCGAGTCAGGCTTCTAATAGTAATAGTAATAGTAATAGAAATAGTAATAGTAATAGTACTAGTACTAGTACTAGTACTAGTAATAGTAATAGCAATAGTAATAGTAATAGTAACATTGTACATCGTTCAGAGCCCTCGCCCAACGACAGCTCAGGCCTCCGCCGTTCATTTTTTTAGCACAGGGTTGGCCACAAGTTTCGGGAATGAAGGTGCCGGAAACCATTGTCCTCTGCAAGGGATCGCCCGAAAGTCTCTAACTCAAAAGCAGCTACAGACTCACACCTTCAATCACCATAAGTTCTTAAAAATGCAAGCCCGTAAGCACACCGAGTCTTACCTACATAGGTTATCCTCAACCTCATCAAACACCGTAAACACGAAAGAAAGCACAAAGGATCATGAACATCCAAACCTGAATTTCTGCTGATCCTGAAGCTGTCACTGATTGAACTGGACAGCCCTTGAGAAGCGTGTCAGGTGTAGCCTTGATAATCGGAACAGGACACTTTTGAATACACCGCTGTACGGCTGCATACGGTATGTACTGAGATACGAGGACGAAATATCCGAATCTCTAAAATCTAAACGAAACCCTTTAGACACCAAACCCAACAAGAGACCGAGCTCATCCAAGCCTGTTCCCGCGCGGTCCAGAGCAATCCATAGTTCCCCAGACTCGCCTTAGAAGCATGCGGCGGCAAGTTCGGAAAGGGTACTACAAAGGTACGGCCCGCTGTTTCGGAAAGGCTGGGGATTTAGCCTGATCTGTTTCCGAAGGTTAAGGTTTAGTGTTATGGGAGTTTCCGAAAAAAAGGGACCCAAACATAGTACCCTAAGTAGTAGGATCCTTATTACATGGACCCCGAAATAAGGTACGCGCTATTTTCGGAAACTCCCTTAAACCCTAAACCCTTCATGGAACCCTTATGGATCCCTTTATAGATCCCTTTAAGGAACCCTTTTAAAGGAACCCTTATTGTTTTCCTTTACACTGGAGCTTAAGGCCTAAGAGTCGCTCACGCTGGCCAAAATATCTTCCTGCGAGGGGGGCAACTTGCAACAAAAGGGATAAAGGGCGATGCAAGCAAGGGTGCCCAAGTCCTAGAAACATTATATAACAAAACAACAAATTTCGATTGTCTGGCATGGGTTGGAAGAGAAGATGTTGGCTGCAATGCCATTGGCACTGGTTTCCCGGGCCTTGGACGACGCTTCGGCATTGGTTTCTCGGGCCTTGGACGACCTATCGTCCAAGCTGGCTCACGGGCACATCTTGGTCTGTCATAGGCTCCCGTCCCTGGTGTTGCGAATTGGCGATTGCTGCTGAACTGTCGCGCTCGGGAGACCTCATTGCACACCCATGTCTCAGGCGAAGGCAAGGTGTGCAGGGTGCAAGGGCCGAGCGTCACTCAAACTGGGTAGCCATTAGAACCCATGATCTGTCCGTGCCTGCCGTGTGTGCATTGCTCTACTCTGCAGGATTGATCTAGCAAGCTAAACATGATTCTTGGATGCACTAGTTGAAACATCCTACAGTACGAGCCACTCTGAGCGGCTTTTGAGTGAGCTACAGCATTCATTCAAAATTCATCACAGCTCCTGTCACTGGGACAGCGCACAGGGGGAAGGCTGACCTTCTTCGAGATGCATGGCCGGCAGCACCACCGCTATGTGGGATGGTTCTCGTGGGTGGATTTGGCTTTTGGGGTAGAGGGGGGTGCGGATGAGGAAATGGAAATGGCATATGCTAACTGATGCAAGGCCCTACAACCTAAACCTAGATGCTAACCAAACAGCACCACCCGAAGACCTGAAAGCCTGACAATCTGATGGCAACGGCTTGGGGTTCATGGTTGTCCGTTTAGGATTTTGGATTTTGGGTTGAAGGCTTAGAGTTTAGGGGCAACTGGCCTTGAAATCTGAAATGCATTCTGCGTTGTGAGAGGGGCTGTAGAAAGCAAACAACGTGGAGGATGATGCGGAAGACGGCGATGATGATGACGACGATGATCTAACCTCTAAACCCAAGAACACTAAACCTTAAACCCTAAACCCTTAACCCAAAAGCCTGACCGTGGAAGTAGCGTGTAACCCCCGCATACAGAAAGACTTGCACAAGCTCCAAAGGCACGACGGTAAACCCTGTCGGCAAAGTCCAGAAGATTGCGGGAGCTTGAATCCCCCCCATAATGAGGGCGCCTTACTATTTACATAATTAGAATAGGGTTTAGGGATACATTATCCCATTACAATAATAATAATAAGGAGCCCCCAAACTTGTTTTGGTAATGATTTAGGCCACCAGATTATGACCATTATCAAAACCGCTGGAACCCATCTGAGGCTGCTGCCTTCGCCCTCGAAGCGCAAGGGCAGCGCCCAAAGACGACTAGCACCTGGAGGGGCCTGGCGTGCTGTCGACGAAGTTCTGAATAGCAACAAGAACAAGGGTAATAATGAGACTAGTAACACGAATAAACAAGACTAGCAATAGTAATCGTGATTATCAGCTTCTTATCCGAGTACCAATAATGAATAAACTGCAAATGTAGTAGTATGTGTAAGAAAAAAGGTAACGACGATGGTGTTCATAGCAAGCAAAAGACTGACGAGGATAGTGATCGCATTGATATTCGTACTAGTATTCATGTTTACTGACGGCAACATGGACAAATACTGTTGGAAGAATTTAACACCCATCCTCACAGCAATCCATGACAGGGTCGGGGCATGTGCTGAGCAGCTCCAACTCAGCTGCTGCGGGCGGACTGCGTGAGTAATTAGAAGCTGCATCTCTTGTTTGATTAGTCAGGATGTCTGGAGCGGCTCCCCGACACGAAGCAGGATGAGTTTTGGGTTCAGGATGTCGTCGGCTCGTCGACGTGAGCATTCCACTCGAAGGTTTGACTGTTTTAAACCGATACTATGAACGAAAACCGTGCTCCATAGGCATACAAATCTGAGGTCATGATATCATACATGCGTTGGACACTGCCGGGACACTGTAAAAGTGACCACAATGAAACCCACAAAAAAAAACACAACTTATTTTTAAGGGCTTCATGCAAAACCTAAATTTACAACTGCCCCCGAAAAGAGAGGATGCAGAACGAATCGTACATTTACAGTTGTCCCCGAAGGACAGGGTGTGTCCCCATATGGATTCTGGTAATTTGCACCTCTTCTGTCGGACAAGCTTCTGGGCAACCTTTTGCTTCTGCCATACCTGCATACTCTGCTAAGCTGCCCCCATTTCTGCTCTCTCTCTCTCTTGCCGTTGCTCTGTTCCGGGGCAGGGGGCAGGAAGGGCAGGGGGGGCTGGGGATGGCCGGCCTGGACCCCGGACCGGTCTGGTGGTCCAGTGATCAATTTAAAAGGCAATGGCCTGGCCCCAGGATTTTGGCAGGTAGATCCCAGGTTTTGTTGATTCAGTTGTGGTTTTTTCTGGATTCAGTTGTGCTTTATTCTGGATTCAGTTGTGCTATTTTTTGTGCTCAAAACCTACAAAAGAAGTAGTGTTTTTTTGTGGTTTGGCTTGTGGTTTTTTAGTAGGCGCACATATAAAGCCAAAACCACAAACTTCTTTTAGATTTGAAGTTTGTGATTTTTTTGTGCTCTGAAGTTTGTGGTCCAAATCAGCCACCCCGCCAGGCCACGGAAAAGCACGAGCAACAGCACAAAAAAAGCACAACAGAAATCTGGACATCTGCTTATCTGCAGTGGGAAGGTAAATTTTGAAAATTGCTGCTCCTGGCTGCTTGGCAGAGTAGCAAAGTTGAGGGTTTAGGGCCGTTTAGGGTTTAGTCTAGGCTTTAGGGAACTTGCTACCCTGGCCACTAGCAGCTTTGCAAAATGGCAAGGTTCGGGTTTTCCTTCCTTTGCCTGCCTGACAAAACAGTAGAGTTGACAATTTGTTGCTGCTGGCCACTGACCGCGGCGCCAAAATAGCAAACGCTCCCGCTCTGCCTGCGTGGAAAACAGCCCAGGGGGGGAGAAGGGAGAACGAAGAGAAAAGGGGGAGGAGAGACGGGAGAACAATTTACGAGCTCAACAGGAGGAGTTTGGGGGAGGCCAACCCGGGCAACTTCCTTGCCCAAAAACAGTTGTGCTTTTTTGGGGGGTGTATAGATAAAGAAATGATTATCCGACTATTACAGGAGCCCGGCAGTCCCCAATACATGCGCACAATAAACCAGCTCAGTCTAATCAGCCGACATCTTTTGCTGGCATATGTGTCCGTTGTATGGAACTAAATTAACTACTCCCCCCCAGCACATGTGGCCCAAGAACATCACGGAAACTGACCAAATACAGTATTGGCTGCTACGTTTATTTGAAATAGGAGAACTAGCTTGAAACTGAGCAAAACTGTCGTCGCAACGCAAGGCGGCAGCAGGGCAAGCGTTGGCTTCAGTGGCAATAGCAAGTCTACCGCTTGGACTGCTACTCCCAACTGTTACCACTACTTCGTGGTGGTAGTAGTAGTAGTAGTAGCAGTAGTAGCAGTAGTAGCAGTAGTAGCAGTAGTAGTAGTAGTAGTAGTAGTAGTCGTAGTCGTAGTGGCAGCAGTAGTAGTAGTAGTAGCAGCAGTAGTAGTGGCAATAGCAGTAGGGGTAGTAGTAGTGGTAGTAGTAGTAGTAGTAGTCGTAAGTAGTAGTAGTCGTAAGTAGTAGTAGTAGTAGTAGTAGTAGTAGTAGTAGTAGTAGTAGTAGTCGGTGTCGTCCCTAAACCCTCAACCCCAAGCCCACGTCAGCTCCACTGGCTCCACGGCACGGCCGCCAGTGAGCGCCGCCAGACTAAGAGCAGTGCCCGACCAAGCGGCAACCAACCCTGGCGTGCTTCGAAGCGAGTTCACAGATTCAGGGCTTGGGGTTCAACATCAGGTTTTGGGGTTTGAGCAGAGGAGAAGTTAGTCTCAGTCTCCGAGGTTTCGGAGAGTTTTTCGAGACTTGCTTGAGATTGGAGACTTCCTGCCAACCATTCGTAGTTTGCATTCTAAGGGCATGTAACAGATACAGGTGAGAATTACAAAAGGAAGTCTGTCAGTTGCCAACAGTGGAGTCAAGTTTTATACGACGTTAAGTACACTGTATTCAAAGTCGAGGGTGCAAGATTCGTGACGGCCCAGGAGCAAGATTACATAACGTGACATGCATGTTTTATGAAGGACATGGTTCATGCCATTTTCAGCGGATTCAGGTCTAGAACAACAAAATACCACAACGCTTTCAATACATGAAAAGGCAACAAACGTCGCGGCCCCGTAGTCGAATTCGGTCCTGAGCATGGAGTATCTTAAAACTCTGAAGCAGGAATATAATTGGCCCAGAAGTCCTGCAAAGCACTAGAAGCCTGCAGCCACAAGTTTTGAATCTTCGGAAACCTTACGTCCTACCAACACGCTGTGTCTGTGTGTTTGCACCCTTGAAAACATGATTATGCGTGCACCGCATGCTCAGAAACTTCCTTACTAACGTGCCTGCGCTATAACAGCGAGTACACAGACGCGCAGACACAAACATGCAAACTCAAGCATGTCTATGACTAATAAGAAAACATCGAGCTTCCACCCTTCGTCGCCTCGATGCCCAGAAGACTTCAAGCAGTACCAGCAACAACAAGAACACCACTATCTCTCGCGACAACACCACCAGCAAGAAACCGACAAGGACGACGACGGCGGTGACCACTGCAACTGATGTAACCCTAAACTCTAAACCCCTAAACCGGCTGCCTCCGGTAGCTGCGCCCTTGACCGCCGAGGTCGCGGTTGGGGGCAGCCCAGCCAGACTGGGAGGCGGAGGGTCCTGGGTATCGTTCGCAGAGGGGATTCATAAGTAGGGCCTCCATTCTGTCATTTACTTAATTTGTTTAGGGTTTAGGGTTTAGAGTTTAGGGTTTAGGGTTAAGTGTCTTGTGCTTTCAAAAGAGATATCCTTTAATAAGGTGACCGTTAGGGTTTGGGGTGTCGGATCAGCGACTACTAGAGTTCATCATCGTTTATACGGGTTGTGCTACAGATTTTCTGAGGTGCGCTAAAGGGTTTGGAGTTTAGGGCTTACAGGGCTTCATCAAGGCTGTATATATATTTCTAACATTCTATGGTTTAGGAGTAGGTAAGGGTTTGGAAATCGCTTCGGATTTGGCCCCGAAGAAGCCGCCAGAGCACTCCTGGGGTTAAAGGTTTAGGGTTGATGATACTATCTTCAGGGCTTCCTAAGTTAAACCTGTACCGCCAAAACCCTGCTGTGATTTTAGGTACTAAGGCCCCGTGCATTATACTTACACAGAACATACACACGCGACAGATTCGGAAATCATGCATATTTAGCTTGCAATGGGGCTGAAAGGAGTTGTCTGCCTGATCACCTGGACAGCGAATTCTAGCTTCAGTTACCCAGAGACTCCAAGATCCCTTACTTCAGGAATATACAACAAGTTATAGCAGGCATTCCTAATATGAGCTGAGGAATATTGCAGTCTCGGCATAACTGGCGCGACGCAAGGTGAACCGAACCACTGCAAGATCCACACCTTCACAGGCCCTTATCGGAATCCTTGTCAAACCCAACTAGAAATCTGTGTCGGCTCTAACTAACACTTAGAGGAGTGCACCCTAAACCCTAAACTCTTAACCCCTAAACCCTTAAACCCTAAACCCTAAACCGGCAATCTTCAAGCCAGGTTTCTCCATCCCCCGTGGGCGTCGTGATGCTCAGAACAAAGTCAGCGCCAGACCTGGGAGTTACGATGTCCTATAAGGGTCTCTGGTCTCTCTGTAAAAGCTACTCTACGGGGTACTACAACCTTTCGCAATAAAAAGGGCTACCATAAACAAGGCTTTCCTACTTGTCGGTCATCAGTATCATGGGGAACTAAAGGTTAACCTCTTTGGTTATACCGGGATTATATAGGGACTATACTACCCAAAAAAGGTTAAAGGTTACCTACTCGACTACTAGGCTTTCTATACGAGTTTAGCGCGTGCAGCGTGAGCACCAGGGCACGGGTGTCCGAGAACCTGGGGCTCAAAGACTACTACTACTGTTGATGGTATAAACCCTGCATTACCCATAATAAGGAGTATACCATAATTCCCATAGTTTAGGGTCCTTAAGGTCATGCAGGATTTATATCATCAACCGTAGCATAGTTCGAGCAGCGAAGAACTGAGGCTCCGCCCTGCAAACTATGCCTTCTGAGCCTTTAGGGCTAAGGTTTTACAGTTTAGGGAATGAATGTAGAGCCCAGGATGTAAGTGGAGGCTTGAGGGTGGAGGCTGCAGGGCTTAAAGATATGGGTGTTAGTCTAGGGATACATAATGCTCGCGACCAGCCTTCAGGTCTATCGAACGCATGGATCCAGTGCCAAACCCTAAGGGTCCATGTATCCAACTAGTAGATACTTTGGCCTTAAAGTAGTCCCTAAAAAGGTACTTTGGGGCATAAATATGCACATTGACCCCCAAACCCCTAAACCCAACCCTAAACCCCCAAACCCTAAACCCCCCAAACCCCTAAAGCCCCAAACCCTGAAACCCTTAGGGAAAGCTTTGCGGGGGAGATGGTTCAGGGTTTGAGGCTTCGGACATAGGGCTTGGTGGGCATGAGCTTCCGAGGGCTTAGGCTTACCCTAACCCTGAAAAACCCTACCTTTTGAGGGTTCCTTATTATGATTTCCCTATGTAAGTCCTTGAAACGGTAGGTTATTCAGGTTTAAGGTAGGGTTTTGGTTTCAGGTCTTAGGGATTAAAGGTCTGTTGATGCAAGGCGCGACAATGGCGCAGCGAGGAAGGGCCCGACGACCTGGTTTCGTACAAGCGCACGGAAACATGCCGGAAAGCATTAATCTCGGATTTAGGAGCTTACGAGGAAGTTCTGAGTTTCCAGGCAGATCGCATCCTATGGTTGACACGTCGTTCTGCGATCTGGGCTACACAACTTTAGCTACGAAGATGCCCTAGCTGAAGAGGAACCATACAAGCAATTGCCACACGTGCGGTGCCGGAAAAATGCGACGATCGCCATTCGGGCATCGTCCACATTGCAGAAGGGTGAAACAACTCACCCTGCAGATCGAAAAGGGGCGACTAGGTCGAGGTAGGACGAGCCTGCCCTTCTTTGGTTCTTCTAGACAAGAAATCCTGCACTGCCATGTAACAGCTGTCAGGCCTACTGCCGAGTTTAGGGACAAGGACAGGCCTCTTAGGAAGCAAGACTGCACGACAACAAGCAGCAGTACAAGATAATGAAGACAAGGGGCTGCACCCTGAACCCCTAAATCCCGAACCCAACTTTCGCAGAACACCATCTGCAAAATAATTTTGCTCAACATCCAGGACTGCCATCTGCTGAAACCCAACCATGCACTCAAACCAATCTTCAGGCTGTGCCGCAAACCCCAGCGAAACAACAAACAACAAAAGCCCAAATACAAACCCTAAACAGTATCCTAAACCGGTTCTTTTGAAAGCTAAGATAAGGGATCTATGAGGGCTCCTTAACCGGTGATTTACAGGGGCCTTAATTAGAATGTATTGGAATAGGGGTTTGGGGCTCACTATACTATAAGTATATTAAGGAACCCCCAACATAGTAGAGGTAATGAGTACCCAAAGGCCCCAAAGTAGTTCCTTTTGGGGTTTCATATTTAGAATCCTATAAGGTAATCCCAAAAAGGAACTACTTTGGGACCTATGGGTAAGGCCCCTATAGCAAGCCCCCAGGACCCCGCGCAGGTTTGGAACTGTGCAGCGCCACTCGCCGAAGACGAACACCCAGCGGCACGCACCGTCCTGAACCTCGAGATCTATGAGGGTTTTGTCAAAGGGGAAAAGGAGGGACCCTTAATGGGGACCCCTACCCTATAATGGGCTATATAATGGGTATATAATAGCTATATTAAGGGTATATACCTAGGGGTCCGTATTGAGGGTCCCTCCTTTTACCCTTGGGTTTAGGGTAATGTCTGGCTTCTTTCCCAGAGGGTCCATAATTGATATATATATATATATATATATATATATATATTACCATTATGGAATCGGGGCCCGAAAGACCATCCTCATGATGGCTTCGGGGACATACTTCCACAATGGTAGCAGGTAGTATTTGTATGGACCCTCTGGGTTTGTGGGGTTCCTTTGAGAGTTCATTTAAGGGCGCTGGTGCTCCCGGGTTCGCGGATTAAAGGGCTTTTGGAGATTTAAGGGGTTGGGATTTCGAGTATGAAGTTTAATGCTCGCACTTCGGATTTTGCAAGACTTTAGCGTCTATAGGGTTTAGGGTTTTAAGCTCAGGGGTTAAGGCTCAGTTCAGTTTACGGCTGAAGCTGGAACTCCGGCTCCGACTATCTGCTTCTGCCACGACTTTCTACCACTGCAACTACTCCTGCTCTATGCTTTCCAGCTTCTAGACTCTCAAACTGAAGATCCGCAGTCCTGTCGAGTTTGCCCTGGAGCGACCCATGCGGTTTGGCTCGTAGGGGTCAGATTTGTGAATTTAACTTGACAGGGTTAACCACAAGTTCCAGGGGTTTGCTGTTCAATGTTGTGCCATTTACGGACTTGACGGCTACGGTTTGGGCCGAAGTTGCCCTACGCCTACGCCCAATCCCCTGGCCTCTAAACCTTAACCCTAAACCCCACACCCTAAAACCCGGCGCTTAACAAGCTTTGGCTTTCAGGTTCTCTTTGTGGTCCAAAGTCTTTGCCTGAGCTTCAGTGCGCTGTGCGACCAACCAGAATAAACCGAGATTCCTGAGTCCCTTATCTTAATAAGGATACCTACTATTCGGTCTTGACAAGGGGACCCTAAAATAGAAAGCGCGAAAGGGTGCTACTCAGGAACCTATTATCCCGTATAGAACCCTTCAAGGATCCCTTACAGAACCCTGTAAGCAGCCTTCAAAACGGGTTCTACTCAGGAAGCTAGATTCGCTATACGCAAAGCGCATGGCTCGCTCCGAGAAGAAGAAACACTGGGATCGAAATTCTTCAGATCATGCTACACTCGGCTTGGGGTTCAGGGTTTAGGGGTTTAGGGTTTAGGGCTTTAGGGATTTAGGGTTTTGGGTTAAGCGGTTTTAGGGTAGGCACATACGAGCTCTACACCACGAAGCCGAAACTGCAAAGTGCGAAGCCTCAAAGCCTATAAACCACAAGCCGAAACCAGTTGTGGCAAGTCACGCAGCTGCGTCTGAGCCTGCAGATAGGGCTGACAGGCACCCCCCAAAAGAAAAAGGCTTCCAAGCAAATCTCAAGGGCTTCGTGTTTGGGATCTTGTCCTGTTTTCTCACTGGCCCAAAACCCACGGGAATAAAAGTTGAAACTTTCAGAATCGACTACCTCATAAGAACTCCGAAAGTTGAAAAGTTGAGTTTACAAAAAGTTTTTTGGGGACCCTGGACCGGACGCAGAGCTGCTGATCTACGGGGCGGGGTTCACGGACATGGGGTTGGTGATGGAGTTTGACGGTTAAGTGTAGGGTCTAGGGTTTAGGGTTCTGCATGCCTCGCTACTACGATGATCCTCACACAGGATGGGCCACGCTGCAGAACACACATGAAACCTATGTTCAGGGACCCTATTCGAACTGCTTAAGCTGTTATAGTACCCCATGCTGGCCTGGCTTTCGAAGGCGTCATCATGGCCTTTCATTCAGTCTTTCGATTTATGGTTGAAGGTTCAGGGTTTGGGACTGCGGATCTACCTATAGGCCCCAAAGTAGCTCCTTTTTGGGATTGCCTTGTAGGATTCTATATATGAGCCCCAAAAAGGAACTACTTTGGGGCCTTAGGGTTAGGATTTAGAAATTTGGTAACTGGGGGTTGGGGGAAAAAGCGCTAAACCGAGCCTCATGGTACATAAATCTGGCAGTAAGATGTATTTGGGGTTATAAGCACCATAGTTGGTGTTGTCTCAGTTCTGACCTTACGTATAAATCACTTGCCAAGTCCCCCAAGCCTTTAACCCCAAAGGTCCGAATTACTCAATAATTAAGTACTCGGTTTTAGGATAGTCGTTATGTAGGTTAAGATTTTGGAGAGTAAATGATTATGAGGTACTTCGGTTGATGATATAAATCCTGCATTACCCACAATAAGGAATATACCATAATTCCCATAATGTGGGGTCCTTAAGGTAATGCAGGATTTATATCATCAACCGTTGGACCCTTGGCGTAAGGAGAGGCCAGCACCAGTCAGCAGTTTACTTATCGGTGAGGATGGAATGGCTTTGGGAGATTCTTTTAAGGGTTCAGGGCCTAGGGTTTAGGGTTGAGGGTTTGGGGTTTAGGGTTTGGGGTTTAGGGTATTGACCCAAACTAGGGGGCATTGGTTATTTGGACAAGGCTTTCGAGTCGACTAGACCATGAACTACTTTCAAGATGAGCCTATATGCGTGATTAGGGCAGTCAGTTGGTTTTTCCAGATGCGATGGGACTTTCAGAAAACGAGGAATCCAGTAGTAGGATCCTCACAAAAAGCTCCCCTAGAGCAAGTCGCAGAAGGACCCGAACCCTTAAAAGCCCTAGAAACCCGAAACCGCAAAAACAAATTCTGAAGAGACCCCTGAACCCTTAGACCTTTCTCTTCGGGCTCCCACGGATGCGAATTGTATGCTGACCTGCAGGGCCGGCGTGCTTTGGGCTGGGGGGGAATTGTGCCGTAAGCCCGGGTTTAGGATTCAGGGTTCAGCCGTTCAAAGTTTCTTTTGTGTTTAAGCTCCTTTTGCCCCGAGGCTGCAGTCTGCGACTCCTAGTAAAGCCTGAAGGTCAGGAGAGACGGACCACATTGTGGCTGAAAGCGTTCAAGGTTTATAGGGTTTAGGCTTTAGGCTTTAGTCTTTAGTTGGCTTTTGGGTTTAGGAGCTAAAAAAGGTTGGAACTTTACAAAAGAACTGGAAGGGAATTCACATTTACGCATGTAAAAAGACAGCACAGAGCATTACGGCCGTTCATACGGGGACCCGCCACCAAACCTCGCCCCCATTAAAACCCTGAAATCCTACAACCAGTTACTTCAAAATAGCATTATCGGCGGGTTCAGGTATATGGACATCTCTGTCAAGATCTGAGATCCCACGCGTGGCACCAAAACATAACCCGAAGCTTCACCGGTTCGCGATCTCCTTTGCCCTCAACTTAGGGTCTAGGGTTTTGGGGGTTTGGAGGCTCAGGGTTTAGAGTTTAGGGGTTCCTACTCGTCACACCTGAACTGTCCGGACAGTGCGACGCGATAAGTACTAGAACAGAACACCAAATTGGCGCAGCAACCTTCTCAAGTAAGCACATAGACACACAAGAAGTGAATGCCTTAGTTCTGGGCTCTGGCCCTTCATAATGGTTGACTAGTCGAAATCACAAAAGAGACCGGCAATAACGAGAACTGTATGACGAAACCCAAAACGTGAAACCCAAGTCTAAAAACACCCAATCCGCCCAACCTCCAAACAAAGAATCCCGAAGGCAGAACCAAGAATCGCCTTGCCCTGAAGCCTGAACCTGCCCCCTCCAAAAACACAACAAGCAACTAAAGCCTGCTGAAGAAGAGCTGAGCCCTCGAAGGCCTACTAAGCCATAATGAACCCTCTTGCCGTACACCCTAAATCCCAAACGCCTGAACCCTAAACCCCCGAAACCCTAGACCCCTAAATCTTAAACCCCTACAAAGCACCTGCGGCGAGCCGGAGCTGGAGAACGGCCTTCCGTTCGGATGCCATCGACGGTTTGGGGCTTACTTTGGGAGGCTTGGAGGACGTATTTAAGGTTGAAGGGCCCCTTCAAGGGATTCTTTTAGGGATCCTTTAAGGGATGTAGATGAGTCCTTTGAGGGATCCAGAACAAGGTTCCTCTAAGGGATCTGAACCGGTACTATAAGGGTTTTAGGGTTTGGGGTTTAGGGTTTGGGGTTCAGGGTTTAAGGGCTTAGGGTTCAGGGTTTGGTTGTCTGGGGGTTCCTGTACTGTACGGACTCCTTGAAAGCTCCCTTATAGTTGAAATGTTCCTTCAAAAGTGCCCTTCAGGAGTTCAATAAGAAGTTCTGTATGTGGTTTAGAGTTGAGTGCTTGGGTTTTCAGGGTGTTGCTTGCACCGCTGCTTAGGTCTCGGGTTAGGGTTCAAGGTTGACGGTAGGGTTTTAGGGATTTTAGGGTTCTAGAAAATATTGAGATCTAGGGCCATTAAGACTTGATGCATTACTGGCCCTGACCCGGTTTGTTGGGGGGAGGGTCTGTAGAGATCCAACCTTCTATACGGAGACTGTATAGTTTTGCACAGGTTCGTGTGCCAAAGACACCATTAGCAGCATAGAGATCAACCCCCGCAGCTAGAAGTAAGGTCAAAAGTTGTTAGAAGGATCTTGAGTGCGGGTTTAACAAAGTGTAATATCCTAAACCCAAACTCCAAAACATAAACCCTAAACCCATAGTCACCCACTATCGTGGCCGCAACTGTAACACTATGACTACCTATACTCATGCACATGAACTTTCAAGGAAGCACCGAGCTCAGAGCGCCGGTGCCGGCAGTGGTGGTGTGCAGTGGCGAACGTGGTAGTGAATTGTACTACACCATACTGTGATACAATATTATATGGTATGCTGGATGCTCTTAGACTGCATTGTTTCATATTGTATTGTATATCGAACCTTATCGAATATTATGTCAGACTAGACTATACCATTTCATATTACGTTGTTTTATATTGGACTACACTACATTATAACTATAACTATACTGTATCACATTGCAAAATATTGTAAAGTATGGTCTATGTCATTATATTGTAATTACTATGTTGTGTTACAAGTAATGTGTCATATTACACTGTGCCATATCTTATTATATGGTGGTCGCAGTGGTGAACTGTACACCGAATGTTTCTTGTGACAGAGCCGGTTTTCTCGCAGTGGGGCTTGGAAAAGAGAGCTTTGTGGTTGTGGTACAGCTGTTGAGCTTGATATAAACCTCGGTAGGTCCTATTAATGAGACTACTGTCATCTTAGTCGCGCTTTTCTGCTTCCTGGTATTCCTTTCTTTCATACGCCCGGAAACTGCTGTGCCTTTGCTTCAGTGCTCCACTCTAAACCATCAACCTTATAAGTTCATTTGTGTTTGGGGTTTAAAGCTTGAAACCCTCCGCAATCGAACGCACCATATTGCCCCAACAATTCCAAAGGCAAAACCATAAGCCCTGAACCACAAGCCCCGCCTGTGCGTTACGTGGGCTGGCGGCGACACCATGGGCAGCAATCGCTGGACCCGAAGCCTGTGATGTTGGGCTTCTTTGGTTCGGCGGGGATTTCAGATAGAGTTTAGGTCTCGGTATTTGGCTTTATTGGGTGTTCTACGGGGCGAGCGCAGGAGGGGTTGAATCTTGCGAACTTTGCATGAGATCTTGGGTCTTCTCGAATGGTGGATGGCGACCATCAGCTTTTCAGCGGGATTGTCAAGCTAAGGTGCAGTGGAATTACGACGAAATGGAAAAAGCATTCGTGAGTTTAGAGTCTAGATTCTAAGATTCTATATTTCTGCAATGTCAATTTCTGATTCAAGCACATACTTGGGAAAGCCCGAACACAAATCCTTCTTCGAACGCAACTTTAATAATGAAGCAGCATAAGATCTGCCAATGCAAAAGCCCAGCCGCAGCGTATCCCTGACATCCTAATAAGTCCTTCCCCCAAACCTGCAAACCAAAGCCTAAACCTCAAACACCAAAGTCCCTCCGCCTTACGTCCCGACAGCCGAAGCCTTGATAAACCCAAAACTCCCTGTTTTGGGAACGAGACCGAGTAAGAACAATGATAAACAGTAATAATGGTAACAATAATAGTACGCACAGTAAGAGTAATAATAGTCCCTAAGGGTCCATGTACCCATATAGAGATACATGAGCCCCAATGTATCTATATAGGGACTACATTAACGCCAATGTATATACTATATGAGTACATGGACCCTTAGGGACTTTTAAAAAAGTTAAATAATAATGACGATGATGATTATGAGGAGCGATGGCCTCGACAGGCCCTCCCGATGCTCCGGCACTGGTTTCGAGCCTCAGGGAGGGATGGGTCTAGGCTAGGACCCTAAACCCTGAAAACCCCTAAACTTTAAACACCCTAAATCCCCAAACCCTAAACCCCTAAACCCCTGAAGCCCTAAACCCTAAGCCCCCTTAACAGGACCTCGGAGGGGTTGAAGGCATTTTTCAACTGAAGGTTTCGCCTGGGGTTACAGAGGCCTTTCAAGGGCTTCTAGTGGTTTAGGGTTTCGGGGTTCAGGTGTTGTTGTAGGAACGCAGGCTCCCGCTAAAGTATTTAAACCCAAAAAAAGCTTGAAACAGCCCACGACGGTAACGTGTCAAAGCCAGAGAAGAAAACTTAGATCACGCACTTATATCGCATGCATGGAAATTCTGCTCAGAATGAGCAGGGCCGCCCCCCAATTTTCTGCTTCTGCGCGATGTATGGCTGCAAAAATGGTGTGAAGACCTCCCCCCCTTGAGACCATGAGTCGGAGCAACCTCCAAAAAGCTTAAAAAGTAAAAGCCAGAAAGTTGGAATATGATTGTCCTAAACCCTTTATGGTAAATTATGGGGTATCCTACCCTGAAACCATATTCCAACTTTCTGGAGTTCCCTTTAAGGGCATGGGAGTTTCTAGGGCACCAAAGGCTTTCTTCCCAGAGGAGAGGCAAAGACACGAAGGACAAGAAGAGCAATCACAGCACTAATTCTGTTGTCAGCGCTCAATTGTGAAAATGCAAAAGCCGGTCCCGCCGTCGACCGACTAATGACTGGCTGAACCACTACATGAGATTTGAAAGTCGCCACTTGAATCAGCGAAAACAACTGACCGGTAATAAGAAACCTCATATGCCAACATGGCCAAGCTTCCACAAAACACCTGCCCACGATATTCTACGACTTGCATCCACTGCGACTTGAAACTTACACGGTTTAGGGTTTAGGGTCCTTAAAACACAAGCCGACTGTGGATGACATGCTGCCAGAGATGGATGTTGGACAGCATGAAGTTGAACTGAACCTCTGCGGCGGGGGCTGAATCTCGCACCGCAAACCTAAGCTAATCCCTAAGCCCAGACCTGGATTAATCGAATGGGATTTTTTGTGGGGCAGTTCAGACTACAGCTCTATCGAGAAACCCCAAGGAATCGTCTAGGAAGTTGTGTAAGCTTCTATTAATAAGACACTGGCTTCAGATCTAGCGTTCAGAGCACGAGGCCCCGAAAAGCTCGGAAGCCCGAAACCCCAAACAGAGCCACTTGGAGGGGCAGGGGACTTAGTAAGTAGGTTGAATTGGGGTAACTCCATCTAGGGTACTTATAGCCCTACTTATAATCTACTTACTAAGTCCCCTGCCCCTCCAAGTAAACTGCAAATCCTAAACCCAAAATCGTCACCCGAAGAAGAAACCCCAAGCGGCCTTTTGCACATTCAGAGCCTTAGCCGGAAAGCCAAGTTCTCGAAGCGCAAAGCAGTAACTTCTGTATCCGAAGCTACACTACTTTGGAGACAGGGTTTAGGGGGTTTAGGGTTGGGGTCTTAGGGTGTAGATGCCTGATAAAGAAAAACCCTTTTCGTGAAAGGCCCGAGGGTAAACCCCAGAAAGTTGGAACATGGAGTAAGGATGGTTAGTGCTGGGATTCCCTTAAAGGCATGGGGATTATGATGTTCCAGAACCCGACTACAGTACCAACTACGGGAGAGGGATTTTTTCATCAGTGGGTTGGGAAGAAACACAGCAGCGAAAAAACCCTAAACCCTAAACCCTAAACCCTAAAGGCAACGAAAAGTTTTGGGCCTGAGGGGTCGGTTCCTGAAAAGGGAACGTTGTGAATCCTACATATGGGAGTTTCCGAAAATGGGGGTACCTTTTTTTGGTTCCTTGTAATAAGGATCCTACTATTTCAGGGTACTATATTAGGGTCAACTATATTTTCGGAAACTCCCATATCTCTCATATTCATCTATATATTCCGACATCTAAACCCTAAACCTCAAAAGTCCTGAAGCCTCCACCGCAAGCCCTTGAATACCTACAGAGAGTACAGCCGGGATCCCAGAAGATTACCGAGCATTCCTCACATGAAATCTGGAGCATAACCGGCAGCCTACTAACTAGGTTTTTACCGAATATGCCGCAGATCGCTGTCTAAAATACCCTCAAACCGGAAGCCCTGATCCTTTTAGCGTCTCCAGAGAGAACCTTAAAACCGAAACCCTTGACCTGAAACCCTTAAGCCCTAGACCCGAAGCCTTAAACTCCAAACAGTCAAACCCTGAACCGTAAACCCTAAACCTTAAAGATCCGGAACCGTAAACCGCCACCTCCACCTCCACGAGCGAGTCGTCTGCCAAGGTCAGAGGAATAGAGCTGCTGGTTCCCCCCGCTTGCCCTGGCACTTTTAGGGTGTGGGGATTTATGGATTTATTTATGGCGGTTCAGTGTGTAGGGCCACACAATAGGATTGAGAACGCCGCTTTAGGGTTAAACCGTAGAAGGAGCAGGTTTGGGTGGTTTGGCAGACAGAGCCGGCGCTTGGAAGGAAAGAACCAAGAAGAGCCTTCGACAATGAGGCCTTAACAGCTGATCGCCGCAGTACCTTTATCTCAAGGTAACTTCGCCTTTACATGCGCTATTCAAATCCTAAACCGGAAGCCCTAAACTCTTCGAGCCCTAAGAGCCCTAAACCCAAAACCCTATAAACCCTAAGAGCCCTAGACAAAATTTGGACCTCTAGAACCAGCAGCCGCACCCCTGGCACTGGTGCAGAGCTCTGTCCCGAAAACTTCTCAACTCGCTCACTCACATAGGGAGGGGGCCTTAAGAATTAGAGTAGGGTCCTTTTTAAAGGGCTCTATACAAGCGCTACTAAGGATACTAATAGGGATCCATGAGGGTACTCTAGGGATACAAGGGTACTATAAGGGATGCTATAAGGCTTCTTATACAGGGGCCTTACAAATTAGAGTGGGTTCCTTTTGAAGGGCTCCATACAAGGGCTACTATAAGGGATCTACAAGGGTACTATAGTGTAGGGGCCTTAACCCTTAGAATAGGGTTCCCACAAAGGGCTCTATATAAGGGCTACTATAAGGGATCTATTACTATAATATAATATGGGGCCTGAAATTTCGAATAGGGTTTTGGAGTGCAATATCCTACAATCATAATAAGGAACCATAAGATAGTATTGGGGTTTATTTCGGCCCCGACATTATAGTATAGGAGGGAAGGGGCCTTAATTGTTATTGTCATGATTTGGTTGCTGTATGTTTAGGCCATCGGTTTGGGATAATGGTTACAATGTGACAGATTACAAACACATGAGCGAGCCGACGTGGACAGGCCGCAGTGCCCAACCTCTGTCCCAGGACTGCTAACAAACCACGGTTCCAAATAACTGCATCCATCCTGACGTACTCGGCAGCCACGCATGATGCATACCAAAGAAAACACACTCACCGTACAATGAAATGCTGTGTACATCACTGCAAAGCTCAGAAGGAGTCTCGTAACTGGGTCCCTGATGGCCCCTCATTGTCACAGAACGCACTACTCGCGGACCTCAGCCAGCATTGATAGTAGCCGCCCAACAAGCCTACAAAGAGATGGGGCATGCTAGGTTGAAGTAACCCTGAACTCAGAGACTCCAACATCCCTTAATTGAGGAATAGGCCTTCAAATTATGGTAGGATCCCTCATATGATTCACAGAATACTCCTTAGGAGTCTCCGGGAACCCTAAGCCCATCCACATCGACAGCTGCCTGTGTTCACACGGGCGTCCGCGGTCGCCACAGCGCTGTCTCTGAAGGCGTCGGCGGCCTTGGTCGAGAGGTCCTGAAGCGATCCTCAGCTTGGCAACCATGACAAAGGAAACCTTGAGGCTTCCACTGTCTGGTTCTTAGTAGGGAATGGGGTATGGAGTTACTTGGAGGGGCAGGGGACTTAGTAAGTAGGTTATAAGTAGAGTTATAAGTACCCTTAAATGGAGTTACCCCAGTTATAACCCTACTTATAACCTACTTACTAAGTCCCCTGCGCTTCCAAGTAGTAAACTATAGGACTATAGGAATCCATTGCCCCATTCCCTACAAAGCATCAGACAGAAAAAGGAAACCTTGAGGGTGCCTTTAGGGTGTCCTTCAAGGGTTCCTTTAAAGGCTCCTTCAGGGATTCCGTTCAAGGTTTCCTTTGCGGGTTCCTTTCGGGTCCCTTTCAGGTTCTATTGGGTTGAGGGTTTTCAGGCTCTATGCGCCCATATAGTATATTGTTAAGATAATTAGGCCTGAACGCAGTTCCTACGACGGTACTGTAATGCCTAAGCATTGGTAACCATGGAGGTTTAGGATTTGCAAACAAATGGCGACCTTTGCTACCCCCAGTAAATCAAGCCCCTTATACCGAGTACATCCCTGCTGCTAGCGTTTATGCGGCATTTACGCCACAAAGAAGGCCCTATCAAGACGGTACTTCCATGACGCTGAGCCCTAAACCATCAAGCTCTGAACCCCAAACCCCTGAAATCCGCTGAAGCCTTGCACCCCGACCACGATATCCCAGAATGCTGCTGCCATCTGCACACCCGCTGTAATGAAGACCGTCCCAAAACCTCAAGCCGTGACATAAACTCTAAATCGCTGAAGCCTAAACCCCAAAATCCACCCCGAGACTCCAAAATCCAACACCTCAAATCCTTAAAACCCCGCGAATTTCGAAAATCCAGGCCCTGGAACCCAGAAGCCCCCCCAAAAAACAATCAAATACGCTGATCTTCTTGCAATCGGGGGGCCGGAGTCCGTCCAACACTCGGTCATGGCAGCAAGATCGGCAGTTGGCGTCCTCTAGTCTTGAAATAGTCCCTTCGCCCCCAACATTTGCTGATTTAGGGCGAAATGTTGTAGAAAGGGGGGGAAGCGCTTAATACCTATCTCGGGCTCTTTGGACTCTCAGGGCCTCAGCGCTGACTTGCGTGTGCCCTAAGGCTTTCCGGACCTGTGTTTTTTGGGTTTAAAGTTTACCTTAACCCTGAAGAACCTACCCTTTTAAGGACGTGTATAAGGAAATCATGGGTAGTGTTCAGAGTTTAGGGGTTGAAAGCTTCTGGGGCCAACGACCATGCTTCTGACTTGTGGAGCGTGCTTTGATTTGCGTGCCTCGGATCTTACAGTACGAAGTGCGGGGGCTAAGCGGCTAAGGGTTTGCAGAATTTAGGGTTTAGGGTCTAGGGGATTAAGGATGAAGGGCTTTATGTCCTGAGGTCCTGAATCCAATGCTTAGGATCTGGATTTTGGTGAGGGCCTACCGACCCCTCCCTTGTGCAGCCAGCATGCACTTGCAGCAGCCAGTCGAAGGATGCGCATCCTGGCAGCAAGGACGAGCCCTCAACTCCTCAATCCCGAAATCCCTAAATCTTGAACACCCACAAGCTCGAAACTCTGAACTTCTGAAACCCGATAAGGCTATAAGGAATGAGTTCTTTACATTACACCATGCAAGTATCTGGCACTACAAAGAGTGATACGAGGTGCAGGGAGGATGAATGCAGCCCTAAACCGATCACCGTCAGGGCTGGGGGTGGACAGGTTGAACTGTTGCTATTTGTCGTTGTCATGCACAGGCCCGCAATGTCGACTGTGAGAGCTGTGCGTAGAGTATGAACAATTGTTTTGTATGTATAGTGTTATGTATAGAAAGACATAAATAAATGGACACATGAAAGAACAAGCAAATAAACACACACACACACATAGTTATATCTATCTATACCTATATCTATATCTGTATCTATACCTATCTATATCTATGTGTATACACATATACATATACATATATATATATATATATATATACATATATCACCCCTTATATACATGTCAGACTTTATGGGGCGCAGCACACTCGGCATGAATCTCAGTCTGTCTGCTGCGTGTCGAGAAGCTTCCTGAACTCAAGCAAGACATCACCGAACCCTAATCCGGATATCCTGCATAAACCTGATGGCATCCTCAAAATAAACTTCTGACGAAAACCCTGCACAATCTTAACTGAATCGTTTTTGTAACTACTGGTATCTGCAAAAATAGCCACGATTATGCTCCCACCACTGGTAACTGAGGAGCGCCATGAACTCTCCAAAGCCCTGATATTTCTAAAGTCCTAAAGTGACGCCGCAGATATACCAGGACCCCCCAAGGGCCCTTCAATGGAGTCCTTGCGGCCCTGAATAGTGGGCATTCGGGGTATATTAGAGGGCACTTGCAGGTCCAGGTAGACTCATATAAAATTCGAACCCCAAGTGAGACCATGGTGTGATCCTGAAATAGATCGAGCCCCCTGTCCCTCTGCCAAGGACTTACCAACCCCGAATCGAACTTGTAGCTAAGCTGCCGAAACCTATGTTTCATAAAGTAGACCTAAACCCTATCGGCTAAACCCCTAAACCCTAAACTCCAAAAAACAGCAGGGGTACGGGGCACGTTTCGACTCAAGTCTATGCCTGCACCGGCAGCGATGCGGTGCTCCCGGTGAAAAGACACCCACCTAAGGTTTCAGTTCTGGCTTTCGGACTTCGGGGCCCCTCAACCCAGAGACTCCAATATCCCTTAATAAAAGGAGGCTTCCTTAAAGGGCTCCTTAAAGGGATCTATAAGGGATCCTATAAGGGATCTTTAGGGTTTAGGGTTTAGGGAAGTCTTTATATCCCTTAATTAAGGAATATTCCTTAAATCATAGTAGGGATCCTTCTATAATTGAAGGAATATTCCTTAATTAAGGGATATTGGAGTCTCTGGGAACTCTACCAAGCGGTTAGAAGGGTTAGGGTTTATAGGGTTCAGGGTTTAGGGGTTCATAGGGGTTAGGGGTTTATAGGGTTTAGGGTTCCGTAATACATAGCTATAGTATACCTTGAACTACCAAAACCTACTGCTTTGTAGGGTCCCTATACATTCCATATTAGGGCTCGCAATAAGAACATACAATAAAGTAGATTATGGAAGTTCAAGGTACAGTAAGCCGAACTCTTAACCCGAATCCTGGGGTTTCACGTTTTGGGGTTTGGGATTTAGGACTTTACCGCTTCCGCTTTGGTCTTTGGGGTTTAGGGTTGGGGGTTCAGGGCTTAGGGTTTAGATTTTAGGGCTTAGGGTCTTGGCGTTGAAATTGCGGAGCGTGGCCTTGCAGGGGCTTGGGGAGGTCTTGGTTCAAGGTATTTTCGGCATGATCACAGGAGCTCTTACGGGGCTCCGACGTTCTTTGGGGAGCTGCTCGGCAACACTTGACAGAACTAAACAACAGGATGCAGGATCTCCAGTATTAAATAGTATATACAACAGTACATGTGCCTAATCAGTCGAATCTCGTCTAGGGGTATCTTCTGCAAAAGCATATGTGCCGCAAAGATGAAAGCGATTCCTGGGTGTTGGAAGTTCTCAGTTGAATCTGCAAGTAACTCTTGAAAGTTGAAGCTCTTGCATCGCGTTCTTTCGGTCTCAATGCTACACCCGGAACAGCGGAGCCCCCAACCCTGAAACCGCTCACTGCGTCGTCACCCCCTACCGCAAGTAAACCCCGCACTGCAAATCCTGAATCCGAAACTCCAACCCATATTTCCGGGACTCACACCCCGAAAGAATCGACCACGGGAGCCATGATACATAAAGCAATGCTGCGAAGGCCCGACACCACGATCTAGAGCTTCTGGGTTTACCCAAAGGCCCCAAATTAGTTCCTTTTTGGGTTTCTTATTTAGAATCCTATAAGGTAATCCTAAACTTATCTGCACCATTCGCCAAAGTTCTTTAGCGGCGTGAACTCGGAAACTGAAAGGAACCCTTAAAGGATAGCGTAAAGTAGACCCTATAAGTCCCTGACTAAGGGATCCCTTAAGGATCCTGCAAGGGACCATTTCGGGCTCCTCCATGGAATTCTGCAATGGCTCCTCTTTTGGATTTACTCCAGGATCCTTGAAAGGAGCCCTAAACCCTAAACCCAAAGCCCCTAAACCCTAAGCCGAAGCCCTAAACCCTCAAAAGTAAATCCCAAGGGCACGAAGCCCACAGCTCAAAGCCTCGAAAGTGAATCGCTCTGAGGTTCTGACAGATTTCCTCCGCCCTGCACGCTTCTACTGTAAAGGGTTCCTTTAAGGGTTCCTTGAGGGGTTCGTGTAAGGGTTCCTTTAACTTTAAGGGTTCCTAGACAGGTGTCGACTTCAACAGTCCCCGAAATATTTGTAATCAGGGCTCAATATTTAAAAAAAATACATACATGCACAAAGTATACCAAACCGATACCTAGTTTAAATGCTTGGGGCTTCGGTTTTTTTTAAGCACCTTTTTCCGCCTGCATGAAGCCTGCAGAAGGTCCCTAGGAAGCCCCGGGTTTAGGCTTTAGGGTTAGCTTAGAGTTAGGGGTTTCGGGTCGGGGCTCTATAGGGTTTGGGTCGTGGGGTTAAGGGTTTAGGGTTCCTCCGGGCGCAACTGTGAAGGAGCTCTTAACCTAGTGTTCCTGAGTAGCCCTTAATAATAAGGGTGCCCTTGTTCCTACTACTTGGGTGAGAACGTGTTCTGTCAACCAACCCAAATTTGTGTGATCTGCCCCTTCCAGTGACCTGTGATCTTGCGTTTGCAGCCAGTACTGTGACTCTGATCGGTCAGAGATGAAATTGTTCATTGCATCAAGTGTCCACTGTTGCACTCAAGTGTTGTCAATAACCGGTCGACCTTCCTCGAGCAGTGTATCGAGCGGGTTTTGGCCTCTAGCACAGCACTCAAAAAAGAGGGAAACGCTTCTCTCTGATTCTCATGAACCGTGTCGATTGGCAAATCTGGATCGCCATCCAGCTTTGGCCATCGCCCAAGCTGCAGCTTGAGTTACTACAGAGGCCTTAACAGTTACCTATACGATTTTGGGGGCTCCTTATTACAATTATGGTATAATATACCCCAAACCCTATTCTGATTAGTAAGGCCCCTATATTGAGCTGATCCTACACTAATCCCACAGCCTCAACTCTATGAGGCCACTCATGCGAGCTCTGGGGTTCCGTTCTTGAGGCTTCCAGGAAGGCTTCATGGGATAGCATGATGACTCTTACAACGGCGTCTTTACGGCTTATACAGCAAAGGGTTACTCTAAGTCTTTCAGGGTTGACATGAGGTTGGTGTAACGTCTTTGGGCTTGGGCTTTAAGGCTTACAGAGCTTGGATTTAAGGCTTTGAAGACCTAGTGCCGTTTGGGGCCAGGTTTCGATAAAACCCGAAGCACTCACAGCCTGCAAAAAAACCCGGACTCTAAAGCCCCAAGGCTTCTGAAACCACAGCGAAACAAAATCGGCTTAGGGCTTAGGGTTTAGGGTCCCTGTTGAAAGGAAGAGAGGATCCGTTTCACAAATAGCTTCCAACACCATAATACGTGAGCCAACATGTTGCCTCGGAGGGACAGGGCTTGAAGGTTGGGGAGCCGTGCCTTGAAGCCCTAAACGAAAAAATCGCAGGACACAAGACCCCCAATCCAGACAGCCCTGTAGCCTAAGCCTTACGTCCTCAACAAAGCTCACAAAAAATCCAACCCCCGACCCATAGCACTAGATAAATCCAGATCCCTCAACAGACTCCCATGGCCCATGAAACCATAGACCCCGAATTGAATAAACCCTCGGCCCGAAGCCCTCAGCATCTCCGCCAGAACCGTAAGACCATAGACCCTATAAACAAACAAACCTTAGGCCCTAAGCCCTCAACAAACCCTCAACAAAAAAACCCTGAACAATAAGACCCTAGACAACCCCTGGCGCTCAAACCCACACAAACACGGCATGGGACCTCCAAGGCATAGCTTGCTGCACGTCCACCTGCGGAACCGAGAATGTGAGTGTCCGCCTGGCAGCAGCAACGGACCATCTGTAAATCGAGCTTGGGATTTAGAGTTCAGAGCTCTGCATCTCAAGCCTTGCGCAAAGGCTTCAGGATTCAAGGTGTGGGGCTTCTTGGGGGGGCATGGGGCAGCCCATTTGGGTGTGCGGTTTTGGGCTTTGGGAGTTCTGCAGTCCAGGACTCCGACCTTGGTGTTGCAGTCTGGCAAAGCGATGTTACCGGCGGGGCGGGGTGTCATTCTACACCCTGAACCGAACCCTGAACTAAATCTTGATCTCGAAACCCTGTTATCTGATTGTTTTTTTGGCTGTCCTCTGGTGCTTGGAAGCCTCCATCCATACAGATAGAGAAACTTCTAGGAATCTATATGGTCCTTCTGAGCGTGGAGCTGCGGAAGAAACAGTTTCATCATCTGCATGAGGCTCTTCTGGTTCGGGAAGTCTACTTTGTGAACTCTACATTGGAACGTGGGTTCAGGAACTCTGTGTTCAAATCCGGGTTCAGAAACTCTCGATTTTCTTCGCCCCGGAGCCTTGCCTACGTCCTGGACACCCAAGTTCCCCAGTAGCACCGTAATAAAAAGAGTGCACTTTTTCCGGTTGTTCGGTTTTTAAAGCAACCCAAAAAGAAAAAGTGCAAAAGGGTGGTACTGAACCTAGACGTGACCCGAAACGGTAATATGATAGGGGCCGTAATAATCAGAACAGGGTGCATTTTAAAACCATAATCATGACAAGGAGCCACCAAAACCCTGTTCTAATTATAAGGCCCCCATAGAACATATTAGAGGTTTAGCAGGTTGAGGGTAGCGACCACAGACTTAACGCCGCCAAGCTGGCTGGGACAACGGGCTGGTGGCCGCTGTCCTCCAAAACCACCTGGTTCCGGGTTTTCTGGGTTTAGGGTTTAGGGTTTGGGGTCTAGGCGTTAGGGTTTACGGATGAGGTTCCGGGATTGGGGTTTAGGGTTCGGGGTGTGGCATTCCTGCTGTTTGGCAATGGGTGTCTGAGCTCCGGAGTCTAAGGAGCATTCATATGTCTACGGTGCCTTCTAGGTTGCTGCAACTTCCACCCGGGGCATGACCAGGTTTCGCAAGGATGTTTCCTAATGACCTGAACCTTAGTTTGGGGTTCATCTTCTTTGGGCTAGGGTAGGGCTTGGGGTGGACCTGATTCTTCCGAACGCAGGAATGCAGCCCGACATGTCTTTGCCGCAAGCCCTCGCGCCTCTACAGATTCAGCATCGGCGGAGACCACTGCGATCCTAGACGGTACGGGTTCACGGCTTGGGGTGATCAGGAGACTTGGTAATTAAATAAGACTGCAAGTATTACTTACAGCACTACACATCACCTATGTATTACTCCGTAGACTCCGTGGCTGCTTACTACAGGGCTACAGGGGGCCTCTGGCGAGAAGCTACCGATGGTAATCATCTGTTTGATCGAGGGTACTATACCTGTGTGCTTATCCCAAAATTCTGCCTTCGCAGGAGATGCTCCTCAGATAGAGCAGCATATACGCGAAAGACGCATTACAGGCAACCTAAGCTCCCACTCGAAGCCCGAGCATGAAACAAAACTGAACTTGACCGGCTCTGTCAACCCCTTAACCCTGAACCCTAAATACTAGTGTCTGAATTTAAAACCTTAACCCTACACCGCATGTCTGTGCAGGAGAATGAAGTCCCCGACCCTCAGCTTTCGGACATAAAGTGCATGGTGTAGGATCTTCGGGTTAGGGTTTAAAAAGATTTGTAGCCTATGGGCTCTATGCAGCTTAATGAGAGTCCAGCCCTTGTGGCAGCCCAAAGCTTGTCGCGCAGACAGCAAAAAGGCACTCAACATGGCTTTGGCCTAGGGGCTTAGGCGTTTGGGCGCAAGGGTTTAGGTCTGTGGGCTTGGGCTTGGGAGTTTAGGCCAAAGGCTGAATGGCTTTGGCGGGCTTGGTCTCAAGAGGATGGGAATGGCAGCATAGACCGGCCCTAAACCCTAAACCGAGTTGAGTTTGGTCCTACAGACGGAGCACCTAGACACAGGCATCCGGAAGGGACCACGACATCCTACAGAGAGATTCGAAGAATGAGCAGTTCCCCAGAGAACCCAGGACCCCTTCATGAAGTTCTATACCCCGGAACATGCTGATGACCCTACTTGACTGTAAGCGTTTCCGCTGTTGAAGGAAAACATTCCGACCTGTGAACTCTTGGAGTTATCTGTCGTTGGGCTTCAGGGTTTGCCAGAGGTCAGGGCGAGTGCTTGATACGGTTGATGGTATAAATCCTGCATGACCTTAAGGACCCGAAACTATGGGAATTATGGTATATTCCTTATTATGGGTAATGCAGGATTTTGACCATCAGCAGTATTTTTGAATGTCCTGTGCTCTTAAGCATCAGGCCCTCAAGCATAGACCTTGCATGGTCTCGTTACACCGTAAACCCAAAACCCATCATGGTGCCTGATCAGCGACCGCACCGGCACGCGCATGAACACCTTCTTGCCTGGGATTTTGTGGTTGATGTCACCGAATCCAGACCCTGATGAAGATCTATAGATCCTAAACCTCAAACCCCTAAACGCTAAACCCTAAAGCCAGGCCTACCAAAGATCGAGATCCCCCATGCTCCATGGAACAGCTACACACAGATGAACGAACATCAAGTGTGCTGGAGAACAAGAAGACAAGAAGTGAACGGACACTTCAAGTCTAGAAGAACAGAAGAAGCCGGAAGCGAGTGAACGCAACCGGACAAGATCAAGAAGTCAGAGTCTCAGCACTCTTGTGGAAGGGTTCAACCCTTGCCCGGAGCTTAGAAGAAGTGGCCTGAACCACTCCCCAGTGCAAGAACCCTAAGGGTCCATGTACTCATATAGTATATACATTGGTCTTAATGTAGTCCCTATATAGGTACATTGGGGCTCATGTATCTCTATATGGGTACATGGACCCTTAAACCCTAAACCCTAAACCTACCCTTAAAGGAACCCTTATGGTGCCCTTAAAGGAACCCTATTTGGGTACATGGGCCCTTAGGGGAAGCGAACTCCAAGCAACTTGCGTGCTGTACAACCGAAGATGGGCGAGCGTGAGTCGCCAGGTCTTAAGAACTCCGCACACTTGGGGACTTAGCAACTCTAAGGGGTTCCTTAAGGGCCCCTTTAAAGGTGTGAGGGTTTAGGGTTTAGGGGACTTAGTAACTGGTTATTTTAGGGACTTATAAGTACCATAACCCCAATTAGGATCCCTTTTAGGGTACTTATAAGTCTACTTACTACCTACTTACTAAGTCCCCCGACCCTCCAAGCAGAGACATAAGTGCCCTAATCGGAGTTGTAAGTATAGTTATCTTATTTATAACCCTATAGTTACTAAGTCCCATGATCCTCCAACGAAGTCATCCGGCAACTTTAGAGCATCTGGAAGCACAGTGGAGATGTGAGTGCCAGGACTGCCATCTTCTGACTGTAGCGTGCAGTGCAAGTAGAACTGCAGTGGTGTGTTGCCACTGCCTCCCATCAAGGGTTCCGGTGTCTGCGGGAAGTGCTTCAGAGTGCGCGCCTTGTAGACGGGTCCCGCACGCCGTGAGCCTTGCACCGCACCTGACTCTTGGTCGAACTTGTTCAACCTCGAAGGTTCCTGTTACGGGCTTGGAACATCTCTCAGGAGGGTAGCGCGCTGCGAAGGTTGCCCCTGTGCCCAAGAGTGACAACCTCCCGGGAAGAGAGCAAGGCTCCGGTTCGCACTGGCTCATGCTTCTGATCCAAGTGCCGGTAGGTGTGTGCCCCTGCATGCACGATAATCTCAGCGGAGACACTTCAAGCTTAGGCTCAAAGCTCAGAGGAGGTAAATCTAGATCCCAACTAATGCTCCTAATCTAAACGACCTACCTACTTGTCTCCACCATTCCAACCGCGGCCCTTCACGAACCTATAGGGACCGCCTCAATGGTTCAAAGATAGCATGGTGTGTAAGAATACTCTTTTTGTTGAAGCATTACCGAAAATGTATATATATACTTATATACTTATATACTTATATACTTATATATATATATATATGATATACTCATATACTACTAGAATGTGATATATCAGAACCGATTGAAGAGCTTTTGATCTCAACCCGCCAGTCTTAAGGCCGCGAGGCCTCACCCGCTGATAAGTGCAGGCGTGCTTGGTTTAAAGGGATCCAAGAATGTGTTGAAGGTAGGCGGGGAATTCGGTTAAGGTTTAGGGTTTCGGGTTGCAAATGAGGGTCCTTATACAAGGGATCCTTGATCCTACCTGCCTTCAACGTACCTTGTGAGTAGGTTACGGTTGTAGCAAACCTGGCCATGCAGCTCACCAACGTCTAGGGGCTCAAACCCGACTGCGAATCTCTCTTTTGGATGACCCAGCACAGATGTTGCAGAGATTGCTGAGAACTCTTAAAAATTGCTGTTCCCATGACGCTTGAGAAGCTCTGCAACCACTCATCTTTATCATATCTGGCCGCAGACCCTGTCAGATGTCTCAAAGTCCCTTCAACCTAAACCCTACGCCCAAAACTTCGGTACACTAAACCCTAAGATGTACGGAGGATTGAGGGAGCTCCGGTTTAGGAAGTGGGATTTAGTGGGTTGAGGTTTAGGAAGTTTTGGGTTCCGGGTCAAGGCTAGCAGCATCCAAATTCGGTCCGATGCTTCTAGGTAAACCCTAAAGGGCCCATATATACTACTATTCTGGGATACCAAAAGACCATCCCCATTATGGTTTTTGGGACCTAATTCCATAATGGTGGTGTATATGGGAGTTTCCGAAAACAGGGTACCCTAATATAGTACCCAAAATAGTAGAATCCTTATTGAAAGGACCCCACAATACGGTACACCCAATTTTCGGAAACTCCCATATGGACCCTCTGGTAATGGGGTATTGTTTAGAAGCTGCCCCCACTCTGTAATAGTGACCATAAGGATTATATAGGATTATATTAGGGCCCTATTATACTCCTATTATACCACTATTACAGGGTGGGGGCAGCTTCTAGGGTGGTTATAAGTAGGTTGTAATTAGGATAACCCCACTTAGGGGACTTATAACCCCAATTATAACCTATTTACTAAGTCCCATGATCCTTTAAGTATGGACCCTCTGGGAATGGGGTGTTCTGTACAGGAGTTGTGTCTGAGGTTGTCGAGTTGAGTCTGGGTGTGAGGCGTTGAAAATCAGATGAAAATGAGACCGCCTGCTGGGTCCTACAATAATAGGGGCCTTAATAACTAGAATAGGGTTCCTTTAGAGGGCACCTTTAAAGGGCTCTCTATAATCGGGATCTGTGGTATTGCGGCCCTGATAATCATAATTAGAGTAGGACTTTGACCCCCTTTATAGAGGAATCTTAGTAGGGAACCCTGAGGACTACTGCCGGCAATTCTTCGGGTTTAAGGTTTAGGGTTTAGGGTTTCGGGTTTAGGGTTTAGGGTTTATAATACTGAACCTGTCCGCAGTCGGAGCTCTACAATCAATTGGAGATTTCCGCAAATTCACCCTAAATCCTAAACCCTTAAACCCTTAAGCCCTAAACCCCTAAACCCTGAAACCTTAAACCCTAAACCCTTAAACCCTAAACCTTGGGCCCTAAACCCTGCCCAGTTGCGGCCGTCGTGGATGTCCGTCCTTGTCTAAGCGGAAAACTCACACCATTCGCTATCGGGCTAAGGTCCAGGATACAGTGGGCATACTTAAAGGATCATGGGACTTAGTAATTGGTGTTCCTTTAAGGGATCCCTTTAAGGGAATCTATAGGGGTACTAGAAGGGTTTAGGGCTTAGGGTCTACTTAAAGGATCATGGGACTTAGTAATTGGGGTTTAAGGTAACTATGGTTATAATTACTTATAACCCCAATTCAGGTACTTATAACCCTACGTACTAAGTCCCATGATCCTCCAAGTACAGTCGTCGTGATAAGGGTTTAGGGGTAGGGAGAAACAACCCCTCAAAGCAACCCAAACCCTAAGCCTCTAGCCTTCAAGCCTAACTCTCCAACACACAAGAACCACAAGGCTGGGGAGCATAGCAAAAAAGGTGCGAACAGAAAAGACCAGTTGAGGGGCTCGTGCCAGAATCCCATATGCATCTTTGAGCGTGGCCCAGTCCTTTCAAGGATTTGGTTGAGAGGGCCAGAATTCCTGCGACGCCACAGCCTAAGCCCTAGAAGAGCTGGCCAAGCACCAAAAAAAGCTTTGATAAGGAGACAACCGCTCCCTGCTGACAGGCACTATACGTATAAAGGGGAGCCCCAAAATGGTATTGGTGATTATTTAGAGGCTGCGTGGAGTATGCAAGACTGTCACAGCACAGGATGTCACTCTACATTAAGGTGCGAAGCCCTCTACCCTTAAACCGTCGCCTAGAAAAAAGCTCTGAATTGAAGACGTCAGACTATAGGCCCTATGTCATACAGGAGCCTTGATAGTTACAATAGGGTTTTGGGGGTATAATATACCATATGTCTAGAAAGGAACCCCAAAATAGTATAGGTAATTAGTAAGACCCCTTTTTCAAACACTCTCCCGGCGGCGCCACGAAATCCTCAAACCATGCACAAACTCCAAGCCCTGAGCTTCGGCGTATCCTCTCAAACCACCCACCAGCAGTGACTCATTATCATTCCTACTTGTCGGGTATCATGGGGACCTAAAGGTTAACCTTTTTGGTTATACAGGGATTATGGAGGGACTATACTCCCCAAAGGTTAAAGGTCACCTACTCTACTACTAGGCATTGTTGCTACTGCTACGAGTATGGTTACAGAAGAGGAGGTTGTGGATTTGCAAGTTTCTGCAGAGTAATTTGAGTTGAAACCGGAAATTCTAAAGATCAAAGGTCAGAAAATGCTCGCTGAACTGTAGCCCTTGACGACGACTCGTTCTTCCAAGTCGCAGCATCACGCGTTGCCTCGCAGGCGAGGGCGAGGTTAAATAGGTCAGCGCCGACAGGCTTAAACTTGCCCCTAGATCCGAGCACTGGAAACAGACATGTTCCGCTTTGGTAAGCAAGTGACAGGCGGTCCTCAATACCCATAGGCCCCAAAGTAGTTCCTTTTGGGGATTACCTTATAGGATTCTAAATATGAAAGTTTCATATTTAGAATCCTACAAGGTAGTCCCGAAAAGGAACTACTTTTATGAAACCCAAAAGAAGGAACTACTTTGGGGCCTTTGGGTACGGCTAACGAACTTCCCCCAAATGCTGGCGACGCTCGGTAAGGTAGGGGCCTTCATGATCAGACCGGGGTTAGGGGTTACATTTTTACGAGACCTGACACGGCTTAGGGTTTAGGGGTTCAGGGTTTAGGGGTTCAGGGTTTAGGGGTTTAGGGGCTTAGGGGTTTAGGGTTTAGAGGTTTAGGGGTTTAGGGGTTTAGGGGTTTAGGGTTTAGGGTTTAGGGGTTTAGGGGCTTAGGGGCTTAGGGGTTTAGGGTTTAGGGTTTAGGGGCTTAGGGGCTTAGGGGTTTAGGGTTTAGGGGTTTAGGGGCTTAGGGGTTTAGGGTTTAGGGTTTAGAGGTTTAGGGGTTTAGGGGTTTAGGGTTTAGGGGTTTAGGGGTTTAGGGGTTTAGGGGTTTAGGGTTCAGAGGTTTAGGGGTTTAGGGGTTTAGGGTTTTGGGGTTTAGGGGTTTAGGGGTTTAGGGTTTTGGGGTTTAGGGGTTTAGGGGTTTAGGGGTTTAGGGGTTTAGGGATTTAGGGATTAAGGGTTTAGGGGTTTAGGGCTTACAAGGTTTAAGATTGGTTTACGATCACGAATCCGAATGATGGCCGATCGGGCAACACGACATCCGTGGGCGTTCTCTAGCGGCTACAAAAAAAAGAAGGCATCATCGGTTGACAAACTTGGTTGCATGGGCCTAAGCCTAAACCCTAAACCCTAAACCCCTAAACCCTAAACCCTAAACCCTAAACCCTAAACCCTAAGCCCTAAGCCCTAAACCCCTAAACCCTAAACCCTAAGCCCTAAACCCCTAAACCCTAAACCCAAATCCCTAAACCCCCCCAAGCCCTAAGAGCCTAGAGCTTTACGTAGCCGACTGAGGTCTTGCAGTACTACAACCATAAAGCCTCCTCCAGCTCAACTATCCGTACCCAAAGGGTCCAAAGTACCGATATAGTAGAATGTAAGGTTTCTATATTAGGAATTACTATTATGAATTGGGGAAGTATTCCCCATAACACTACATAGGACCCTTTGGGGTAAAACCAAAATTCTCTGGACCCTGTAAGCCCCTTTCCGAGCCCGGAACCGCCGGAAGGTTTTGAACCGATGATGCGTTCGAGGGTCCGTGTTAGCATAAACCAGTTGCAACTGAGGTAATGAGAAAGGACCTCCCTTCAGAACAACCTCAAGCCCTCTGCAGAAGGAAACCTTGAAAGCAGCCCTGGAAGAAGCCCCCAAACCCTAAAATCCTCAAAGGAAACCTTGAAAGGAGCCCTTGCAGAAGCCCCTAAACCCTGAACCTTAAAGGAATCCATAAAGGAATCGAAGCCCCTAGAAGAACCCAGCAAGGAATCCCTGAGACCGCCTCATCAGCAGTCGTCCGCTGCCGTCAATGGGACCCCCGAAGCCCAGCGAGCCGCCTGTCGATGAGATCACGTCCTGAGCTTCTTGGGTAGCATGATGAGGGAGACCCCTTAAAGGGTACCCATTCCGAACCCTAGTTCTGGCTCTCTTATTACAGGGACCTTATTGAGAGGGTCTATATCCCCGAGGGTCCCCCTAATCCTAACTCCCACTTCAGACTTTAGGGCTTAGGGCTTAGGGTTAGGTTAGTAGGGTTCTGGGTTTGAGGGTTTAGCGGTTACGGTCAGGGTTTAGGGTGCAGCGTAGGGTTTAGGGTTCTACGAGGGTCGTCTGGAGTTTCGCGCTGAGTTTAGAGATGCAACTAACCGGCGTAAACGAGACAACCATGAAGAACTGTGACATTCACATCAACCTACGGAAGGAATAGCAAAATCACAGCAGTACATCTGTTAAACCATGAATGCTGGAAGGCTTGCTATATGCACCCGAAAATACCTCGATTGCGTACGAAAGCTCGCCGTAAGTATCCTGACTTCGAGCCACCGATTGCCAGAAGGTGATTAGCTTTACATCCTGAACCGAAACCCCCATCAGCCACGGCAGAAAGGAACACTGGAACACTACAAATGCGTTATCAAGCAATGAACGTCCGGTAAACTAAACCTCCAACGCAAAGCCCTAAAAGTTTTTCAGCTGTATACCCCAACCCTGAAAGCCGGAAATCCCAATCCCGAAACAACAAATATCAGAAACCCGAAAACATAAAAATCAAAACGCCCTTGAAACCTTAAAACCTAAGCAACCTTCATAGCAAGCAGCCAGTGGCAGTGGTAGTGCACCGAGGCTGTCACAGCGGGCTCCCAAACCAAGTCCGGGGCCAAGGAACCCAGGGAGAGTGGCCTGATTCTTGCTCTGCGAAATAATTGTCTGTTTCGGGTTTAGGGCTTCGGTGGGCCCAAAGCCTTTGGGCTCAGGGTTTGGGGTGTACTAGCGAGCCGGTTTCCTGTCATACATGTATGAAGACACTGTGCGAAAGGATACCACAGAAAGTATCCACTCCCCTAATGACTTCTGAATAAAGTTGGTTTGAGTTTAGTGGTAGCTTGATTCGCAATTCCTAATGCTGTTACCAATGTACATCTAGTATCTAGTGCTCGACCAGAAAGGATTTCCGCTGCACTCACCTGATAAGCCTGATGTACAGTGCGAATCAAGATACGGCAGAGAAGCTTCTTGCCTTTGATTATCATCATCCTGCTGCCCGGGTAAACCTTCACTCTTGCGCAAAACATATATATATATATATATATATATATACAGACATATATAAACAAGCATGTATGAGTATATGTGTGTGTATGTATATATATATATATATATATATATATATATATATATTTGTTTATTTATTTATTTATATATATATATGTATGTGTAAACACATACATACCTACGTACCTACCTACTTACCTATACGTACTTACATACATGTATGTCTATAAAGTGTATATATATATATATATACATATACATATACATATACATATACATATACATATACATATACATATACATATACATATACATATACATATACATATACATATACATATACATATACATATACATATGTGTGTGTGTATCTGTAAGCCTGTGCACGCATGTGCATACTTAACTTGTTTTATGCACACCAACATGCTTGCATACACGCACATTTACATACATAAAACATGCATATATATATATATATATATATATATGAGAGAGAGAGAGTATGTACGTACGTAAGTCGCGCGCAGATTCTTTCAACTTTTCGCCGATTATTCCGTCAACCACTGCCCGCGGATTCTGTCAACCCGCCAACGCGGATGCCTTCAACCTCAAAACCTGATTCCTTCAACCTCAGAACGCAGATTCACTCAACCACGTCCCCGGGAATGATTCCTTTAACCCAAAGAACTGCTTCGTTCAACCCATACACAACCTGATTCTTTCAACCCCAGCAGGCAGATTCACTCAACCATGGCCCCGGGAATGATTCCTTCAACCCAAACAACTGCTTCGTTCAACCCATACGGAAAGAGCCGCTCCAACTACAGACACGCGTGCTACCCCAACCACGAGTACTCACTCAACCCTAACCACCCGCACCGCATTGCGACTAGCAGAAGCACGTGGAAGCCTTTCTCTAACTTGCTTGCTCACACCCCAAACTCCGCATACCGCCGTGTAAGGGCTGCATTACTGAATGTGAGACTGGCAACAGAGCAGCCGAGATGCGTTGACAACACTGTAGGGTTGACGGAAACTGGAGGCCGAGTTGATGGAATCAGCACAGTATGCGTTGATGGAATCGGGCGATGGGGGTTGACAGAATCGGCAATATCCGGGTTGAGGGAAGCGGGCGATGGGGGTTGAAAGAATCGGCACAATCTGAGTTGAGGGAAGCGGGGAACATGGTTGAAAGAAGCGCGGTTGACGGAATCTTGGTTGACGGAACCGCGCGAAGTTGAGGAAAAAGGCTTGTACCTATGTACGTATGTATGTATGTATGTATGTATAGAGATGCACACATGTACATACAGATACACGTACACGAACATAAGTACATACTACGTCAAGGCATCAAAATCAGCAGGGTTTGATGCCACGACGTAAATCATACATACATACATACATACATATATACATACATGCGTGCATACATACATAAATAATTACATACACACATACAAACATACATACATACATACATACATACATACATCGATGTAGACATGCATGCATACATTCATGCATGCAGGCATGCATGCATACAACCGAACAGCCAACATACTTACGTACATGCATAAATGCATACCTACATACCTACCTACATAACAACCTGCATACATGCATGCATACGTGCTTGTGTAGATACATGCATACATACATACATGCATACATAAGTAAATCCGAACCTACATGCGTACACACGTTATAATACCGTTATGCGTCCGTACAGTCCGCCGAAAAGTACGAGTGACATAAATACATGCATACATGCATGCATACCTCCACATACATGCATACATTCATTTATGCATCTGCACATGCATACGAGCATGTACATATCCAATACACATACACATATATATATATATATATGCACACACACACACACAACCGAAGCGAAGGGGCTCCGTACCAGCGTCGGACATGGTCAAATGCGAAAAACAGCCGTCATAAAACAAACAACCGTATTTGCAACAACAACAACAACAGCAACCAGAGCAGTCATTCCAATGACAAAACTAGGAGCAGCGATGCCAAAACAAAGAGTGTTCATGCTCATGTACTCGGGGACTCTCAAGCTCCTTCATCAAGGAATAACATTAACCATAAGAAGGATCCGGCTAGAGTTTAAGGGGTGTGCCTGAATTAAAAGGGCTTTGAACATTTTCTCGCGTCTGGATAAATACTGTGGTGAGTGAGAGGCCTAGGGCTTTCGGTAGGGGCTATGCGGGATTGAAGTCGAAGCTGTCCGCATGCAGGAATGAAGCTGGTATACACGAGGATTCGGGCTTGTGCTGCAGCTTCTGACTCTAATCCGTAAACCGAAGCTCTAAACCTCGAAGAATACCGTCTAAGGCTAGGCTATGGGTTGAAGGCTCTCGGTGTCCTAAGCCACATGCGCCGAGCACCAAGCCTGAACCAAGTAACGTAAGGGTGGTATAACTCTCATGAGGAAGCTCAGGACAAATGCCTAAACCCTAAACCCTGAACCCTAAACCCTAAACCCTAAATCAGGGCTTCTATAACTTCTATATGAAGCCCTTTCACCCCCGAAGCTCTGAAACTACCTGGGATTCGGGCAGCCACCGAGTGCGTGGCCACCTCGTACAGACAGCAAGAATAACGGAAAGACTAGTAAAAATCGGCCTACTGTCTTGTCTAAGGGCCAGAATCTTTGGCACCCAATATTTAGAATAGGGTTTTGGGCTCCTTTATGGTGTACATATAGTAAGGAACCCTAAGGAATGCTACTGGTAATACAAAAGGCCTCTCTCCTCCTCTCCAAAAGTTAGGTTCAGGGCCCAGGGTTTAAGATTATCTTGGGATGTTGGGTTCGTGGCGTTGACGTTTCGGCTTGGGGCTTCAGTCTTACAGTGCAAGCCCAAAAGTTGGAAACCCCATAGCCTCCATCCTTAAGAGTCATGTATAGGGAATCCCAGCACTATTTGGCCTTAGTCCGGTTTCCAACTTGCTGGGGTTCACTGTAAGGTGTTTTGGTTTAGCTCATTTTTATATCTTCTCTAGATACAAGGTTTGGGCTCAGGATTCAGACAACCGAGTAGAAGTCTTTCAAACCTAGCCCGGTGTGGCTAGCGAAAGCCGTGCGTTTCATAAACGGGCCGCGCTAATGTAGAACCCTAAATCACAGGGTCCGAAGACTCCAAACCCGAATGTCCTAACTAATGTAGAACCCCAAAACATAGAGACCCTAAGCCCTAAACCTCAATTTACGAACATAGAACCCTGAACCATAGCGCCCTATTGCAAGGACAACAAAAACGGTGCCCACGACACCACCGGCTCTCTCAAGCCATCAATCCTCTGTAGGCGAAGCTATGAGACGAGGGGATTTAGGCGACATTCGGTAATGTAGGGGCCTTCATGATGAGACCGGTGGTTTGGGGTTACATTTTACGAGATTCGACACGGTTTAGGGTTTAGGGGTTTTAGGTTTAGGATTTAGGGTTTAGGGGTTTAGGGTTTTGGGGGTTTAGGGCCTTAGCAGTTGGAACAAGGTTTTTCTTTCGAGTAAGTTACATCGTATTTACTATGATCAGGGCTGGAAGGGGATGTCCTGAAGCCTAAACACAAAACATTAAACCCTCAACCCTGGTAAACATGTGTGTATGTATATACATATGTCATACGAATATATGTATATATATATATATATATATGTATATATATATATATATGTATATATATATATGTATATATATATATGTATATATATATATATATATATATATGTATATACACATGTCGTATACAAAAGATTAAATCTGTAATGTATTTATGCACACACGGAAAGTGTCAAGTATGCCCCGATCGGCGACCCACGCCGACATACACTGCAGACGCTGTGCATGTGTCCATATAAGTATACTTGTACATATAGACATAGATACACGTATATATATATATATATATGTATATATGTAGACACACATAAACATATAGCTACACATAGGGATTTATATACAATAAATACGTAAATAAATAAACATAATATGTTTTTTTGCACACTATGCACACTCGAACCGCTCACTCTGCCCTGGCCGCGGCCTCACCGGGACGTTGGGAACGCACCACGGAAGTGAAGGGAGCCAGGGATACCTAGGTTGGGTTTGGGGCCTTGGGGTTTCGCGTTTAGGGTTTCGCGTGTAAGGTTTAGGGTTCGGGTTTTACAAGTTCATTTGCAAATGTATCTATCTATGCATGTTGCGTCATGCATGGATCTCTGTGCTTCGTGTGTTTCTTCGGTTGAAAGTTGTGGTTTGCTGTGTCTTGATTCATTTTGTTTGTGCGTGTCAGACTTTCTGCCTGCCCGGCTGTCTGGCTGTCTGCCTGCCAGCCTGCCTGCCCGTCTGGCTGTCTCTTTAGAGTGGCTTCTATATGAAGCGCCATTCCAGCTGATCTCCAAACACCACGTTCAAAGCCTTCAAAGCCGAAGCCACCGTCCGTAAACCCTACACCGTCAAGATAGCAAGCTCCAAACAGAAGAAGCATGGATTAAGGATGATCGGTGCTGGGATTCTCTACATTTTTGCTCGAGTCAGTCCCGAACCCGCTTGCAAGACTTTCGGGTATGTTATAGTATGGGTAGAGCAAGGAAGCCCAAGGAATGACATTAGTAACAATCCCGACCCCAAACCACAAACCCTAAACGCAAAACCCTGAAACCTAAACCGGAAAACCCATATAGATCCCTTTAAGGATCCCTTATAGAACCCCCTTAAAGGATCCCTTAAACAAAACCTTATAAAACAGGAAACCTTATTACAAGTCCCTTAGATGCCACGGCGCCGACACACCCATAGCCATACATCCGGCTGGACTTGGTGCGAGGGGAGCTGGCTCCTTCAATTTGGGTGCAGGGTTTCGGGCTCGGGGTTTGGGGTTTTGGTTTCGGGGTTTAGGGTTTAAGGGTTTAGGGTCTACTGCTTTAGAGTTTAGGGTATGGGGTTTAGGGTACAGCAGAGGCTGGGCTTTTGGGGCTTACGATGCTCGGTTTGGGGTATGCTTGCCTCGGGCCTAGGGATTTGAGGACTCGGCTTCGTGTGCGATTTCGGTTTCTGGGAAAATAGGAAACCCGACATACTACCCTGAAGCATTGAACCCTTTGAGCATGACTACAGGCTCTAAACCCCAACCTCAAAATCCTGAACCCTTAAGCCCCCAACCTCAAAACCCTAAACTAAACCTTAAAAACCTCAAGCCGCACGCACCAACCCGGAAGCCCTCAACCCGCAAACCTCCACGACTCCCGTAAAGGTAAAGGCTTAGAGTTTAGCGTCTAGTTTTGGGTTAGGGTATAGGGTTTAGGGTCTGGGGTTTGGGGTCTATAGGAAATGGAAGGTTTCGGATGTAGACTTTGGGGTTTAGGAAGGTTTAGGGTTTAGAGTTTATCTTCCGTAAGTTCTCAACCCGCCGCCCAGCGAACCTGCCTTCATGCAGGAGCCGAAACCATTTGAATAGGGCTTGGAGTATACTACAGTACAATCAGCATTTTGGAATGAGGCTACTAAGCAGCTATTCAGATCTGAAGGTTCATGTGCACACAAAACACACTCATGACCAGCAAGCCGACACTAGCTGCTTGAGACTTTGAGCGACGAGTCCATGCCCAGGCCCTGGAACATAAACCCTAAACCCTGAACCGACCCCAAAGCCTTAACCCAAACCCTATGTCCGAAACCTCAGCCCTGATTCCGAAGCCCCTAACCCCTGAACCCCTAAACCCTAAACCCTTCTGGAACCCTTCTAGATCCCTCAAAAGAACCCTCAACCCCCAAACCCTGCTCCACCTCCACGATCATCTGGTAGTCCCCCGGCGGCAGCTCGATCTCTAAGGAGCTGCGCCTGTGGGCAATCCTACTGTTGATGATATAAAACCCTAGGGTTCCTTTAAAGGGGTATATAAGGGCACAAGTACCTTTAAGGGGTTCCTTTAAGGGATCTATAGGGTTTTGGGGTTTAGGATTGTGTGATATAAAACCCTGCATTACCTTAAGGACCCTAAACTATGGGAATTATGGTATAAGTCTTATTGTGGGAAATGCAGGATTTAAATCATCAACCGCAGTGTCTAGGGCCCAACCCTGCAAGCCAGCCTTAAGACAGCGTTGGCCCTGGCAGTTTCAAGCATTCTAGGGATCCTACTATAATTTGAGGTGTGTGTGTATATATATATATATATATATATATATATATATATTATTCCCTGATTAAGGGGTATTGGAGTCTCTGGCTCTAGCAGTTTACAGCCCAGCTCCTGCAATGAAGAACCTGAGCCCTGCTTTCGGCTGCAGCTCAACCCGACAGCCGCCTCAACTCGAAGCCATGACCTTCCATTCAAAAACCGAACCACGGTAATTATAAATAAATAAATAAATATATATATATATATATAGTTGTTTTTTGGAAGGCCCTTTTTCCGTCTGTACTTGTAGGGTTTCGCGTTTCGGGTTTCGGGTTAGGGCTTGGGGTTGTGCGGGTTTAGGCCTGCATCGCTGCTCACCAACCCACAGGCCCTCTTCCGTGACGAGGGCCACGCGAACCTGGCACCGGCAAGCCCCGTCTGTAGAGATGTCTTCGAAGGAACGGGGTTTAGGGTTTAGGGTTTAGGGTTTAGGGTTTAGGGGGGTGTGGGGGGGGGGGTCCGGGGGGGGGGGGGGGGGGGGGGTGCCGGGCCTGCTGTTTTGCAATTCCGTCGATCTATCCGTCTGCCGATGCATCACCCCCTTGCAGGAATGGATCTATGCATCTTTGTGCCGAGCCATTATGCCACGTAGAAGTATTCGTGTTTGCTTCTGGCCATCTGCATCACATGTCTCTGTGAATAGCAAGAAAGAGAACGATTTTGAACGGTAGAAAGATGAAAATCAAACAACTAGCTGATGATGCAAGGTTGTATTGAATAAGACGGCATGTTTGGCTGGGTATCATCCAGAAGAAGGTCAAAACACACAATCACAACAGCAGCACAATATGAGGCAACGCAGTTGATGATACGAGCTCATGACGTGACATACCTTAAGATCAAAGGGGCTGAAACTGTGACTCAGTACCCTACTCAATGCAAGATCCTTGCAACATGGGAGTTTCGGATGCTGAAAGCCTCCACCATAAACCGAGAGCCCCAAACCCTTTCAGGTTAACGGATCTGGGATGTTCTTTTTTGACGAATCCACCCTCAACCACGGTGACAACACGGGGGGGTCTCACGTAGTGATCGATGAAGGGCGACCAGGCTGCAATGGTGACCTTGGCGTAGGCTTTAGCGCTTAGGTTGGGCCGTAGGCTTCAGGGTTCGGTCTTGGGATCGAGTGACTGGATGAAAACAAATATTGAATATTGTAAGAAAGGACGGACTATGGATATCATCCAGGCATGCCCCAGCTGAGGGGTTTGAAGCCTATATTCTGGCTGATGCAACTTCAACGCAATACAAGAACATCGACATAGGAGAGATAGGGGGGGTTCCTGACCATGATCATGGCATAATATATCCCCAAACCGAACCCTGTTGTAATTATTAAGGCCCCTACATAATTATCGTACCCTTATAGATCCCTTATAGTAGCCCTGATAGAGCCCTTTACAGGAACCCTACTCTAACTATTTAGGCCCCTAAACCGTAACTGGGAGGAAGCCTCAGCCACATGGCTTGGCTGGCTGTCTTGGGTGGCGTGTCTTTAGCGGTGACTTCAGGCAAATGCCGCAGAGACGAAATAGAATAGAGTTCCCTTTAAAGGGCTCTATATACAAGAACCGTGCACCAGTCCACATGTGGTTCATAGCAGTCGTCCCCTTCGCACGTAGACTCAAGCGCGATCATGAGTAAGGCCAGCACAGAGGAGACTCTTCCACCATGTGTCCAAGGCAGTAACCCTCGCGAGCCTTCGTGCAGCGGTAATCAAGCCATTGCCAGAGGACCCTGACATTGGCCCGTCGTGCGCCACTGCTCATTTGCTCCAGCGCTGCCCGAAGGTCCAGGAGGGATAGGACCCAGTCGTGATCATGGAGGTCTGCATCATGCTGTGCCCATCGCTCCTGTGTTGTCATAGCCAGGCCTTGGCCGCTCATCCTCAATGGCATCTTCGATGATCATGCCCGCCCGGAGCAAGCGGGATACTACAAGGGATCTATGAGGGTACGATAATATAAGGGCCTTAATAATTAATACAGGGTTTTGGGGCCCGATATACTATAGTTATAATAAGGAGCCCTGAGGAAAAATATTAAAATATTGGTAATTGGTAATTATCTAGGCCCCTTTGGTAAAGACGTGATGGAACTTCAGGATATGGGTGCTATAAGGCATGTAGGAGTTTAAGGTGCTACCGTGCAGGAGAGAGACACGCAGACGGAGAGGAAAAGGGTCTTGAGTAGCCCCTAAACCCTAAACCCTAAACCCCTTTATTATAAGGGTACCCTTTTTCCTTCGGTTTTAATTAGGGGACCCTAAAGTAAAAAGGGCAAAAGGGCACTACTCAGGAACCTAGGAAGGATGGAGAGAGAGAGAGAGAGAGAGAGAGACAGAACACGAAAAAGAGAGACAGAGAGAAAACGATAGAGAGAGAGAGAGAGAAAGAGAGAGAGCGAGAGAGAGAGATAGAGCCAGAGGTAGCCAGACAGAAACAACACAGGCAAAGATTGCTAAATGTTCTCTGCAGCGGCGTCGGAGATCCTTATTCCGCAAATGTACAGCTCGATGATGCAAGAGCGAAAGACTTACACCTTCGGAAATCAGTAGCCCAAGCTTTAAACCAAACATCTGTCGAAGTTTATGGTGCCGAACATTGGGGACCTGTCAAACTTCCAAAGCCTGAACAAAGGAAGTCCGATCGTAACTGTGTGACCAAGTGGCCACAGACGGTTGTGCCACCTGGCGGCTTTTGGGACGTATGATAGAAAATACTGGCGGGAGCACTGTCTGCATCACACGTCACACCTGATGATGACGACAGTGATGAGGGCATTACTTACTTTCACAAGCCCCTAGTGCCTAGTCACGAAGATGATGATGATGATGATGATGATGACGGAAGCAATGATGATGACCATGCCGATGATGATGACGAAGACAATGGTGAACATGACGGTGCTGCTGATGATAGTGACGATGCACAAAACCATGTTGCATGTTGATAGCGACGACGATGATGTTGTTGTTGATGAGATGACGATGATGCTAGCATTGGTGGCACTGATGGCGATGGCAAGGAAGACGAATGGATGAGCATGAGAATGAGCATTGTGATGATGATGATGTCGATGATGACGATGATGATTATGCGATGGTGATCATGGTGGTGGTGATGACAAAGAGATGTTGATGACGATGATGATGATGATGGCGATGCTGATGCGAGTCATGACCACTCCGATGATGGTAGGCATGGTCAAGAAGAGTGGCCATGCAGTGGAGATGGCATGATGGTGCGTTGATGACGATGGTGCTCATCCCCGACGGCTTCTGCTGTTGCTAGCGGCGCTGCCATGCCCCTGCTGCTGCTCGTCTTTTTTTGTGCTGGATTTGTCCGAATGATGCTATGAACCTCATTCGCTTTGGCAGGAGCTGCTGTATGAGGCGTCTGTGCGCGATGCTTCGCTGAAACCATGCTGCATGTTCGAAGCTTGCAGGCAGGGCATGTGAGTCCTTCAGCATTGGCCGCAGGCTCTGCGGCTTTATTGAGCTACTGCAACCTTATGCCAATGTGTTGAAGGCGTTGTCTGCATCCTGTGCAGCCGGTGCCACGTACGATTGCCGGAGTGCCTGAACTCTTCCAGCTCCCGTGGTTGCACCAACATCTGTGGCTTGGTGGGCCCTCGCTGATGCACCCCACTCGTGAGAACAGTCGCTGCGCTCTTATCGCAGTGAACGGACGTGGCCTGGTGCCACCGAGGATAGGGCCGACACATGCTGATGTGTCGTGGGCAGAAACAGAAACTCCGGGCCAAGTTAAAGGCTGCTTGCCTGCTCTTTGTCATTGGCTTTTGCGAAGGCTGAGTCAGTAAGGGGTCACCGGGGTCACGGTTTAGGGCTTAGGGTTTAGGGTCAACGGTGCACTTGCCGTCCCACTAGCTACAGCTACCTCAGCAATGACAAGTACGACCAGTGCCTAAACCCCCAAACCCTAAACCCTAAACCCTGAAACCCTAAACCCCAAAAACCCTAAACCCTAAGCGCTATTTCGGCAATTGGGGCCATCGGGATCCCATCTGAATCGCGAAGTTCGCCTGGTGGGGCCCTCGCCCCTGTCCCCAATGGAGGCTGGGTTCATGTTAAGAAACCCTAATTTAAGTTACCACAGTAGGGACCTCGAGTAAAGAATTTGGTTTCTTTATTGTCGTAACTTAAAACAAATTCCTTAACAAGAACCTGGGAAATTCAGCCGGATTCCCTGTGGAATACGTGTACCGACAACAGAGGATACAGATTCCAAAGACGGGTGGGAGCGGCTGTGCGCACCTCGGGCCGGTGGCTCTCAAAGCTCCAGGCCTAACTCTAAAGCATACCTTAAGCCGGAATAACTTACCTTTTTAGGGTTCCTTATTATGATTTCCTTATATAAGTCCTTAAAAAGGTAGGTTATTCCGGCTTAAGGTAGACCCTGGATCCCACCTTGACCGGCAACTTCATTGACGAGGGAAGAGCTCGGATATTCCTGAAAAGCGGGGTGGTTTGTGCAGGTTGGGAGTGGCGAAACCCTCCTTTCCAAAACGTCTGTTTTTGTGCAGCAAGCCCTTCCGCGAACATCTGAACACCAAACAGCCCTAAACCATAAACCCTACAGCCTTAACTCAAGGCCTTTAACCCTAAAACCTGAACCCTTAACCGCTCGTAAAAGCAGGCCAGGATCAGGCTATAGGTCCTCCAGTAGCCCCGCAATGATGCCCCAAACCCTATAAGCAAAAACCTGAACCCAAAGTATGATACTGGTACCCCGTTTCCTACTATTCGGTTTTGTAATCTGGAACTCCGAAAAACAAAAAGGGCGAAAGGCTGCTACTAGGTCTCCTAGGAAGAGCTATAGTGTTCCCACGGCTCTCGTGACTTCGGTCCTCTTCAGTAGGGTTGAGGGTTTGGGGTTTAGGGTTAGGGTTTAGGGTTTAGGGTATAGGGTTTAGGGTTTAGGGTTTGGGGTTTAGGATTTAGGGTGTAGGGGTTTAGGGTTTAGGGGTGTAGGGTTTAGGGTTTCGTGTTTAGGGTTTCAGGTTTGGGGCGCCATACAGCCGCTTGCTCTAGTCAGCCCTCGCTGTTATAGGTGCTGTACGGTAAGTTCGAGGTGAGTTACTGGGCGGTGATTCAACCAAACTTCCTTATATTCCTCCGGGTTCCTGAAAATTGAAGAATACCATAACCTGCGATGATTCAGGCTCAAATATCACTTCTACATACTCCATGCAGAAAGCTTATAGCAGCGATGTCTGGAGATCATCGTCAGGGTTGTCCAGGGGTGAAGCTTTCATACTGGGCTACAATTCTGGTAGTGTCTATGCGAGTTTCCGGAAATAGGGGACCCTAATATAGTACCCTGAATAAAGACAAGGTACCCCTAAGTTTCGAAAACTCCCATATAGGGTTAAATAGTTACTATCAAACTGCAAAGGCTTTTTGCCCTGCTGGGTTCTCCGTGATGTGTGTTGGATTAGGTTCCTGAAGGTTTGGGGTTGACAATGCTTCCTATCACCGGCTGTAGACGTTTACGGCTCCGGATCTAAGTGTAGACGAACTTCAAAGGTGTATAGTATTTGTAACTATTCTCGAAGTACCGAAATTGGGAACACGGTTGGCGTGAGAATGGGAGTCAGACCAAGGAATTCTACGGCCCAAGGCAACCATCAGGGTTCTTGGGTCCCCAAAAGCCAAGCAAAAGAAACAACCCAGCAAAATCCGACCAAAAGCAGACAAAACTCACTCCCCTAAATCCCAAATCACAAACCTGCAACCCCAACCCGTAAACTCAACACTCTAAACAGGGAAACCCTCAGCCCTAAAGGCAAGGCACAGGTGGTTGGTCGACTGGTAAGCGCTTTCTTCCTTGAGACTGGCACCCAGATCCATCATCCTCGCTGGTTTAGGGTTGACTATATAGGGGGTTCGACCTCCTGGCTTCTTACTAGCGGTGCCTTACAAGAGGCCTTGTAGATTGTAAGTTAGGATCCTGCCACGTGACTGTCTGTGGTGGGGGGGGACCGCGGTGAATGGTTAGTTTAGGTTAGTTTGTGGCTTTCGACTTGAGGCTTTAGGCCTCGGTGTATGACTAGTTCTGACATCCGAAGAAGTTGAAGGGTGAAGGGTTTGGCATTCCAAGTTGACATCATGAACCTACGGATCCTACATTGATGCCTACACAGCTGATCATGGCCTTGACGGCAGGTTTTTTTACCACTTCACGGTTCTTTTCCAAAGGGCACGTCATTTCGATGATTTTCTGGAAATTCCACAAATACTCTACAAACCGTGAAGCCAACCTGCAAACAGATAAAGCATTGTGCAGGTTGCAAAAAGCCATCTTGACCTCAACAACCCCCTTGCTTGACTGATGCCCTACTTATTCCAAACCTTGCCCAGTTAGACTTTCAGGAAGTGTAACTATGCGTGGAGGTTCATGGGTTGCTTCATAAGTGGCCTCAACCTGAGTTACCATCTTCGTGACCATGTCTACACGCACCAGTCACTTCACAGAAACCCGAACTGTCCTGGTCACGCTGTCGCACTGAACGCTGTGTTCTGGAGTGGAGATTTCAATTCTCGCTGGGGTCAATTAATTGGTCTTTCGGGTTCAGTGCTCTGGCTGTGGGCTTTGGGGAGTTTTACAGCTTAGGGCATCCGGGTGTCCATAGGTTGGAGCTTTTGAACTGTAGCGTGCAGCTTTACAATGTCGCGCGAGTGGAGCTCATGCAACTCTTCTCTCGGTTGGTCTATTCATTTGGGGCAGGTCTCGAATGCACATTCAAGCATCAAGCTGATATGGGAAGAATAGGTGCTACTATAAGGCAACTATGAAGGGATACTATCAGAAAATACTCCGACGTCTTTGTTGGCTGCGTTCAAGATGGGATTCAACGTTTGAGTATGCACTCTCTTGAAGGATTCAGCTCGCGTGCTGTTTCGGGTCTTGGAGAGGCACTTCTTTGAAATCTTTATTCGGTAGTTGCAAGCAGGGGTTCGCCCTAAACCCTAAAGCTCCAGGTTTAGGAGCCAGGAGCAATGGCTCGCTCTGCAATGGCTGCCCAACTCTATTTCTACACGAAACACCGTTTCCACTTCCAGATCCCTCTTACATCTTGGCATGTTTATAGTGTCGACAACGCAGGCTTTCCAGGTTCATGTTCGAAGTTTTCCTGACCGGCCGTATTCGCAGCTTTCGAGCGTGCACGTGATGAGAAGTCAGGGATTCAGCACCGCACTGAGATTGCCGGATTTGGGCATTTGCGCTCACACCGATGGCTTGGACTTCTAAGCTTCACGTGGGTACGGCCCCCATACAGTAGCAGTCTCTACTATTAAGGTCCTCATAATCGCAGTACCCAAGCTTCACCCTACATCAACCTTCCAACACCTTAGAAAGTCTGAACTTGTAGGCCCGGCTCCAGGGAGGAACTAGACGCCGCCCAAACAACTTGCATCCCAAACCTTTAGAACCCTACAACATCAACCCTCACATCCCTGAAGCTCTCAGTCCTAAAATTTAAATCCCCACCCCTAAACCCCTAAACCTTAAATCCCCAAATCCACAACCCGCCTGCGGCCGAATCCGTCCCTGCTAGGCCGACAGTCACGAAGAAGGGAACTGAATCATGAGGGCATCCACTGCAGACCTGGGCTCGTTTCAGGGCCTATGCTGTAGGGTTTATAGGGTTTAGGAACCAGGCTATTGCAAGGCGACCCCAGAAGGAAATCAAGAACGCGCACCCTATCCTGGGCACAGGTCGGCAACTTACCCAGAGACTCCAATATCCCTTAATTAAGGAATATTCCTTAAATCATATTAATTAGGCCCTAAAGCCCTCAACCTACTGGGGAAACCCTAAACCCCTGAACCCTAAACCCCAAAACCCTCAACCCTAACCCCTAAACCTTTATTACTCCCAAACCCTAAAGCCATGACAGGCAAGATTCCGTGTCTGCGTTGCGGAATCTCAGCTCGTAGGAGCCTACCAGGGCTTTGGGTTACGGGGATTTTGTGTAGTTTTGGGTTTAGAGTTTAGGGTTTAAGGTTAGGGGTTTGGGTTAGGGTTTAGGGTTTAGAGCTTAGGGTTTAGGGTTAGGGGTTTAGGGTTTGGGGTTGTTGGGGGACTTAGGATGCTCAAAGCAAATCTGAGACTGCAAAGCCCGAAACTCTCAAGTCTAAACCCCACACCCTGAACACTAAAAGCCTAAAGGGAACTCCAGAAAGTTGGAACATGGTTTCAGGGTAGGATACCTTATAATTTACCTTAAAGGGGCTACGATAATGATATTCCAACTTTCTGGCTTCTACCTTAAACCCTAACCGCTGGGGTCCTTGCAAGTAAGGATCCACTTTCTTGTGCAGGGTCCGCTCTACTGCTGGTATTACTGGCAACATCCCATGTAGACCCCTGATTCAGAACTCGACTCTGCTCATAAGGATTCCAACTTCTGACGAATCTCCGCATTTAAGGCCCTCAAAATAACGGTTTAGGGCTCAGGGTGCAGAGTTTGCGGTTTAAGGTTTGCTGGTTTAGGGTTAGGGATTTAGGATTTAAGGATTCCCTACCTAAAGCGGGTTCAGTCGCCTGCTTGTAGCTGGAAGACCACTCCAGGGCCAACTACGCTCGAGCTTGGCATCACCTCCGTGAGGCCTGCGAAGACAAGAGGAGTCTAGGGTGTACCTGGACCCTAAAGAACCTACCTATTTAGGGTTCCTTATTATTATTTCCTTATATGGGTCCTTAAAAAGGTAGGTTCTTCCGGGTTAAGGTGGGCTTAGGGTTTGTTTTGGGTTTATGCCCAAACCTTATACTCTAAACCTCTAAGCTGTTACAGGGTTAGGGTGTCGGGTTTAGGGCTTAGGGTGTAGGATGGCCCAAGACTCTGAGATTCTGGTCGAGGGAAAAAAAAATAAACCCTCGGTATTACGCACCCCTAATTAAGGAATATTCCTTAAATCATATTAGGGATCCTAGTATACTTTAAGGTATATTCCTGAATTAAGGGATACCTGTCTCCACACCCTGTAAGCCTTGCATCCTTGGCGTTTTAGGTAGCACGAAATCATCGGCTGATGCTTGCGGGCTTGGGGTCCAAGCCGCAGTGCCAACCGCACTGCTCCGTAGTGAGAGTTTACAACGATAAAGTTTGTGGTGCTGACACATAAAGACACGAACAAACAAGAGTAAGTATTGAACATGATTTCATGCAATGGTCCTTCGAGCAATTATTGCGTAGGGTCTAGGGCTCAGGCTTCCAGGTTCAGGGCTCAGGGCTACCACCGTAAGCCATAGGACCGGATACACGAATCCCTCAAATCGTCAACCCAATGGTCAGTAGAGTTCGGGTTCAGTCCAGGGTTTAGGGGTGCAGGCTCTAGAATCTAGTAGCAGTGCAGCAAAACCGAACAGCAGCGCTCGAAAAAAGACAGTGGCTCTCCCGAGAAGCCGCAAGGCAACTCTTGAGAGTCAGCAAACCATGTACTAATGTCCTGCAAGAAGCATGCCTGCAGCAAGCTTTCTGTACCTTCGCCATTTGGGGATTCAGGGTGCGGGGTCATACTTGTAGGCCCTAAACTAAAACCCCAAACCCTAAACCGTAGTAATAAGGCTCACGGGGCCTGTAAATGCAAAAAGCAACCTGCCTTCCATGCTTCGACCAAAAGCTAGCCTGAAGGGCTCTAAGCCGAGATTACCCTAAACTATACCCCCTCAGAACCATAAATAATGGAAATAGGAGTTTAAATATTCTCTTTCTCTTTGGCTTTATATGAAAAATATGAAGACAAAAATTCCTAAGGATACTACAGTAAAGCCTAAATCCTATAACTCCAAGATCCTACACGCCAGGCCAACCTGTAAACTCAAAAATCTGCCTGAAACTGTAGGCCCCAACTCACAAAACCGCAAACTCTTGGGCTAAGCACCCCCATGCCGGAAACCCTCAACCCTATAAACTCTTAAGCCGATTACTAACCCTAAACTCCTACTGTAAACCCTACCTTAACCCTGAATAACCTACCGTTTGAGGGTTCCTTATGATGGTTTCCTTATATAGGTCCTTAAAAAGGTAGGTTATTCCGGGTTAAGGTAAACCCCAAGCACCTTGGTGTATCTCGACTGACATCCTCGGAGCAAGGATATCCTCAGCAGGCAGAGGGGAGGACAGGTTGTCTACTTGGAGGTTCATGGGCAGTTATAAGTCGGATTATAAGTACCGTAACTATAGTTATAGCCCATATTAAGGGACTTATAACTCCACTTATAACTACCCGTAACTACCCATGAACCTCCAAGTAGGATGTACTGGGCTGTAGCTTCCCCGAAGTATTCAGGAATATGTACATCTATAGGACCATAAAAGGTGAATTACACAGTCTCCGAAAGTGCCGTGCCACCTCGATTAAGACTTCGTGGTAGTGGCTTCGGAGTTTTGGGTCTAGGGTTTAACCCCCCGAAGCATCCTTTAGAAAAAGGCAAAGGGGCCCTTAAAGCCTTTTCTACGACCATTGCAATCATTGAGGCCCCAATATTGTAAACTCGTATGGAAACTCTGTTTTCCTTATAAACCTTCTAATAAGTGAAGATCCTACATATTACCCCACTATTAAAAGTAGCATAGAACCCCCAAATCTCTATAAATCTTCTAATCTAATTAGTTAGTTAAACATCCTGTATTATGCAGCCCTCAACCTCTTGGGCGAGCGAGTCTCTGCAGGCTCGGCCACGATGCGGAGAACTGCCGGCGCATCCAAGGAGACTTCGGATACCGACGCGCCACCTGACAGCATTGCGGTGTTTAGGGGGCTTACCTTAACCCTGAATAACCTACCTTTTGAGGGTTCCTCACTATGGTTTCCTTATATAGGTCCTCAAAAAGCTAGGTTATTCCGGGTTAAGGTAGGGTCTAAGGTGAATCGTTGCGTTTCGGGGTTTCGGGGCGAAGGCTTTAGGGTTACAGTTTAGGGCTGATGTCTCGGGCCTCATGGCTTGGCGTGCTTGAAGCGATAGGATTCTGAGTGTTTGGTTGAGGGTTTTACCTGTCCGGGGTTTTCCCTAAACCCTAAATCCAAGCCCCTATTAAACCCTTCAGGAGTTTCGGGCTTCCAATTTGCGCCAGGGTCTCTGGAGTAGTGGACTATGGAACCTCGGTTCGACGAGAACAAAACAGAATACATAATTTAGGGGCCTACATAGTTATTGATAGGGTTTCCTTCGAAGGGCTCTATATAAGGGTTACTATAATAAGGGATCCACACGGGTGCTACAATATCGGGGCCTTAATAATTATAGAGTAATTAGGCTTTTGGGGCCCATGATACCATAATTATCAGAAGGAACGCCCAAAATAGTATTGGTAATTATTAAGGCCCCTATATTGACACGCTCTAGAGCCCGGAATGGTATATACCTCAAAAGGACACCTTTAGACGAATGCCCCATGTGTAGGTGGGGCTCGACGGCTGCGTGTTGATTGGGCCGGGCCATGCACCTGGACTTCATAAACCCATCATTGCGTGCGATTGTTTTGCGGCTTAGGGTTAAGGAGTTTATAATTACTTATGTATATACTCCCCATCACACTATGTTGTGCGGTAAGCCGCTGAGCCCTTGAACCACAGGCGCTCCTAGATCTCAATCCGAAACACACGCAGCCAGGCTTTAAATATATTCCAGACCTTCAATAACCCAAGCTTTCTAAAGCCAATCAACCACCTGAAAAAAATTTGCAAGAACCAAACCCTAAATCCTAAACGCAAACCAGAACTCCCACATGGGCATCCCCATCCGCTGAAGGCAGAACCTTCGGCGAAAATAATACACCTACGAAGTTTCCGAAGACTGCTACAGATCCTCGTGGTGAACACAACTGTTCTATCTCTTGGTGTCATTTTCTATTTGCATTACTAGTACGAATATTGCCATGAATAGTCATGGTGCATCCAGTCTGCTTCGCGTCATCACCCATATATGCAGTATCATCATGAATGTGAGAGTCAGCGTCAGTCGCTGTACTCCGACTCTACCGTCTGCCTACTCGCTGGTGTGCTCTTACCGTTCTAGTGCTACTGCCGTGATTGGGTTGCGCTGACTCGTACATACAGCCTTTCGTCGGACGGGTGCATCATTTCACGCGACCATGTTCACTCAATCTTGCTGTCAAAACGCCGTGATTAAGGTCAGTACGAGCACAACGATTCTTACTGTGCACTAAACCCTCCGCCCTGAACTCTGAACCCGAAGCCCCAGCCCAACCTGCCGGAATGGCAAATATCTCCGAGAACAGCATGCGGTCCCTTGCGATCTTCAGTTGAGGGAGGGAGGGAGGGTCAGAATAATGCCGGCACCTACGAGTCAGCTCGGGGTATACTACAGCTCTATTACAGAGAGACTGTAAGGTATTCTGCATGAGTATCAAGATAAATCTGTGCTCAGACCCCTGCCTTCTGGCATGAACAACTAAGAAGGACATGATCATAGCAACACTGACCATAAAGGGGTCTTAACCCTCATAAAACTACTATGAACCTCCCAAGATGCTCCGAACCCGGCTATGGCTAAGGCGAACAAATAAAAGTGGTTTGGGCCTGAGGGTTTAGGGTTTTCGGGATGGTTTTGGGTTTGGGGTTTAGGATGGTTAAGCGTTGAGAGACTTTGTGAGTATAAGAGAGGCTTACAATTTTAGGGGGTTCCGGGATTGCGTTCAGGATTTAAAGGGTCTCGGAAAGATTGTTAAACTTGACTTATGGGCTCCATGTGTCATTTGCATTTTTCCCCGAGTTTCTGCCTGTCGCCAGAGGGGCCTAGCCTCAAACACATATCATCCTATTGACTTGCATTTGGAGTGGTAAGGTTTGGGGTTTAGGGCGGAGAATGCCGATGAGGGTTGATGAGTTCTGGGTAAACTCCCAGAATATCACTGGACAACAGCCAACTCCTGGAAATCTACAAGTTTTCAAGGCTCTAACGTCCGCTACATGCCTTAAATGCCCCCTACAATCCTAAACCCCCAATCCAAAGCTGGATGCGCAGCAGAGATCGGGCCAAAAAATCTAGCCGATAATTACCAGTAGCTCAAAAATACTACGGAGGTTCAGAATTCTCTTGCCGTCGATGGAGTGTTCGTCAGATGCCTGAAACCAAGAAGCCTGCGACAAAAAACCGTACCCGCCCTGTCAAGGTTTGCAGCTAGGGAATGAGACCTGGCCCACCAGATAGAAGGCTAAACCCGAAGCCATTTCCTGCCCGAGCTGCATCACCTGCCACCAACCCGGCGTCAGCTTTGCTGGCGGCGCCGTTACGGCCAGGACTTCCGGCAGGTCGAGCATCTCCTGTTAGGGCAAAGGGCCTCGTGATTCAGGGTTTAAGGTTTAGGGTTTAAGGGTTTTGGGTTTAGGGTCAGGGTTATGGCTTACGGTCTACGGTTCAGGCTTTTAGGGGTTTCAAGTTGCGGATGCTCTGGTTTTTGGGGGTTCAACGTTATATGCAGGAACAAGGGGAAAAGGTAGCATTCTCAGAGAGTATTGCTCCCAATTGTTTAGTATTTAGGCCTCTGTTTGGTGTTGGTGGAGTTGCTTGACCTGGCGATGTGTGGCCAACAGTCCTCAAAGAGCGATGGAGTCGATTTGCCTATCACGTCAATTGCCGTCAATGGATTCAAAGGGCAAAGACTTGGTAGTCGTTCGACAGTCCTTTTTTTTACCACCTTAGCTTGCAGCACAAGCAACAAGTCGTTGGCGCTAACCTACTTCCTGCTAATTTACTACGGTCCCGGCGTCACTGTTGCAATGAATGTTCATAAACACTGATTTTACACTTCTTTGATTCCTATAGAGGGCTTTCACACTGAGTTACATCACACAGAGAGAACTTCACACAGAGAGAACTTCACACTGAGCTTCACATTGAGCTTCACACTGAGCTTCTTCACATAGAGACTTCACATCGAGCTGCTTCACAACGATTTGTTTATAATAGCTGAGACCAACCAACACACTTGCGACGTTCAATAGATGTATGATCACTGGAAAGGTGGTTGGTATCTTCTGGCATGATCAATAATCGTCTCTCGTATTGCTTGGTCGTGTTTATTGAAAGGCACCTTCCATTGTCGACGCCAATCAGAATTCCTGAACCACTCCAATCCCTCGGATGTGGCCAGATCACAAGCCTCCCGTTTGAAATACACATCAGAGCTTGAGCAGGTCTCATCTGAAGGTGCTCGGCACCGTTCACTTGGACATTCCGAACATCTTCACATGTTTGTGGCTCATGTGGGCTCCAAGCCACACGTTTGTGGCCCTGACGTGGCTTCAAAACCACGCGTCGTAACGCCGTCTGCGCGCGCTTTCGCTCCCGTTTAGGGTTTAATGCTCGGGCTGTAGAGTTCTGCTCCGAACCATATGGAGCGTCAGAACACCAAGAAGTTAGGAGGTGGGCAACAAAGGCGCCCGAGGAGGTAGAATGGGCTCTGGGGTATATCATTGGGGTTAAGAGTTTAGGGTTTCATGGTACATGGTAGAATTATACTGCTCTTACTTCTTATGACTACCTTAAGCAACCCCAAGGAGCAATACAGATCAGTATTCCGACCCCTATCGGCCCTTTCGTAGGAGCAACGGTGGTGTCAGAAGGTTCGAGGAGGGGAGTTCGGCTCAAAGCACCCAGCGGGACACCTGCATCCCTAAACCTTCAAAGAGCCCGAAAGCCCTAACACCTCCTAGCGACCCCGAAAACTACTACAGTAAGGCCCAAACCCTAAACCATGATGAACCCGGAACCCTAACCCCGAAACCGTCCTAAACCCCAAACCCAAGACAGTCCTAAATGGGTCCTAAACCCTAAACCCGAAACTTTCTTAAACCCCAAGCCCTTGCCTGCCGTAAACCCTAAATGCACTAAACCCTGGAGCCCCAATACCCACCTTGACCTACAAAAAGCTACCTTTTTGTCGGGTTCCTATGAAATCCATATAAAGGTTGTTAAGAAGAACCTACAAAAATCTGGGGTTTGGTAGGTCCTTCTCTGCCACCTCGGGGGCTTGCGTCCTGGCAACCTTGGCGATGGATGCCCTGGTGTCGAAGGCGGAGGTCGTGCTCTTCAGGCAAATTTGGGCGAGCTGCCGGAAGCTGTTGGTGGGGCCGCTCAGGCTTCTGGAAGTACCAGGCATCGCCCTTCGTGACTTCCCCAGCACATAAGAAGCAGCAAAACCTCACACTGGTTCGGGCTTGATTCTCCTTCGTCTCAATGCCCCCGGGCCATTCGGAGGTCCTTGTCAGGCAACGTGGCGATCTTGCCATCCGAAATGTAGGAAGTGGCTGATGTTCAAACTCTCGAAGCCACACCGATCGCACTTTTTGACTTCACCTACTCCCCTGGCACGGCCACCCCAAAGGTGTCACTGCTGCTTCCCCCCCATGCTCCCAAAAGGGGAGGACTTCAAAAGCCAGTGGAAAAACATAAAACAGGCAAGGCTTTAGAAGCTTTCCAAATCAAGGAAATGGTGAGGCTCGGCAGCCCAAGATCCCTTGAGCTAAGGCTTTAGGGTTTAGGGTTGTGGTTTAGGGGTTTGGGGTTAGGGCGTGTTAGGGTTTAGGGTCTAGGGTTTAGGGTTGTGGTTTAGGGGTTTAGGGGTTTAGGGTTTGAGGATACCGGTAACGGGTCGAAGGCTAAAGCGTGTAAGGGTTTCGGGTAACTTCTTCTAAGTTTGGTGTTGAGGATTTGCTCAGGGCTTGGGGCTCCTTACGAGTAAGCGCCACTTACAACTATTCCGAAACCCTAGGCCCTAGACCCTAAACCCACCTACAACAGCTCCAAACCCCAAGCTGTGCGAGGACTTTCGATGGGGCTCGACTTTCGGGTTTAGGGTGCAGGGTTCAGGCTGTGGGGCTGTAGGTTCAGGCTTTAGGGTTTTTTTTGAAGTTGATGTGGTTTAGGGTTCGGGCTTTAGGTGAAGTTAGGCGCCTCATCTAAAACCCCTGAACCCTCACCTGTCGATAGTTGGAGGTGTCCCTGCCGCCCGGTGCAAGGAGGGCCGCCGTGCCCAACAACTGGCGGACGGAGCTTCTGTCTCTGGTTTTTGCGGCTTTGGGGTTCCAGCGTTTGCGCTTTGTGTGGTAGGGAGCTTCAGGGCGCTCAATAAACTCCTAAACCCTAAAACAACCCGAAAATCCTATAGTGAACCCCAGTAAGCTGGAACATGCGTTAATGGTAATTAGTGCTAGGATCCCCTGTGCTTTACCTTGCGGGCATGAGGATAATGATGTTCCCACTTTCTGGCTTCCACTGTAAACCCCCAATATGAAACCCCTAAAAATTCTACACCCCATAACGAACCCCCTACGAATCCTAAACCCCCAAACATGAAACCCTAAGAATCCTAAACCGCCCAAACCCCACACCCTAGGGTGCAGTTCTGGGTGTAGTCTGGGATGCTTCGGCTCCGCATCTTCAAGTGACACTACCGGAAGACGTGCTGATGATGGTACAAGGCCTGCATTACCCTAACCCCAAGGGTCCAAAGGACCCAGTAATGAGGTACGCGGTTTTAGGATCGTAGTTGTGTAGATTAGCATTTGGGAGTGTATATGATTATTAGGGACTTGGACCCTTGGGGTAAGGACCCTAAACTATGGGAACTATGGTATATTCCCTATTACGAGTAATTCAGGTTTTTATACCATCAACCGTGGTAAGTGGGTAATACTAGGTTCCTGAGTAGCCCCTTTATCATAAGGGTACCTTGTTCCTACTATTCGGCTTTACTAAGGGGACCCTAAAATTGAAAGGGCAAAAGGGTACTACTCAGGAACCTAGAATACGTAGACTATTGAAGTGCCCCGAAAGGGATCCTAATTGGGGATATGATACTTGGAACTCTGTAAAACTACTTGCCAGACCACGCCCGGGACCCTCCAAGCAGATCCGAAATTCCACCACACCGGAAGCCGCGGTTTCAGGTTGAGGGCTAAGGAATCCTTGAAGGAACCCCTTATGGGAACCTCACACTGCTGTAAGGGGCCTTCACGAGCCATAGCAAGATCTAGGCATTAGCCCCAAACCCGAAAGACTCTGGCGGCCTAGATGCAGTGGCCTAACGAACCCTTCAATCCTAAACCATCATCATAAACCTCATTGCTTGAAGATTATAGGTAGTTGTAGGTGGAGATATCATACCTAGCCATATGTAGAACTGTATGTACCTTCTGTTGGAGTCGCAAGTTGTTGCTAAGTAGTAGCTCAACCCCATCTTCCGGGCCTAATCCTTGCACCATTCACTTGAACAGACTTTGACCAAAGCACCACATCCCAAATCCTAAAGCAATCCTAAACCCTGCAACCCTAAACTCTGATCCCTGAGCTCCTCCACCCCGGATAGCCGAAACCCTAAACCGTTTGCTACCACAAAGACCTGTTGCCTGACTACTGCAAGAAATGCAGGGTGCCCGACCATTCGGAGCTAGGGCATGTGGAATGTGAATCTAACACGAAATGAAGGGAAACCAACGCTGGGAACTGGCATTTCTTATCCAGCAGATGCACTCTAATGTATGGGGTTCTTCATGTAACTATTCCCAAAGCCAAGTTCTGAATGTAAATAAGGGCACTTTTACTCATCTCTTAACCATATCGTACCATTATATATACCTGTATACATATACATATACATATTCATATACATATACATATACATATACATATGCACATGCATATACATATACATATACATATGCATATGCATATGCATATACATATACATATACATCTACATCTACATCTACATATACATATACATATACATATACATATACATATACATATACGCATACGTATACGTATACGTATACATACAAATATACATATACATATACCTATACATATACATATACATATACATATACATATACATATACATATACATATACATATACGTATACGTATACCTATACATATACATATACATATACATATACATATACATATACATACACATATACATATACATATACATATACATATACATACATATATATATATGTATATACATATACACATACACATACATATACATATACATATACATATACAAATACAGATACACATACACACATACACATATACATATACATATACATATACATACACATATACATATACATATACCTATACATATACATATACATATACATATACATATACATATACATATACATATACATATACATATACAAATACATATACAAATACAAATACAAATGCATATACATATACAAATGCATATACATATGCATATACATATACATATACATATACATATACATATACATATTTATAAGTTCCTTAAAGGTTTCCCTCAAAGGAAGCCTATTCTCCTCACCAAGGAACCCAATCTCCAAGTCCTAAACGATATTCTGATTATGTAGTACTGTTAATATTACTGCATTATTAGTATTTTTGTTAACATTATTAGTATTACTCGTATTATCACTATTAGCATTATCAGCATTATGATTTAGACCTCTAGATTGGCTCTGAAAACCTGCCTGCACACAGCCGCTCGGCAACGAACCGCTCGGCACCCAGGTCTTCAACATCAGTTGGTATTGGCCCTGCAGGTGCGAAGCATTTGGGGGCTTAGGGTGTAGGGTTTAAGGTTTAGGGTCTAGGGCTTTTGCGCTTTATTTCAACTTCAAAGCCCAAGGCCCAAGTGATAATCACACTGAGATCCGAAAAAGACCTGTTAAACGCCTCCTAGATTCTGAACCCCGAAACCTGTAAATCTTTGAGCCCTGAAACCGTACCACTAAACCCTTATAAACCCTACCTGTAGCCGAAAAGACCTACCTTTTTAGGGTTCCTTATTACGATTTCTGTATAGACTTCCTTAAAAAGGTAGGTCTTTTCGGCTACAGGTATACCCTGTACCCTGAAACCCTTGAAAACCGCACGTAAGCCGTAGAGACTTTGAGCTTCAACTAGTCGGCGAAGTTTGGCCCCAAGGCTGATTTTATCTTCAAGGCCAACATTATTGTTTAAGGTTTCGGGTTTAGGGTTTAGGTTTTTGAAAGGCGGTGGATTGTTGAATCTTATAAGGCCAACAGTTTTAGGGTTTAGGGCTTCGGTTTTTGAAAGGCGGTGGATTGTTGAATCTTATAAGGCCAACAGTTTTAGGGTTTAGGGTTTAGGTTTTTGAAAGGCGGTGGATTGTTGAATCTTATAAGGCCAACAGTTTTAGGGTTTAGGGTTTAGGTTTTTGAAAGGCTGTTGATTGTTGAATCTTATAAGGCCAACAGTTTTAGGGTTTAGGGCTTCGGTTTTTGAAAGGCGGTTTAGGCTTTAGGGTTTAGGGGGTCTAGGGTGTAGGGTTAAGGTTTTAGGGCTCTGTTTCGGAACCTTTTGGAATTGGATCAGGGTTTTACGGTATGGGACAATAAAACAGGGACCATATAAAGGGATCTTGGAACTAGTTATCCCGATCCCAGTACTGTAACCCATGCTCTTCGACAGGTGCAGAGCACGTGGCAGGAAGACAATCGTCCTAAACCCTAAACCCTAAACCGTAAGGAGAGCTAGGTAATGAGGGCCAAACACGCTACGCACTGGTCCCGTGCATCTGGAGTGCATCATTACTGAGTGCCGACAACTCTTGCTTTTCACACTACTGTTCACCGAACTGACAACCACGGAGCTAAATACTGCTAGGCCCAGCAAAACTCCTGCATATCAACTTCGGTATATATGGCAGTTTCCGAAAATGAGGGACCCAAATTTTTATCCTTACTATAAGGACCCCAAAATACGGTACCCCAATTTTCGGAAACTCCCATGTAGATATAAGCCCTGATCCCATGAAGGCCACAGACCCCCAAAGCTACTCAAACCCAGATCCCAACCCCTAAACCCCGAAACCCTGAAAAGACCTCCAAACGGTTTAGGGTTTAGGGTCACAAAACCCTGAAACACACAAGCTCTAGACCAACCCTACAGAACCTGAAGAGCACAAAACAAAAACGAAACCGAAAAGACCTCCAAGGCGAGCCGTGGGCAGGTACCCGTCAAAGCCTAAACCCCGAAACCCTAAAAGTTTTCGGGACCTCCCCAGAGACTCCAATTTCCCTTAATTAAGGAATATTCCTGAAATTATAGTAGGATCCCGAATATGATTTGAAGAATATTCCTTAATTAAGGGATATTAGAGTCTCTGGGTCTAAGGCGAGGACTAAACCACAAACACGAAGCCCTAAAGAGCCTTGGGCAGGTTGGGCAGCAGCAAAACCAGTCGCCGGCCGCTGGGCCGTGCCCGAGCCCATGCCTTCTCCTGCTCTGCAGCATGCACTTGAGCTACGAGTCGGGTTTAGGGTTTAGGGCTCTAAGATTGTATTCAAGGACCAGGAATCCAGCAATGGGGATTCCTGGCTTGTGCTGCATTTTACGTGGAAGGTGCATGAGGGGCTGTATAAGGAGGTTTCTCAGTGCTGCAAGGGGCCTATGAACTTTGGAGAGTGATTAAAGGCTTCTACTAAGACTATGTTCCCTGGTTTTAGCCAATACAAGCCGCACTGATGTGATTGAAAGTTCAATTTAAGGCTGTTCTTGCAAGGTTCTCCAATCATTAAGGGCTTGTCGTCGGTTCTACAAGGATTCTATAAGAGGTTCTATGAGGGCTTTGAAAAAAGGTTGCAATGCGCAAGTCGCAGGTTCGATAAATGTTCAAGGTCACATTTATTGCCGAATTCGCATTCATGGTTTCGGGTGTTGCTTGATTGTGTTTTGGGCTGAAGGCTTAGTGCCTATTTGCTGATTGGATCAGTTTAGGGTTTGTGGCTCCTTTCTGGGGATAAGGAGGGTCTTGTTTCCTGGCGTGTAGGGCCTGCCGAGGGTAGGGGGTTAAGGGCATAGGGCCATTAGGATTTGGATGATTTGAGGTTTACGAAGGATTAAGGCTTAGGCCCTCCATCTTCCATTTTTGTAACCGCCAGTATCCTCGAAGGAAACTTGCTGTTTCACAAGCATTTTAGTGGTTTCGGGTTTAGGGTTTAATGCTCAGATGCAAAGCGTTTTGGTAAATGGTCTGCGTCCGCGAAGCTGGCTAGGAAGCCAGTAGGAGTTCCTCTGTCGGCATAGCCGGTGCAGTCGAACCAAGGGAATCGTATTTTTCAAGTTGAATCTCCTCTTACTGGAGAACGGAGTTTCTTGAATTCCTTGATCAAGATAAGCAGGACCGACTGGGTCAGGGCCATGGCTTGCCAATGGCATTTCACCGCGAGTGAAAGGAAGAGTGGTGAATCACCAACGGCCCGCAAGTCTAACATAGGGTGAATGCAGCGATGACTCCACAGTGGAGCTGTCGCCACCATATTCGGGGCAACCTTGCTGTGCTGACGGGGTACGCCACGGCCAACGGGATGCTTGTCCAAGTATTGGCTAGCATCCTAGTAGGTTGTTATGGGTTAGTCATGAGTCATGAGTCATGGCGAAATTCAACTCAGGAGGTTGTCCCCAGCTGATGTCCATAAGTTGATGTCCCTACAGCGGTTATTTGCACCGCGACATTTTCCTGCTGTTTCTGAAAGTTGAGATTGGCTCATATTGTCTTCGTGCGTGTAGTCATTGTCGGCAACTGCGCACTCTGCTAGATGAAGTTAAACAGAAATACTGAAGGTTCTGGGATTCGTGGGGTGGGTGGGCATTTGCCAGGTTTAGCGAAGCCTTTTAGTAAGTCATAAACCCTCAACCCTACAACCATAAACAGGTCAACCCCTAAACCCTAAACCCTAAACCCCTAAACCCTAAACCCCTAAAGCCCGTAAACCCCTAAGCCCCTAAAGCCCGTAAACCCCTGAACTCCTGAACCCCTAAGCCCTGGCAGTACCTTTCTGAATCCCTTCAAAGTTTGCGGGACCCTAAACCCTAAACCTTAAAACCCTAAACCTTAAAACCCTAAGACCTAAACCCTAAACCCTAACTTCTAAACCCTAAACCCTAAACCCTAACTTCTAAACCCTAAACCGTAAAACCCTAAACCCTATAGATCCCTTGTGGATCCCTTTAAAGGAACCCCTATAAAACCCTAAACCCCTCACTTTCTCTTTATTGCGCTTGACCTCTTGGCCCTGGCGAAGCAGGAGCAGCTCCAGGGGCAGCCAGGGCGCCTGTGCCATGCAGCTGGGTTTTTGGGCTCCTTAAAGGGATCTATAGGAGTTCCTTTAAAGGGATCCTTAAAGGGATCTATGGGCTCCTTTAAAGGGATCCATAAGAGGTCTATAGGGGTTCCTTTAAAGGGTTCCTTAGAGGGATCTATAGGGGTTCCTTTAAAGGGATCTATAAGAGATCTATAGGGCCTAGGGTTTAGGGTTTAAGGGGTTTAGGGTTTAGGGGTTTAGGGGTTTAGGGTTTAGGGTTTAGGGGTTTAGGGTTGTAGGGTTACGGTTTAGGTGTAAGGGTCTTCCAAACATTGGGTTGAGGATTTACGGCATTAGGGGTTTGGGGCTTTAAAGGTTAAAGGCTTTAGGGGTTCAGGGCTTAGGGCGTAGGGGGGATTGACGGCTTGAGGGGACTCGGGCTTCAGGGGTCTGCGGTTGTAGGGGTTTAGAGATTAAGGGTTGAGGGTTTAGTGCAGTAGGGTTTGGGCTTATAGGGTGTAGGGGTTGAGGGCTTAGGGCTTAAGGGCTTAGGGCCTAACGGTTTACCGCTTGGGGCATAAGGGGCCCAGTAAGGGATCCATACGGGTCCCAGGAAATCAGTTTGTCGGGTCTAGGGCTTAAGGGTTTGGCCATACTTAACGGATCATGGGACTTAGTAAGTAGGTTATAATTGGGGTTATAAGTCCCCTAAGTGGGGTTATCCTAATTATAACCTACTTCTAACCTTACTTACTAAGTCCCATGAGCCTTTAAGTAGGGGTTTTGGGGCTTTAGGGGTGTAGCGCGTAGGGCTTAGGGGTTTAAGGCTTAAGGGGTCCAGGGTTGCAAGGCTTAGGGCTTTAGGGTTTGAGGGCTTAGGGTTTAAGGGTTTAGGGTTTAAGGGTTCAGGGTTTAAGGGTTTAGTTTAGGGTTTGAGGGCTTAGGGTTTAGGGGCTCAGGATTATAGGGCTTTCCGGCTTTAGGGCTGTAGGGCTCAAGGGGTTTAGGGTGTAGGTTGGAGGGCTTAAGGGTTAGAGGGCTTTAGGTGTTTGGGGTTTGGGGTTTAGGGCTTCAGGGTTTGGGGCTGTGGGGCTTTAGGGCTAGGCTATAATTAGGGATTGAGGGATTTAGGGGCTTCGGGTACAGGGCTTTAGGGCTTTCGGTGTCCAGGGTTACGGGGCATTCGGGGTTTAGGGTTGGGGCTTTAGGGTTTAAGGGGTGCAAGGTCGTAACGGGTCGAGGGTGCAGGGTTACGGGGCTGAAGGGGTCTCGGGTTATGGCGTTTAGGGGCTTAGGATTTCGGGTTTAGAGTTTCGACTTCAGGGTTGTCGGTTTGATCGGGTTTGGGGTTTTCGGTGTTTCAGGTTTCAAGTACAGTATACCTCGACCCTCAACAACCGAAATGTTCAGGGCTCCTGATTTACGATTTCCCGAACCCTGAAACCCCAGGTCCGAATCTCTTCCTGCGTAGAGCAGCAATACGACGGATGGGCTACGTGCGACCGTGATCATCGAAAGAACGACATTTACAGCACGGACTTGAGGTTGGCGGAGTGCACGCTTTAGAAGCTATGTCAAAGTTTTGAAACCCTCAACCCTAAACCCAAACTTCGGGTTAGTTCCACCTCCATGCTCAGCTCAACCCGCATTTCGACCGTCGCTGCAGACACGGCTACGGCCACAGAGGCAGCTGAGAAGTCCTGCCCGGCTGAGGATCCACAGGGTTTAGCGTTTAGAGCATAGGACTTTGGTTTTAGGAGTTGGTTCTAAAGCTTAGGAATAAGGGCTTCTTCAGAGTAGCACGGGAGAAGCATTGGCTCAAGCAGCTACAAAGGGGGTCGTCGGGGCTGAAGGCTATCTTTCTGCTACTGCTATAGCTTAAAGCGACACTGAAACCATATGGGGGCTCAGACAATTCTGAAAGACGAGCATTGCAAATCATGGAGGCTCCTAAGCTACCAAAGACCAAACCCTGCAAGCCCTAAAACGGAGTCGTAACGCCATACTATATACGTCTAACCCCCCAAGCCTCAAACAAGTAGGCTCTGACACCTCTGCGTTTTGAAACCCGAAACCCCCAGACCCTAATGCCAAACCTGCAGCCCACATCATGGGTTCCTTAAAGGAATCGATGGGGTTTAGGGTTTAGGGTCTGCTTGGAGGGGCAGTGGACTTGGTAAGTCGTTTATCCGTAGGGTTATAATTAGTGTATCTCCATTTAGGGTACTTATAACTCTACTGATAACCTACTGGCCAAGTCCCCTGCCCCTCCAAGTAGCCCTAACTTTAAACCCTATATACGCACATGGTTTAGGGGTTTAGGGTTTCGGGTGAAACTAATCCCAAAACCCTGATCCCAAAACCCCAACCCCTTAATCCCTCAACCCAAAACCCTAATCCAAAAACCCTAACCCTAAAACCCTAATCCCAAAAACCCTGATCCCAGAATCCCTCAACCCAATACCTCTCACCCCAGACCTTCGAAAGGATCTAGAAAGTAGATCCCCTAATTTGGGGCCCTATACTACTAAGGGTACTTTATAGGAACCCCCTTTAAGGGATCTACGTTTTGGATCCTCCCAGGGGTCTGGGCCCAGAGCCGATCCTGGCCAGGCAGCGTGGCGGAGAGCTGTCTCAGGGCCGCCGTGTCCGCCGGCTGCTCGGCGAGCGCCTTCTCCAGAGCCAGGGCGTTTAAAACAGGCTTTTTTTAGGGGGTTCCTTTAAGGGATACTATAAGGGTTCCTACAAAGGGATACTATAAGGTTGCTATGAGGGATACGATAAGGGATACTTTAAGGTTAAGAGGTGTTGGGAAGTATCCTTCCGAGGACGCCCTAAGCAAGGGACCTTAATACTTAGAATAGGGTTTTGGGGTATGGTATACTATAACTGTTCGTTTAGGCTCCTACATTGGGGAATCATCGTTCTTAGGATGGGGGGCTTTATAGTGAAGATACTATACGAGTTCCGTTCCAGGGTTTAGTTTAGGAGTTTAGGACTTGGGTTTAGGGGTTCAAGGTGTGTGATTTTGGATTCGAGCGTCCTGATCAGTTTTGTTCCCTCGTCGTGTGGTCTGCAGTCGACGAGGAGCGCCTCAAAGTAGCCGGCCCCTAAACCCTAAACCCTACAGACGAAACCCTAAGCCCCTAAACCCTAAATCCTACACCCTAAACCCTGTACCCTAACCCTAAACCATCCTAAACCCCGAACTTGCCGGCCACAGAATCGCTCTTTCTGGCGCCTTTGTCCTTGGCATCGTAGGACGGTAGTGACTTTGCCTTGCTAAAGCTACCCAGAGACTCCAACATCCCTTATTTAAGGAATATGCGTTAACTCATATTAGGGATCCTACTATAACTTAAGGTATCTTCCTGAATTAATTAAATAATGTTGAGATCCTACTATAATTTAAGGTACATAAGGCATATTTACTCCTTATTCAAGGAATATTGGAGTCTCTGGGAACCCCAAACCCTATAGATCCCTTGAACGAGCCCTTCAGGATCCCTTTACAGGAACCCCTAGCTATTCCTTATTGAAGGGATAAAGGAGTCTCTGGGACCAAACCCTAAACCCCTAAACCCTAAACCCCTAAATCCTAAACTCCCCCCAGAGCCGAGTCTCTGGCTAGCTGAGTGGATGTAGCCCCCAGGCTTCCGCTCGAAGTACCGGTTTAGGGCTGTAGGGTTTTAGGGGGTAATTTAGGGTTTAGAGTTTAGGGTTTTAGGGGGTAATTTAGGGTTTAGAGTTTAGGGTTTTAGGGGGTAGAATGGGTTTAGAGTTTAAGGTTTTAGGGGGTAATTTAGGGTTGGTGGTTTTAGGGGTTTTAGGGCGGTTTCAAGGGTTTTAGGGTTTAGGGCCAGCTTCAAGGATGATTCTGATCCAACTGGAGTCCGGTGCTTAGGGAGTTCTTTTCAAACTCTGTTCCCCAAGGACTGTGGTAAATCCTAAACCCTAAACCCTAAGCACTGTGGTACACGATGTGGGGCTCTTACTCAGTAGGCTGAAAATGTGACTAAGTTTCTTAGGTCATGTGTTGCGCCAGTCAGTCGCCGCCTGCCAGGAAACATGCACTGGTTGGCACTTCTGACTACGACCTCTGCAAGCTTGTTTGGCTAAAGTCCTAAGGCCTACCTTAGCCTTACCTTTGGTCAGTAGGGAATGGAGGAATGGGGTACAAGTACAACTACTACCACTACTACTACCACTACTACTACTACTACTACTACTACTACTACTACTACTACTACTACTACTACTACTACTACAACTACTACTACTACTACTACTACTACTACTACTACTACTACTACTACTACTACTACTACTACTACTACTACCGTTCTTCCATTCCCTACTAACCAAAGGTAAGTAGCCCCAAACCCGAAACCATGGGGGATTCTTTAGTTCCGGGTGTAGACTCGCAGGTTTGGCAGGGTTCGGGCTCGATCTGGACATGGAACGCACCTCTGAAGTTCCTAGCTTAGGTTTTAAAGTCTGCGTGGGAGTTTCCGAAAATCGGGGAAGGACCCAAACAAACAGCCGTAAATAGTAGGAAGGACCCCAAAGTAAGGTACCCCTAACTTTGGGAAACTCCCGTGTAGGGCTTGAGGATTCAAGGTTTGGAGTTTACGGCTTTTGGGCCTAGGACCTCACGTTGGGAGTCCTTGGCGGCCTAGGACTCCCAAGGTGAAGGACCGGACCGGCGTGGTCCTTGTTAGGGTTTAGGGTTTAGGGGTTTAGGGTTTAGGGGTTTCGGGGTTTAGGGATTTGGGGATCCTTTGCAGTGTATCGAATGGCCGCTCTAGCCCATCGAACCTGCCTTCTTCCTTACAATGGTAGCCATACCTTAAGCTGCCATAACTCCAGAACCTACTTGTTTGTGGCTTGTAATTATGAACGCTAATATCGGATTTCTCCGGACCCCACAGCAAAGTAGGTTAGGGCAGGTCAAGGTACACCCGAAACCCTAGACCCTTACTCACCCGAAACCCTAGACCCTTACTAACCACCCTAACCACCAAAACCCAAACCCGCAATCCCTAAACCATAATCCCAACCCTAACCCCTAACCCCTACAAACCCTAAACCTCAGACTGAAAAACCCAAATCCTGAATCCCAAATCCTTAACCCTCTTGGAGCCAGAGCCCAGCGAGCCTCCGCCAAATGTGTCGCGAACTCCTGGCTCTGGGGCGATCGACGCAAAAGCCCTGAACCCTCAATCTTAAACCCTGAACCCCCAAAAGCATGGTTTGAATGGTCTGATTGGGTCGAATTCCACAATGGTAGTATCTTTGGACTCTCTGGGTCATCAAAGCCTTAATAAGTACCGATATATTCCTCAGGGTTTCGATTTTCTCATACATATATGTATACACACACATGTGTATACGTATATATGCAGAGTGCAATCAAAAATACACCAAAAACCTATTCTCATTATTAAAGCCGCTACATTAAACCCTGCACATGCATGCCTCAGGCCATTTCAGGGTTCGAGGGTTTAGGTAATATGAGAGCGTGGGTTAGCGTCAAGGGCTTTTGGGTTTGAGGCACTAGCTTGTGAATCAATTTGTCTATTGCAGGCCCTTAGTGAGGAAACACTCGGCCCCTAAGACACCTTTAGTAGTCCGGCGTGACAGCTGCCGTGCTTGCGGCTTAGCTAACCCCACACATGTGAACGGAAACATCGAACCTGCCTGTTAAGTAACCCAAACCCCACTTCTGAAACCCTACACCCTAAATACTAAGCCTGATTCCCAAAGCCCTAAACCCTAATCCCTAAACCCTAAACCCAACCTAAAAGGGCAGCCCTGAACACTTTGGGCCTGCAAGGAAGTCGCCCCAGCGCTGGGACACGACTGCGCGGAGCTTTGCATCCTGGGGTGAAAGGGCCAATCCAACATAGGGTCCTTATTACTTGCAATAGAGCTTGAAGTTAGATTATGCTTTAAATAAATAGAACTAGGAAGCCTGAGGAATAAGATGGGAAGCTATATAGGCCCATGTACTAACTCGAGAACAGAGACAGGCGAGGAGCACAAGGCGAAGGGCTTATGGTTCAGGGTTTAGGCTTTGACCTGCTGTTTGGTAGGATTTTAAGGTTTAGGGGCTAAGTCCCATGATCGTTTAAGTATACTCTCCGACCTTTTGGTCTACAGCTCGGGGCTTAGGGTCTGACGCAGAGGGACTAGTGCCCCAGATCCCCAAACCCCCCAACCCCAACCCCAATCCCAACCCCTATCCCAATCCCAACCTGGACCCTAAATCCTAAAGCCTTGAACCCCAACAACCCCACAGTTGCCCCATTGCATGTATGTGGAGTCGAGTGTCATGAGCACCACGTGCAGCTTGAGCAGTGGACAGCTGACCGACACCTCCGTCGGAGGACCATGCTTTTACTTTAGGGTTCAGGGCTAAGGGCTTTAAAATTCTTAGATTGCTTAGCCCTAAACCCCAAACCCAGGGGTTCAGACGACGCCTTTAAGGGCCGCGGGCGTGAGGTTGACACCGTGTAGTGTGTAGCGATGCTGAACATCTCCAGAAAAAATGAACTAACCGCTAAGAACCCTAAATCCTAAACCCTTAACCCTAAGACCTCTTGATGCGTCTTACTTGGGTGGGAGAGTCGGACAAAAACTCGAACAGCTGCCGTTGAGCGACGGTCGCCAGGCGCGCAGCGCGGACACTAAAACTGCGAAGAGCTCCTGAGGGTTTAGGGTTTAGGGTCGAGGGTTTAGGGTTGAGGGTTTAGGGCTCTTGTTACGGATTCAATGTAAGTTACCATCATAGGGATGTATGGTTCCATTTGATGGGAACTTACACTAAGTTCTTCAACAAGAACCCTGTCTTGGGAATCAGAGCCCGAAGGCGTAGGGTTTAGTTTAGGGCTTCCGGATTAAGGCTCTGAGAGATAAGAAGGTTTCGACGTTTGTGGGTGCAGGTTGAGGGATGACGTTAGAGAGGTAGGCTTCCGGGGATGAGGGTTCGGAGAATGAGGGATCTAAGGCTTCGGACCGCGTAGGGATGGAGCTTTAGGTTCTATGGCCTAGAGCTTAGAGTTTAGGCCTTGGTGGTTCCTTGGGCTTGGAGCTTGGGTTTGCGGTTTGGGCGCTCCAAGATTAATGATTAAAGTTCAGCATCGCGTGGCTTTGGCATCAGGCCTTGATATAAGCCCATAGCCCCCCATCTAACCCTAAACCCTTAAGTCGATAAGCAACATGGCAAGCTCGGGTTTTTACGGCCAGCAGGGTGTTTGACACCAAGCGCGCACCAACGGTTCTTGGTTCGGCCGTCCTGTCAACCAGATTTCTCATAAGTTTTGCGTCGCCGGCACCATGCGCGCCTCGCCGAAATGAAATGAAGCCGGTGGCGCGGAAGGCAGTACAGCCATCGGGGCAAGCGGCCTTACGCACACCAGCGCCACTTCGTCCCCTCCAGATCCTGCCAGAGTGTCACCAGCCTCGAGGTTTCAGTACAGGGCTGTAAGGCTGGGTATTTTAGGGATCTAAGTATATACCAGAATGATGCTTGGACTGCTTGGACCCTTTGGGATTGGGGATCCTTCTATACTTTAAAAGGAATATTCCTTAATTGCCACCTGTAGTTGCACAGCTGAGGCTTGATGTCTTATGGCTGAATTTTGCTTTGCGGTTGAATTTTGCTTTCGGCTCTCTGCTGATTTCATTGGGCGAAAGCGAGAAGCCTGCAGTCTGGAAACAAGGGCTCCCATTAGAGACTCCAATATCCCTTAATTAAGGAATACACCTGAAATTATGTAGTAGGATCTCTAATGCTATTTAATGAATTACGGAATACACCTTAAATTATAGTAGGATCCCTAATATGATTTACGGAATATGACTTAATGAAGGGGATATTGGAGTCTCTGGGCCCACCACGGTAATGAGAAGCCATGGCAGAGCTCATTTTGTAAGGAATAAAGCGTTGAAAGGCTCGGGGCTTAGGGTTTAAGGCTTTAAGGCTTCGGGCCTAGGCTTATAGGGCTTGGGATTTAAGGCTTTAAGGCTTCGGGCTCGGGGCTTAGGGTGCAAGGTTTTAAAGCTTCGGGCCTGGGCTTATACGGCTTGGGGTTTAAGGCTGTAAGGCTTCCGGCTTAGGCTCGGGGCTTAGGGTGTAAGGCTTTAAGGCTTTAAGGCCTAGGCTTATAGGGCTTAGGGCTTAGGGTTTTTAGTGCAGGGAGAAATCTTTAGGTGGTGTGGTGTTAGATTGAGGATTCTATGGCCTCAAGGGATATAAGGGATATAAGGGAGATCAAGGATATACAGGACTTATAATAAAGGATATAAAGCATGTAAAGGAAATAAGAGATATGAGAGATGTAAGAGAGATAAGGGATATGAGGGATCAAGGGTTTTAAGACCCGGTCGTAGACCCCTATGAACCCCAAGCCTAAAACAAACACTGTAGGGAGCTCCTGTGCTGAAGAAGCGATCTTCCCCCAGGCCGTCGAAAGTCAGCGGCACCTGCACTGGTCACAGGCGTAGGGCTTAGTTAGTATTGCAGATTAGGGTCCCGTTGAAGGATTCCTGTGCAATTCTGTAAGTCTGGTCCATGGTTGGGATAGTCTTAGAAAAAAGTAAAGTGCCCATAAACATATGAAATTTTACCCAACCATGACAAAGCTGCGTTATGATGGGTCAGGATTCTATGGGTTTTCACAGGTTTAGAGTTTAGGGTTTGAAAGGGCTCGGGGTTTGGAGTTTTGGGGCAGGGGTTTGAGGATTTTGGGTATCCGGATTAGGGGTTTGGAGTTCAGGGTATGAGGTCGAGGGTTTAGGACTTTGGTGTTCAAGCCCTCGTGCTTCAGTTCACTATCTTCTTGCATGGATTTGCGTTCGTAGCTGGTGGGAGCGGGGAGTTTAGGGATTTGGGCCTTAGGGCTTCGCATACTTTGCAACGAAGATCCAAGTGCGAGCACGGATATGCTTGGGCCGGCTTTCTTGACGATGCAAGTCTGTCACTGTACAAGCTGACACTACACCCTAAGCCACTAAACTCTAAACCCTAAACCCTAAACCCTAAACGACTAAACCCGTAACCCTTAGCCTTAACCCTTACCGGAACCCTTGGGCCTCCTAAACCCTGAACCTTTTTTGGGAACCTTCAAAGCGGCGTCTTCAGTGAACCGGGAAACCCTTGTAGCCCCCAACCCCTAAACCCGCAATCTTTCAAGGAAACTAAGCCCTCAACCCTCAACAAAAGCCTTAAACAACCCATCAACCCTAAACCCTCACTGGAATCCAACGCCACTAAGTCACCAAACGCTGAATGGACCCCTAAACCATGATCTCTTAAGGCTCCGTAAACCCTAAACCCCGAACCCCTGAGCGAACTCCCTGAAAGCTCCCTAAAGCAAGCTTTAACAAACAATGAATGGCACCCGACCCTTCAAGCCCCTACCCCGACCCCCTCGGGAGGATCCCAAAAGTAAAGTTTCTTCACCGTTTTCCTATGAAGCAAGGGGTCGGGATCCCGCATGGCAAGGCAGCCTCGGGGTAACCGAAATGAGTGTGGGCAACAGAAGTCTCTAGAAACAAGCTACATCAAACCCTAAACCCTAAACCCTAAAACCCTAAACCCTGACATCAGCAACAGTCAGTGATGTCGACAAGCTCACCGTCTCGCAAGTCCATCACGGTGAGTTCTACGGTTGATGTCATAAATCCTGCATTACCTTAATGACCCTACACTATGGGATTTATGGTATACTCCCTATTATGGGTAATGCAGGATTTATATCATCAACCGTAGCTGGTCGTGGGGCGGCAGCATGTCTGGATGCATGTACTGCCATCCTGGAAGGCTGGAAGGCGGCCGACGAACAATCCATAGGTGGTAAACTCAGGGAGCACACTCAAGAGAGTGGTCAAAAACTTTGCTGCGCCAGCTGCTTTTGCATTTGTGGCCGGGACTGCCGCGAACTCTTGCAAGAGCTCCTGCTTTGAAAACGTCACTGGTGCATCCTCGGGACGCAGGCCTAAGCATGCCGAAAAACCGCTGTACCACCACGGGCGACCTCTCCCGGAGCTCCCCGAAGTCCAGCATGTCCCTCACAAAACCTGCAATGAAAGTGGAACCCATGCTCTCGAAATCCTGAGAGCCTCTTTCGAAGCAAATCGCGGAATCTTTCAGCCCGGTACGGGTGCTTCCCGCGCCCACGCCGACACTGAGTCCCAGCGCTGGTGCTAAATCATAAAGCTTTAGGGTTTAGGACGAGGGTTTTGTGCTAAATCAGAAAGCTTTAGGGTTTAGGACTAAGGTTTTGCGCTAAATCCTAAAGCTTTAGGGTTTAGGACTGGGGTTTTGTGCTACATCCACAAGTCCAAGCAGAAACTTCTGTTGTAGAAGAGGGTCCCAGAGTAAGCAGACCCTTCTGGACGTCTAGGAAACTCACAAGCTCCCTAAACCCTAAACGCCGAACCCTTAAGGGGAACCCCAGAAACCACAACGGAAAGCGTCAAGCGATTAAAGCCCTCCACTCCCGTGCTTCCGGCCTGAAGCCCTGAATACAAGCAACCCCTAAACCCTAAACCCTGAACAACACTAAAGCCCCAAACCCTGAAGACCTGAACCCTCAATCCTAAAGCCTAAACCCCCCCCCAAACCTAAAACAAACCGTAAGGCCTCCCCAAACTCCTAGCGGAAACCTTTAAGCCGTTACCTTCCCCCTGAAACCCTAAACCCTAAACCCCCAAACCCCTAAAACCCGAAAACCCTAAACCCCGAAACCCTAAACCCCTAAACCCTAAACCCCTAAACCCCTAAACCCCGAAACCCTAAACCCTGAACTCTAAACCCTAAACCCTAGGCCCTATTGATCTCTTATAGATCCCTTTAAAGGAACCCCTATAGATCCCTCTAAGGAACCCTTTAAAGGAACCCCGAAACCCTAAGCTCCCGGCCTGCCCTATGCGGACCTCCGCATCCGCCGAGGAGACAACGGCTTTGAGGATCCTGCGCTCCGTTTCCGGGTTTACAGGGCTCCTTAAAGGGATCTAGAGGGTTCCCTTAAAGGGATCTATGGGGTTTAGGGTCTAGGGTCTACTTGGAGGGGCCGGGGACTTAGTAAATAGGTTTAATTGGGGTAACTCCAGTTAGAGTACTTATAACTCTGCTTATAATCTACTTACTAAGTCCCCTGCCCCTCCAAGTACGGTATGGGGTTTTTTAGGGCTTTACGTACGGTTTTGGAGGTTAGGGTTTCATCAGGTTTAGAATGTAGGGCTTTAGGATTTTAGGGGTTAGGGCTTAATCAAGTTTAGGGTGTCAGGCCTAGGCTTTAGGGTTAAGAGTGCAGGGCTTCAAAGGCTTGAAGGTTAAACCCTAAACACTAAACCCTGAGCTAAAGGCACGGTTCAGGGTCTAAGGATTACCGGGTTCTAGAGTAAATTCCATGCAGTTGGAAACCGCATTAAGGCCGAATGGTGCTGGGATTCCCTACACCTTACTCTTAAGGATTGAAGCTATTGGGTTTCCAACTTTTGGGATTCTGCTGTAAGGGGGTTCAAGACCCCTCCATTCTCTCGGTTCGAGCTTCAGCCTTGCACCTTTCAAGCTTGTGTTTGGCTTTTAGGGTCTCAGGGTTTTCGGTTTCAGGGATTTAGGGTCTAGAGATTTAGGGCATTCAAGGCGGGCGCCGGGGGAGGAGTGTGCTTAACTTCTGACATGAAAGAGAGTTCGGCAAGCCGCGGCTGCAGCTTCTCCGAGACCGCATTCGACAAGCTTGTCACCAACTTCTCAAATGCTCCGGAACTGTTGGGTGAAACCCCCATGATGTCTTTCAGACTTTCCCCGACAGCCATGTCACAGACCTGCATCGACGGTCCAAGAAGTGGCAGGATAGGTGGCGGCAACGGAGGAAATTGATGCGAAACCGCACGTCGCTTCGCATCTTGTTGCGGACGTGCCGCGGTTCCTCGCTTTGGCCGAGACTTGGGCGCTGTCGGTTCCGGCAGCGCTGGAGCTGGGCTCTCGTCGTCTCCATCAACTTCCACAACAGGCATTTTTGCTTTTGGTGCTGAAGGATTGAGGCTATTGGGTTTCCAACTTTTGCGATTTTGCTGTAAGGGGGTTCTTTACTCTGAAGGATTGAGGCTATTGGGTTTCCAGCTTTTGGCATTCTGCTGTAAGGGGGTTCAAGACCCCTCCATTCTCTCGATTCGAGCTTCAGCCTTGCACCTTTCAAGCTTGTGTTTGGCTTTTGGGGTCTCAGGGTTTTCGGTTTCAGGGATTTAGGGTCTAGAGATTTAGGTGCTGAATCACAGGCGCCGCGTAAACTTGAGATCGTCTCAATGGTCCGAGTTGACGGGTCTAGGGTTCTCGTCGTCAAGCTTATTTAGGCTTCTGCAGGATTCGGGCTTAGAAGGGTTCTACAAAAGGAGTCATCAAAGTTGTGTGGGGCTTAATGCAAGTAAGCATGATTGAAAACACCAGTTGCTTCTTCAAGGGTCTTAAGATCAGCATTCCTAGCAAAACCTGTGCTTACTCGCCAGGGCTCTTCACGATGGGGTTTCTTCGACTCATGGCGTCATGGCTTGGGATGTAGACTCAGTGTTTGGGGTTGGGAGTTCAGGGTTTCGGGATTCACGGCGCAGGGTGTGGTCGCTTGACACTTGCGGTTACCTGCCAGCCCTTCTGATTGAATCTCTGAACCACCCCCCCCCCAGTCCGAATCCTTGCACATAACTTCCAAATTTTTCAAGTCTCAAATAACCAAGCCTTCTTATGAGCAACTCTAGACCTTAGGTACTGCCCCTAATAGTCTATAGTAGGACTACTATTAAGGTCCAAATATATCTATACTATGAATATTATTCAACTATTACTGAGTTGAGGCTGTACCCAATCTAGACCTGATAGCACGGGCTTGACATGCCATCCCCAAAAACTTTTTGACTGACCTCCTCCATAACAGCTGTCATAGCTTGCTAAACAAAGAGGCTACTGCGGGTACCTTGCCCCAAGATTGAGGCTTCTAGCTTCGAGGCCCTATCCCAACATCTCAATTAGTTCATCTTTGGGATGGGATTAAAACATGGACATTTTTCCTTATTGGGTTTAAGTAACCCATAAAAACCTAAAATGTTACCCAACTATGACAAAGTCAAGCCCCAATCCGCAACCCCGAAACTGTCACGTCGGAAGCAGCCCCGACGATCTGGATAGCATGGCTGCCGCCCGCCTGACGTGGCAGCCCCGGTTTAGGGTTTAGGGTTTGGGGTCTAGGGTTTAGGGTTTAGGGGGCCAGGATTTGGTTCAGACTCTAGAAATAGCCCGAATGCTCCAGTCACCTAAACCAACGGCTTGGGTTGCAGAACCTGAGACTATGACTAGGAGCCTAGTGCTCAGGTAACGGGATCCCCAAGATTGAGGGAGTGTGGAATCACTCAGAGTTGGAATGCTACAGGGGTAGGATTTTGGGGTAGTTTATGCTATAACTCTAATAAGGAATCCCCCAAAGAGTATAGGGAAGTAAATATTTAGGCAGCTATATTGAGGGGTTTGAGGTTCAGGATTCCCTGCTTGCGGCGGAGCTCCGGGGTCTTGCTTATGTGCGCTCTTAGGGTTTAGGGTTTAAGGCTTAGGGTTTAAGCTGTGAAGCATCAGAACATCGAAACTGCAACTCCTGGAAAGCCCAGAGCCGAGATTACAAGCATGGAAGCTGCACGATACCGCGACCACGATGAATGTGGTTTCTGTTCACCATGGTGAATGGTACCTGGTACCACCACCGGCACTTGTTGACAAATGTACCTGTTCGTGTGGTTCTTACTGCTGGCATTGCAGCCGCTTTTGTCGCTTCAGCCTGCCTGCGATAGCGGCGAAAGCATTGCAGCTGCTTAAAATTGACTTTGCTCCTGGTTTATGTACATGTGTATATATCTATATCTGTATACATATATTTCATGTTTACTTATGTATGTATGTATGTATGTATGGGTAGATGTATGTATGATGTGTGTATATATATATATATATACATATGTAAACATGTATAAATGTCTGCATGAAAGTTACAAGGCACAATTGTTGATTTTGCCGTTGCTGCCAGTGTCGCATGAAGAGTGGGCAGGCTGTATGCTTTGCTGCTACTGCCTAAAGGATCATGGGACTTAGTAGCTGGGGTTATTAGTTACAGTTTAGAAGCTGCCCCCACCCTGTCATGGTGGTATAATAGGAATATACTAGGGCCCTAATATAATCCTTATAGTCACTATTACAGGGTGGGGGCAGCTTCTAAGTTACAATTCCCTTACTAAGTCCATGATCCTTTTATGGACCCTCGTAAACCCTTATAGTACCCCTATAGATCCCTTCAAGGGACCCCTCTAACCCTAACTTACTTACTTACTTAGTCCCATGATCCTCCAAGTACTGCTCGACTCTTGCCGGGTGGAAGTTTGAGACCACGCAGGCTGAGGCCAGGACCGGAGGAAGCAGGTACTCGCCCTCCACAACAGTTGTTACGCCTTCACCTGCTGGGCTGTAACTTCAAATCCCATGGCGACATAGAATAAAACGAGCTATGCAGCTGTGTGGTGCTGCCTTCTTGCCAGCCTTCGAGGCAGAAGCTCTGAGACGTAGGGGCGGTGCAGTACGGATACCCGTGGCACAACATCTTGCAAGTACAATCTCAAAGCTCTAGTCCGGTGGTATCGTTCTTTCTAGCAGAGACTCAACCTGTCGTCAGTTTAAAGCGCCGTCAGTAAATAGCATAAAATGAATTCTCCTCACTCCTCTGTACGAGATAATACAGGGTTCGTTGGATTGGTGAATAACGACCGAGCTGCGCAAATCACGTGATCGGCTTGGACAATGCAGGAACACCACTAGCTCTTCCCCCACGGCCCCCACAGCCGCAGCAACCGTGGAACAGTCATCCAAAACAGGATGTCTGAAATCCAAACCTAAAAATACACGCATAACTGTATAACAAACCTGGGAAACTGAGTTTCCTTGCCCGGGATCCTATCTTTGGGGTACTTGGAGCCCGGCCCGGCGTGCTTAGTTCTTAGCCGGCCTCCTACAACTAGACCCAAGAGCAACCTAGGAACAAAAAGGCTGCCCTTTTTGGTTTAAAGGGGCCTAGAAGGGAACCTGGACCCCTAAACAAGGGAATAAGGGCCTACTCTGGGTCCTAGTACAATAGAACAGTTACTGAGCATTTTGGTGAGTGTTCGACTATACAAAGTACTCGTCAGTGGACTCTAGAGTAAGATGCGCTTGGCTTTCCGCTTTTCGGGCGTCTGGTTGAACTTCACTATACATGCCTCAGCAATTAGACTAGGGTTCTGGGGTAGTTGTTCGCGTTTGGATTCTGGGATCTAGGGCATGGAGTGGCTGGTAGGCGCGGATGCTCTGCAAATACTATAGCTGGCAAGCCCGGTTCGTGGACAGGGCCCTCAGTAGCATTTGCAGCTTACCGCGTCGGTCTGGGAATACTTTCAACCTTAAACTCCGCAAGACACAAACCCGTAGACTTTAGACCATATCCTTCGGTTTGGCATTGAGGTTTCAGGGCATTTGAACACCCCTCAACCTCTATAAGACTCTAAACACCCCCTACTTGGGCCGCGACGGATGTGGATCTCGGAAGGGAGAACTTGGCCGGAAAGCCAGCAAGTGTCGGCACCTGCGATTTTTGTTTCAGCGAACCCAACGCCGCTCGATAAGAGAAGATTTCCCACAAAATTGGGGGGGGGTTCTATAGGAGACTGAAGTATCGGATAAACTCCTTAAACTACTTGGGGCTTGTTGTAGGAATCTAAGATATCGCTGAATCGAGGTGTCTTCATCTTTTGACAGGTTTCTATGCTCTACGTACACTAGGGCAGGGAACTCCTAACTATTGAAGGCCGTTGTCATGACTCTTAACCTGGAAACAGATGTCCCTTCTCCCTTGTTGAGAATAGGCTCGCGGGCTCAACGGGGAGCATTTGGGAGCTTCCGAAAATTGGGGATACCTTATTTGGGGTCCTTATAAAAAGGATCCTACTATTTAGGGTACTATATTAGGGTCCCCTATTTTCGGAAACACCCATTTCGGGCAGTGTAGACTCCAATTTTCACAACATTCTCAACTAGAGTAACTAGAGGATTCGTAAGGCGTTTAGGCCTTTGATACCGACATGCGAGATCGATAAGGCTGCCGTCCTGTTATCAGTCTCAATGCTCCGCTTCTTAGGAGAAAAACAGAATCCATCCGGGAGCTGTAGGCATCTGGGACACGGCATGGTTCAGGCTTTAGGGTCCAGGTCCATGTGGTCCAGCCCCCATGGCATACGCCTTGCCCGTGCCGGAGCTTGAGGACAGGCTAATGTCCTTGAAGCGCATGTCATGGCAGCTCATTCCAGTGCCGGCAAGTCTCTCCTATGTGCACCTCATCCACAGATAAAAGGTGGTTTCCCGGCCTTCTCCTGCAAGGCTTCATTGCCAACCGAGCTGGGGCACAGCTCCCCTGTCACGTCGGAGAGGGTCAGCACCAGTTGGATTCGACTCCACCCTGCATTTGGGGAACAATGACTAGCAGGCTTGGCAAGGCTGACACGGAAGTGTGCAGTGGTCTGTATATAGCTATATTAGGATTGATACCCTGGCCTGGACAAGATTACAAACTGAGCTGTACCCAAGTAGAACCGCGCAGCTTGAAAACCCCAAACCCTGGCTGAACTGCTAAACCCTGAGACCCTGAACCCTAAAGTCCTAAACTCTCAAAGCCTAAACCCCTAAATCCTGAGACCCTGAATCCCTAAGTCCTAAAATCTTAAACCCTAAACCCTCAAGTCCTAAACTCTTAGACCGAAGACCCTAAACCCTAAACCCTAAATGAACCCTCGGCCTGGCAGAGGTGCGACGAAGCGTCCCTGGAGCGAAGGCGGCGTCAAAGACACCGATGCCAAGTCCACGGACACGTCCACGCAACTGGGCCTTGAAGATCAAAAGGTCTTAAGTTTATATAAAAACAGAAATATAAAATTATAAAACATATAAATACATATATACCTGTTATATGAATGTATTTGTATTACATATATCTATTATGAAGGTCGAAAATACGGGCTTAGGGTTTACGTTTTAGGGTTTAGGGTCCAGGGTTCAGGTTTGGGGTTTAGGGTTGGGGTCGAGGGATGGGGTCTTGAATTTTGGGGGCCTTTATAAGGGGTCTTACGAATTGAATTCAGGGTCCTTTAAGGGTTCTGTTAAAGGGTGCCAGAAGGGTTTCTCTCAGGTTTACTATCAGGGTGTGATACGGAGGCCTGATTCTGGTGGCCTAAATCATGAGAAGAGGGTTTTGGGGCCCATTACAAATTCAACCACCATAAGGAACCCCCAAAACTAGTGTAGGTAATGATTAAGGCCACTATAGTAACACTTCGGATCGTGGCCTTTGGGGATGTTAAAGTCTACTTATAATAGGAACACGAAGGAAAGGCAGTATTACTTATGATCTTGTGGTTCTAGGCTTTCGGGTCTGAAGCTTAAGCTTTAGGATTTGCCGCCAACATGGAGACCGCGAGCCTGGCGGCAATCGGCTATAATACACAGGTGCATGGCCGCGGCCTGTGAAACGCCGGCACGCGGACGCAAGACACAAAAGATCTAGCCGTTCGCGTCTCGGCAGCTGAATTCTCGTCCTCACCAGCTGAGCTTCAATTTCAGCACCGCATATTGCCCATTCTTGTCGCTTTGGTCGACGCAGAGACCACGAGCTGCGAGCTCCTCTGTCATCATCTTCACCAAATCCGGCGACCCCAACTGCAGCAAGCCATCTGGAAGATAGCCAATCTCCATTCTGACCTCCCGCGACTAAGCGATGGCTGCATGCTGGCACTTCTGCTTGACCTCAGGCAGCTTCCCCTGCACCCAATGACGGATTTTGAGAAGGTCCTTTTTTGGCATCCGTTGTCAAGTCTTGCAGACTGAGCAGCCGCATCGGGGATGAGTGTGTAGGTTGAAAGCCGAGGGGTTTAGGATTTGGAGGACTCTAGCTTGATTCGGGGTTTAGGGTGTAGTGTCGGGCTCTTGTGTTAGACGAGCCTCGAGTTTTGTCTACAGCTTCGACTGCAGGGCCTGGTATTGAACAGAGAAGACATTGCACCAGCTGAATGAGCGCGGGTCTGCCCTTTCCGACAGACGGCTCAGCCTGGGATGCCCGAGTTCTCGGAGTCGGGGCTGGACCACCTGCTCCATGGGCTTCTTGCATAATGCGTGAGCATCCTAAGGCAGCAAAGGATGTTGCAGCTTTGTGATCACGTGGCTCTGGAACGCCGTCCAGCGTTTCTTCGACCTCATCTGCCAGGAGTTCTCTGAGAATGGGTCGGAGGTACACCGTATTCGGTGGTCGTGTGCCCTTCCACGAGATGTACTGCAAGGACCTGTTCTCCTCCACCGTGAGCCGAACACCGTCGTGAGTAGGTCTGACAAAGGGGTTGTAATAGTAGTCGGGAAGAATTCTACACAGCGCATTACCCAGTCTTCCAGTCTATAGACGGATCCATATGGTTTAACCAGGTTCATCAGTAGCCCCTCTAGAATTGGTTTGTACCCTTTTTCCTGCTACTCGGTTTTAATGGCGGGACCCAAGACAAAAAGGGCCAAAGGGTACTACTCAGGAATCTAGTTAAGGCATACTCCTGAATTTATGGGTTTTGCACTTCCTGACTAAAGCCTTATATGCACGCATCAAACAACGCTCCGATATGTTCCATCCGAAGGACGCGAGAGCACAGGTGTGGGCGGGCTTTTCCATTGTTTGGTTGAGGACTTGGGGGTGCTTCTAGCCTCAAGAGTACATGTAGAAGCTTTGTGCCTTGAAGGTTTAGCGATTAGGGAAGTTGGAAATCGACTTTAGGGCGCAGGTGCACACTCCCATGGCAAAGCCACTCGCGCCCTGAGCCACAAATAGGGCCCCAAAAAGCACGTAAGCAAAAATTAGGATAGGGATATCCCATATAAAACCCTTATAATGAAGCCCATCAAGGTAGGGATATCCCTATAAAATGCTTATGCTTATGTGCTTTCTTGGGGCCCCACTGAGAGACCCCGAAACCTCGAAGCCGGTCCAAGCCCGCGGTTGAGGGTTTTGGGGTTTAGGATGTAAGGGTTTAGAGGTTTATAGGGGTTTAGGGTTTAGGGGTTTAGGGGTTTAGGATTTAGGGGTTTTAGGGGTTTAGGAATTTTAGGGTTTAGGGTTTAGGGTCGAGTCTTAGGATCTTAGGGCTTAGGGTTTAGGGTCCTCCGTCGGACTCTGCTGTTTAATTCCTGCGTCACGTCACGGCACCCTTATGCTGCTAGTCTAACCTCAGGTCGTGGGGAGGTTCCTCCACCCTATACCCTCAACCACTCACCCTGAACCCTAACCCGAAACCCTACCCCTGAACCCGCCCCTAGGCCACGAGAGCCCTCAGCGCTAACAACGGGGCCTTAATCATTGGAATAGGGTTTCGGAGGGTGGACTATACTAGGATTTGAAAAGGAGCCCAACTGCTTAGGCGCTATGCTGCTACCCGGAGACTCCAAAACCCCTTCATTAAGGAATATACCTTAAATTATAGTAGGATCTCTAATATGAGTTAAGGAATATTCCTTAATTAAGGGATATTGGAGTCTCTGGGTACTATCAGCTCAGAGCCGAAACTGTGACGATGCATGCGGACCTTGTGCTTGGCTTCCTTGGAGCGTGTAGAAGGACCACCTCAAAGCTTAGGGTTTACCTTAACCCTGAAGGACCTACCTTTTTAAGGACTTATATACGGAAATCATAATAGGGAACCCAAAAAAAGGCAGGTTCTTCAGGGTTAAGGTAGGGTTTGGGATCTAAGGTTTTGCAGCTAAGGATGCAGGGAACCTCAAAGCTAAGGACTTTTAGGAATTAAGGTGCGGCCTTAGACCCTAGACCCTAAACCCCTAAACCCCACAGCTACACCTCAAAGCTTACGACTCTTGGGGTTTAAGGTTTGAAGTCCTAGGAGACTTAGGGCTATAAGGCTTTGTGTGTTAGTCTTGGTGCCTTAATATCTAGAATAGTGTTTTAGGGCCCATAATACTATAATTATGATCAGGAACCCCAAAATAGTATGGCGCCTACATTATTCGTATTGGGTTCTACGAGGGCTCTATGGGATCATGTGGGTGTGTGCAGAGCATAGAGGGATGTAATCGCTTCGGATGTTCATGAAGCTTTCTTGGCCCGAGGGGAAATGTCATGTTTGGTTGAGGGTAAGCGGTTCAAGGTTTAAACTCCCAATCCCCTTAGCCCTAACAATCAGCCGTAAACTCAAACTCTCTCCTTCAATAACCGGGCCCAAAAAAAAGTTTAAACTTTCTAAGGTAGACCAAATATATAAGGCCAAAAAGTTTAAAGTTCCTCCATTGGCTATCTAAGCAAACAGAGACTTCAACCCTCAACCGCAAGCCTCCCCCGAAAACCCCCAAGCGACCCGACAGTCTCAGACAGAAACCCTTGGCCTAGACCGGCTCTAGGGTTTAGAGTTTAGAGTTTAGGGTTTAGGGTTTAGGGTTTAGAGTGTGTAACAGTATGCACGCGGTGGGTGCGCCTTTTACTTTAGGAATAGGGGGCGCGCCCACTAATCGCGCGCTTGCGTCAGCATGTAGTCCCGCCCCAACCACCCCAACTATTCTCAATTAGGGTTTAGGGTTCACCCCCCAAACCCCCCTCAAGGGGGGCTTTCTTGCTCTCTGCTTCCCTTCTCGGTTTTCACATCATTGTATTTCACCACAAACCACAGCGGGAATGGATTGGTGTCGGGTTGTGGGTCCTCGCGGCCTGTGCCGGCCGGTCGACGAGAAGGGGTTTCCAACAAACACTTCGCACCTCGCACCCTGTCAGGGCTGCTCGCAGGAGCCTTGAAGGTGCTGGCCTGCTCAAAAAGCTTTCAAAGCTTGGGAAGCCTTTGGGGAGGTTTCTGCAAGGCTCCTGAACCTGCAAGGTGGGGCCCTCTTGCAGGACCCTGAAAGGCCCTGGGAGGTGGCAATAAGAAGGCCCTGGGACCGGCCCAGGACGCCCCGGGTCCCTGGAATCTGCCCAAGGAGGCCCTGGGAAGCGCTGGGAGGTTTCTGGAGCCAAAACGCAGGATTTTGCATGTCGCCTGCTAGGACCGGCCCAGGACGCCCCGCGTCCCTCCCTCGTCAGGCAAAGAAGTCACTCGCGGGGCGGCGTCACTACAGTCCTCGTATACCGGGAGGCTTTACCCTCCCTCCCCGTTCTGACGGGACGCTCGGTCGGGGACCTCGGTCGGAGCCTCGAGCGCCCATGCAAATGGTCAGCGGCGCTCTCGGCAGTTTAGAGTTTAGAGTTTAGGGTTTAGAGTTTAGAGCTTAGAGTTTAGGGTTTAAGGTTTAGGGTTTGAAGTTTAGGGTTTAGAGTTTAGAGTTTAGAGTTTAGGGTTTAAAGTTTAGGGTTTAGAGTTTAGAGTTTAGGGTTTAGGGTTTGGGGTTTAGACGAAAAGCGTTGAACCCTACACTCGAAAACCTCGAAACCTAGAGCGGTAAAAAAAACTATACAGAAAAATGCACAGATCTATTTATATAATATCTATGTTAGTTTATCTATCTATGTATTTGTTGCTTCTGTTTATCTCTGTATGTTCATACTCATATCTATATTTAGATAGGGCCCGAAAAAACCACATAAGCAAAAATGAGGATAGGGATATCCCATATAAACCCCCTTATAATGAAGCCCATTAAGGCAGGGATATCCCTGTAAAATGCTTATGCTTATGTGCTTTTTGGGTCCCTAATTAGAGGCCCTTGAAGGAGCCCGAGAGGAACTGAAATGGCCTCGTAAAAGGCATTCGCCCGCACTGGACCGACCATGGCTGCGTAGCCGTTGCCTCGGCGCGGAGGAATTATGCGAAAAAATCGCTTTTGTTTAGGATCTAGGGGGGTTTAGGGTTTAGGGTAGTTTAGGGTAGTTTAGGGTAGTTTAGGGCTTAGGGGCTTAGGGTTTTGGGGTTTAAGGGTGTAGGGTTTAGGAGGGGCATCTAGGATTGAAGGGTTGGGGAAGATTCGAGATTAGAGGGCTTAGCAAGATCCGAGCCAATAATTAGGTACTCGGGTGTAGGATTGGTAGTTATGTAGGTTAGTACTTGGGAGAGTATATGTTCATTGGGTGCTGGGACCCTTGGGATTCCGGGTTAAGGGCTTCGCAAGATTGGAGGATTTAGGGAAGTTGCGGGTTGCTTCGGATTTTGGAATTTCTGCTAAGCAAGCCAAGGGCTTGTGGCCTCACCCTGCAAAGCTTCATGCTCCGATCGCGGAAATCAGTCATCTACTGAAATGCTGGGCTGACATCTACGGACTTAGGATACGGAGTAGGGTTTCCAAAAGGAGCTCAATATACACTCACCCAAGACGTCGCCAAATCACCCTACCAAAACCGTGCCGGAACATCGGAGAAGAGCTTCAACTTGGCCATAGTGTTGCACAGAGCTCGCTCCAACTCAGCTTGTGGCGCATGTCCATGCACGAGTATCACTGCCTCCGACAGCTGTCTACAGCGCAATGCCCGGACCAGGGCCTAGGGATGGAATCCGGGTCACAGAAGACGCGTTACTGACGCCACCGAAGACATTCTCTGCGAGGCTTCTTTCCAGAGAATTTCCTTGAGCTTCTGCATGCTTTCTGAAAAAGCTTAGCAGAGGCATGCAGCAGGCACGCCTGGAACAAGACGTAACCGGAACAGTGACTTCACAGTGGCAACAGTCTCCCGGATCGCCGCCGAAGATGGCACTGCGGAGATCGTGAGGGTTTATATGTGCGTCTTGCCAGCTAAGGTTGCTCTACCCTAAATCCCAAACCCTGAAGCTCTGAAACCCTCAACCCTTAGGCCGCAAGTCTCAAAGAGTTAACGGGCGAAGTCCGGGCATGGTACTTCATTCAAGGCTGCATCCATCCCTCATCGGGTTGTGGTTGCAATGTCTCCCACAGCGTGTCCTGGCAAGAATACAAGGCCTATACGAAGTGTATTGAGTGTATTGAAGATCAGAAATCACTACGACAATCTGGGAGACTGGAGTGCAGGGCATGCAAAAACCTGTGGGTTTCGTGTAAATGCAGGAATGGCTCGCAGCCTGCGAAGCAGGTTGATTAGATGCGACGGTCCAATTCTTTGGCATTCGGGCACCCAAGAGAGTGATTACTAAACCCTAAAACCTATACTTAAAGGATCATCGGACTTAGTATTTGGGGTTATGAACAAGGTAACTACATGTATAAGTTCTTGCAACCCAGATTAGAGTGCTTATAACTTATATCCCTACTTACTAAGTCCCATGATCCTCCAAGTAGACCCTAAACCCTAAACCCTTATAGTACCCCCTATAGATCCCTTAAAGGGACCCCTATAAGCCTACTACTATTTGCCAAGTTCTTCACGCTTCCGTCGCCTTAGCCCAAGCCCCACGACCCTAGGGCCGCCAACTCAGTCAGCCCTAAGCTTGCCCCTGAACCCGAAACAGTCCCACAGCTCCATTGCAACGCCCGAAAGCCGCTGCTTTGAGGTTAAGGGTTTAGGGTTTAGGGTCACTTGAAGGATCAAGCTTCAATCAAAGCCGCTGAAACAAGTAGTCATCAATACGGTTGTCAGTCCCGGTAGCGTCACCACAAGCCGGGGTACCTGAAACCTCGCTTGTAAACTACTTTCCTAGTCCTCCGATCCACCTCAGGCGATACGGCCCAACAGTCCACAAAGGCTCGAACCATCCGGAAGAGGTCTCGGTTCGGCGATAGGCTGCCCATCCTCCAGCGCAGAATTTGTTTAGAAGGCTACTACAATGTACGACATATATACGTCTCTGCAGAAGTGTGTAAAAGGTCTATTATACACATATATGCACATAAGCACTGAGTAATGGCATTGCTGTTGTGATTCAGACCACATGCAATCATGACCATCTGCCCTGCCACTGACAACCGTGCTAATGCTCTTTTGATGTATGCTACTGTCAAAGGCGCATAGGGCTCAGATATTAGATTAACGGTTAAGGGTAGCATACTGCCTGCTATTCCTGCTGCAATACCGACTGATCTAGCACTAATCTAGAAAGCAGCTGCTCCACCACGCATGAAGACTCATGTAGTCACAGGTCTAGGCCTAGGCAAGTCTCATTTCACGTAAGTGACTGTCTTGCTTAGGCCTTGTGTTCAATGCATCACCCGTATTCCCCAGCCTCTATGCGTAAAGCCCTAAATCCTAGAACGCGAAAGCCCCAGGCCACGAAAGCGCCAAACCCTGAAAGGCCAAAGGGTAACAAAACATACAAAACCCTAGGGATCTAAGGTCTGACATATTGAGGCTTTGGGGCCCAAAGACCATACTGTATAAGGCTTCTGGGCTATCTTGATCCCTAGGGAAAAGTACCAAAATAAAATAACAGGCACACACACACGCACACACGCACACCCACGCACGCAAGAAACACAAACGAAACCCTGAAACAATCAAACGGAAGGTTCCTCAAATCAAACCCGAGCACGAAAAAAAGAAGCCGTATAATTAATGCAGGGGCCTTCGCAACTAGAATAGGGCTTTTTGGGGAGGTTCCTTATTAAACCCACTAGTATCATTTACCCCCCAAAACCCTATTCTAATTGATACAAGGCCCCTATAGTATAGTACCCTTTTGGATCCCTTACAGCAGCCCTTACGGAGCCCTTTAAAGGAACCCTATTCTAATTATTAAGGCCCCTATATTAAACCCTCCCAAAGCCTCGTAGAAGGTGATCTGAAGGTCGCCATGCAGAAACGGTGAAAGCACCTCTACGACTCTAAGGTTTAGGGTTTAGGTCTTTCGGATTTAGGGGTTTAGGGGTTTTGGGTTTAGGGGTTTAAGGGTTTAGGTTTAGGGTCTAATGAGGGAGGTTAAACGGCCATTCAACAGCACGACTGGTTGAGGTAGGGTCCCTTTAGCGGTTCCTTTAAAAATTCCGCTAAGGGTTCTGCGAGTGTGGCTTAATGAATTTAGGGTTTTAGAGTTTGGGGCAACATGGGTCTGACGATTCGGATCTACTTCTGATGTTAGGAGAGTTGTCGATTGGGTTTGTTTTGGGCATGGCTTATGGCTTATGCATAATGATAACTTATGTACCACCGGACCTTGTTCTAATTGAACCCTACAGGCCCGCGAAGCAAAGCAACAAAAGGCTATAAACATCCTCGGTCCTAGCAAGCTATACAAATCAGAGATTAAACACTAACACCTGGAACCAAAGCCTCAGAACCCCCACAACCCTGAATCCTAAACTCCACAACGGCCCAAAACCCCCTCAAAGCTAAGCCCCAATACGCTAAACCCGAGATCAGAAACCCGCGCCTCTCAACCCTCCACTCCCGCCTTCGCATGGAGCAGCACCGGAGGCGTGTCTGCGACACCGCCAAAACCAATCTCGCAGGCATGTGGAAGATGTTGTGAGTTAAAGTCGGGGGACGGCATCTTTGGGTCCTGATAATAAGGACCCTAAAATTTAGGGAAATATATTAGGGTCCCCCTATTTTCGGAAACTCCCATGTGGGCGTGTTCAGGGCTTTAGGCAAAGCTCTATAGCAGTCCAAGATTCACTTTGGGGGTTGGGGCCAGAGGATTTGTTAGTAATATATGGGCCTTAATAATTAGAATGGGGTTTTTGGTTATCTTCTACTTTAAGAATAATGAGGAACCCCAACAAGAATACTGGTAACTATTTAGGTTTCTATATTAATCTGGTTTAGGTTGGGTCAACCAGTCCCTTGGTTCTCGTCGCTTCATAGCCCATCTTAAGGGTCCATATGGGTAGTTGTCAAAATTAGGGGCCCCTTTCTGGGTACCTTAAATATAAGGTGCCGTATTATAGTAAGGATCCAAAAAGGGACCATAATTTTGACAACCACCCGTATATACTACCATTATGGAATTAGCTCCCAAAAGACCATCCCTATCATGGTCTTTGGGACCTAATTCCATGATAGTAGTGTATATGGACCCTCTGGGAACACTGGGCTGCCTGGAAAACCGGGCTGCTTCCAAAGAACCTGAGGCCTCCTGACACGAACACTTCTGTGGTGGGTCTTAATAATAGGGGTCTTATTAATTAGAATATTGCTCCTTTAAAGGGTTCCTTAAAGGGGTTTATAAGGGATGTATAGGAAGGTTCCATGAGCTTAGGGTTTAGGGGTTTAGGGTTTAGGCTGACAACTCCCCTAAACCCTAAACCCACAGAAGAGTTTGCCCACCAATGACCCTGAGGCGATAGGCCGAAGCTCCTTAGGAAGCGTTGGCTTGGGTACTTTCAGGAGCATTACTAGAACCCCAAGGCTAGGGTACCACATTAGGGGTACATTATTCAGGGATACTTGTAATAAGGATCCTACTACTTAGGGTACCATATAGGCGAATTAGGTAGTCGGTTTTAGGATAGTAGTTATGTAGGTTAGGATATTGGAGAGCGTATATTTATTAGGAACTTGGACCCTTGGGGAAGCGGCCGGTTCCACTCTTTGGGCACCTCCTGCGTAGCGAGTACCCGGTTAAAATACTCCACGACTTGTTCCGAACCACCGGGGACTTGACAAATGGGTAGTCGTCAAAATTATGGTCCCTTTTTGGGTACCCTAAATGTTAGGTGCCGCATTATAATAAGGACCCAACAAGGGACCCTAATTTTGACAACCACCCATGTAAGGCCGACTATAAGGGATCTATACGGCTACTCTAGTATAGGGACCTTAACAATTAGACTAGGGTTTTGGGGCCCATTATACAATAATCATACCGCCCAAGTGCCTTGTGGGAGTTCTTTCGAAGTCAAGTCTCGGTCTGCCAAACCCCTCTGATCCACAG